TTGCATGTGATAAAAAGGATACTGACATTGACATCAAGCAGGCAATTGAAATGATTGCTTGTGTCTGGTCAATTAAATTTTTTCCTCATGCTCTGACATTGCAAGTGATGAAAAATATGATCTACTGAAAAAAGCTGAGGATGCATTGCCAGCAGCAGTGAATAATAAGTTTTTTCAGAAGAAAATAACTGATTTTTCAAACAGTCATTTGAGTTCTTAAACTGAAAGACAAGCCTGATTCAGAATATATGCAGATCTGAGCTGAAAAAAATTTTTCCAGTCATTTTTTTGAAAATCTCGTTACAACAAATTATCCGTTATAACAAACTTTTTCTGTGGTCCCCAAAAGTTTGTTGTAACGAGATTTTACTGTATACAATTGAAAGACATATGATTAACATTTTGAAACCAATAAGAAAAAAGGGCCCAGAAAGAATATAAATAACAATAGCCAAAAGTTGGAAATTGTACTTGAAATATAATTCTAAAAATTGTATAAAACATGTATAAAACTCTTCCAAAGTATATACAATACAGTTTTTCCTATGAAAATGTTGTGAGGAATAATGAAATTATATTTTTTTGTGAAACCAATAATCAGCAAATATATGATGATTGCCATTCATAACCATCAAGCAATGCATTTTTCTTAATAATATGTATTATATATGTGCCTGCTGCACATCATGATGCACACGGGTGCAGGATGGAGAGGGACAGCAGCACTGCAGCCGGCGGGTTGATGGCGCACGACCTGAGAAACGACACGCGACATCTAGTTGTCCCGCCGGAGATCATGCGGCGTTTCGGCGTCGAGTACGTCCAGATGAGCCCCGATGGCGTCCGCGCCCTGTTGCAGAGCGAAGTGACGCCCGTGTTCAAGTACTCCGAGTTGTCCATTTGGCGAGTGTGGCACACTCAGCGCAAGACCGTGGTCAGGCTCAAGCCGCCCCTGGGGCACACCAACGTGTTGGAGGATTATGCTGGAGGTACTTGTGATATACTGTATGCAGTATGCAGTCAAAACCCAGCACAAATATATAATAAGGACTTGTAATTTGTGCAACAGACTATTATATACATCCAGAGGATGGGGAGCTATTTTTGCTGTGACCCCACATCAGCAGTAGGTGCACACCAGGGTCACAACTGGTGCATATGGGATATTCTGGGGTTACAAGTGTGCACTCTTGTAGAGGAAATTTTGCTACCATTCCGGGGTTACACTCAATTGGTGCACAAATGTGAAATAACAGGAGTATCACACAAAAGCACCAACTGTAACCTTGGTGTAACTTATGTGTTTACAAATGTGACCCTGAGTAATCCTGCTGGTGTGAACACACAATTGGTGCATATTGGGGATATGCATGTCCAACAGAAGAACTTTGGTACACTTCAGGTGCACAGCAGCAGCAGGGTCACTGTGTAGAATTACGGAAAAATCCCCAGTGTGCACCAATTTCCCCACTCAGGTAGTATATAGTAGGCCCAGTATTTTCATCATTGTTCTATAAATCTTAAAGGACTATAAATCTTAAAGGAATCTTAAAGGATCAAGATAAACTGTTGGCCTTATATGATTTCTTGTCAAAGATTCTCTCTAAGTTGCTCATTCAACTATAAACCTCATATACAGAAACAAGCTTAAGACCTTGTGCTTTAAATTAATTTTTACATATATTTTGATTTCAATGTCAGGGAATGAATGTGTGTATACATACATATGTCAGATGTCCAGTTGTATTTTGTGGATTGTATTTTATTTTTTATTTTTATCAATTTATTTATCAATGATTTAGTGAATGTCTTTGAGTAAATTTGGGTTGGGTGGGAATAAGGGGGTTTGGATGTTGAAATTTTGATTGAACCTTGTGAACGCTGAAAAGCGGCAAATTAAGTGCTCTGTTCATTCATTCATGATGAATTGAACCTTGAAAACTTCTATAAATGTAGGACCATCATCATTCACAGCAGTTGCAAATAAGATATTTTTACACCATTGACAGAAAAATAGTGCTGTGACAATTTAAAATATTTTGCTTTTGTTTTTGCAGATAGGCTGTACTTTGCCGAATGGGCCCCTGACTCCCAGGGCATAGTTTTTTTGTACAGAACAAAACTGTTTTGGCAACCCTTGCCCATCAAGTCTGAAATTCCAGCCATTTTGTTGCATCAGTATCCAGACTTTTTGCACAGAACAGTGTTCCTTGCCATGCCTGACTGGTCCTATGAAGAGGATGTGTGGTTCTCTGGTCGCGCTCTGGCAATGGATGGCGGTGCCTCTGGTACTGTATATCCTTATCATATCAATATTCACTCTTCCATTACCTCATCTCATTTGTATTACAATCACAACAATAATCAGCAGTTTTTCCATTCCATGATATACATTACCTTTTTTTGCTTTTTATTACACTATTAATAGAAAAATTGTGCCAATTACTTCAGTGGTGGACAATATTGGAAAATGGTCTTGCAGATACAAGTATGACATTTTTTCTCTCTAGAAATATTCCTGTGAATTAATAGAGACTTGAGTTATTCAAGCTAGTGGGGATTCATTATTTGTTGAAGAATCAAACAGTTTACCATACATTTCATTTTTGAGGTTTGAATTAGAGTATCATAAAACTTATAAAATACACAATCAGCATGGGGACATATTATAAGGGAAGTAAGAAATACATCTGATTCTTCAGGTGAGGTTTTCAATAGTGCATATAAAGGTTGAGAAAATGGCATTCAATTATTGAAACCCCTGAGTTTGTTTGATGATCTTGATAGAAAAATGATTTGAACTGTGTCTCTTAACATCAAGATTATCTAAGAAAGTATTCATGCATACAATCCACCAGCATGCAGTTTTATGATTTCACTATATATGCAAGAGACTGATCTGTAAATTGATCAAATAATTTAAAAAAATAATGCTGTAAATTGTGTGCTAGTTTATATTTTGTGGACAGTCTTATTATGATTATTTCCTCTAGAATGATTTAAGCTTATTTCATCTCAAATCCTGCAGCAAAAAAATACTATCAAAACTGAAGGATTTCTAAAACATCAAATTCCTTGAACCAGTTGTATATATTTCCTCTTTGATAGGCAATCGGGGCACAACCAAAAGAGTGGCATTTGCAGTTGTCTATTCCAAACATGTGGGAGCAGCAGCAATTCCTCAATATGGAGAGCAGAATGCTTTCTACCAATATCCCAAATTCACTGAAATCAAGTACCCAAAGGCAGGTTCAGCATTGCCAGTTGTGAGGCTGTATGTGAAGAATGTGCCTCAGCATCCTACAGAGAAAATCAGTGTGAGACATATTACATAATTTATCAAATGCTGGGCTTGATCAGCATAAAAACATAATTGTTATATAAAGTCTTCTATATTTTGAGAGAAAAAGAAACATATACAAAAATGCAAAACTGCAGCATGCAGGTTTGTGCATATGAAAATTTATTTGCTTTTCTGGCCAAGAATGTGTTTCAGCAAAGAAGGTGTGTCATTCTATACTGTTCAATTACAGGTGGCACCTCACAATTTGACTCAATCTGTTGCTAGACTAGGATAAAATTGAAAAGCAGTTGAATTGTGAGACACTTTGTAAAATTGAGAAATACCGTATTTACTCAAGTACCACGCGCCCTCAAGTAAGGGGCGCACAGGGGTTTTTCAGTTGGAAATTTTGCAAAAATCTTATCCCCAAGTAAGATGCGCACCCCAATTTTTAGTGAATCTAAAACCATAAAATTTCAGAAATAAAAAAAAAAAATTTGACTTTAGGCGTGAATTGAACAAGAAGCTAATCAATTTTCAACTTTTTCAGTACAAAAATGTTTTCATCTTATATTTGTTCCAAATTTATCCATTATTTAATTCATATTACGTGTGTATTGAAGGAAAAACTTCTTGAAAATTTTGTACCTGCTTATGACGCGCACCCCTTTTTTATTCTGAAATTTGGGAAAAAAGGTGCGCGGGGTACTCAAGTGAATACGGTATTATGGGTGCTCACATTGTTGAACCTGGCCAGCTGTTATGGGTGAATTATTTGCTGGGATTAAAGCAGCAAAAATTTTGAAAAATCATATTTTTCTAAACTCTAAACCTTCCTGAATTTGCAGGGAACTGCTGATGTCCTTCTTGAAGAGGAAGACACCAAGAACTTGATTTTAATAAATCCCCCTGAACCAATCTTGGATGAGTTCCAGCAGGAAAAAGAAAACCTCTTGCTGGCAAAGTTTGCCTGGATCCCTGGCCATGATGGTCACCTAATGGTGGTATGGATGAACAGGGCTCAAAACACCTCATGGTACACTGTGTGCAAAGAACCAAAACACGCAGACAGCCAGGAAATCTTTGACTATGAATGCACAGTGGTGCATACACACAAATCCAAGCACTGGATTTTGCTGACCAAGACCCTGGTGTTCAACAAGGCTGGCACTTTTGTGCTGGACATTTTCCCCAGGAATTGCATTGGAGACTCTGAGAGGAAAGATGATGAAGATGCTCCATATGGCATCTTCCAAATCAGCACAGATCCAGAAAAATCATGGTATGAAATATTTGTATGAGTGATTATTTTCACTCAAACATTCTCACTATACAATACATCATAAACAATAAAAATACAATGATTCATGTTATTCTAACTGACCATTTTTGAAACTGTTTTCTTACATATATTCTGAAGTGTAAGTGGCCATTTGAATTTCCTCTCAATATATCTACAGCAGCATGAGCCATAGATAATGAAAATGTTTCTCTGAATTTCTGCTCATAGGGTGCATAGCATGAAAATGTGTTTTTTTATCTTTGAAATTTTGACCAAACATGTTATTTACAACACGTAAACAGTAATGAATTGGAGTGAAAAGAAGAGAAAGTCATATGATTCCTTATTCCCATACTCAGATTATCTGCTTTTTGTCCTTGATAAGTTTAAAAATCAGTGTTTTGATAAATACTGAACATATAATATTCATCACAGTGAGACCCCCACATGTGGAACGCTTGACATGCAGACAATTCAACACGAAGACATTTATATTCCTATAAAAATGGCATAAGAAAGGCCAAACACGCAGACACTGATTCAACATACAGTATATGAAACTAATGTGTGCTAAAGTTACAAATAAGTGTCAGGCCAAATTACAAGAAACAGGTATTTCCAGCTCTAAAATCTAAGTAAAAAATGTTCTTTGGCATTTACCGTATTTACTCAAGTACCACTTACACCTTTTTTCCAAAATTTCAGAAGAAAAAAAGGGGTGCTTGTCATAAGCAGGTACACAATTTTCAAGAAGTTTTAGGAAGTTATGTTTGCATTATATTTAATTATAATGGAGAAATATTGAAAAAATATAACGATAAGAAACATTTTTGTATTGAAAAAGTTGAAAAATCATCAGATTTTTGTTCAATTCATGCCTAAAGTCAAATTTTTTGTTTTCATTTTTGAAATTTTATGGTGTTAGATTCATGAAAAATTGGGGTATGCATCTTACTCAGGGATAAGATTTTTGCAAAATTTTCAACTGAAAAACCCCTGTCCACGCCTTGCTCAAGGGCATGCGTGATACTCGAATAAATACAGTATCTCATCAATTTATCACCCATTTAGCTAATTTTGAAAAGTATCTAAAGCATAGATGGACTTATTCCTGTTCTCTTTTTGACTTGAATGTTATTTTTACAGAAAATGTAAACATTTCAATCTACAGTGCAGATGTATCAGTACAGTATTCAATGCTCTAAATGTTCTTATATTGTGCTGAAGTATATTGATTGAATCAGTTTCAATTGAGAGACAATCTTTTCCATTTTTTCATGGAATTATGATGAATATTTTGTCTATAAACCACCAATTAAAATTATATTATATAAGTCTGAGGGAAAACAAGACTGAACTGACTCTTTGACTTTGGGACACTTGTGATGCACCAATCACATCTGCACATTGGGGTCTCACTTTACTACAAGATTGTGAAAGTGGTGAGGTTCAATTTTCAGGATTCATGTACTGGGTTCAGCCTCTGTGATCCCTGACCAGTTTGGCATCCTGCACTGGTATGAAGATGAGGGTGAGCATGCTGGCAAGGATACCCCCACCAGTTGGGTATTTTATGTTGGGGTACCATCTTTGAACACCACTCAATCTCATGTGTACAAGTTGGCTGCTGGGTCCAACATTTCAGAAGATGACAGAAAGGTGATCTTATATTTCCCCCCAAATTACATTAGGTTATACACACACTGCATGGGAACTTGGTGCCAGAAGTTGACCAATATATCATCACCAATGAGTTAAAAACCTTCTTTGCATAAAATTATTTTATGATAGTCTGCAGAAAATCTCCAACAAGACAAACTTGTATGTTAGATCATGCTCTTAGTAATCAAACAATAACATTCCATTATCAATTCTATTTCTGTATATTTCACAGCATGTGTTTTTCAAAAACAAGAAAATACCAGATGCAAATTTTATCTTCTGGCATTAAAAAGGGACTCTTCATGGAGGATAGTATGACTATATTTCAAGACCAGCAATTAAAATACATCACTTTTGCCAATAGTATGCCATTTCTATATTGCAAGTTGATTTCCTTTGTTTGTTGGTCTTCCCAAATATGACAGCCAGAAGAACACCACTGCCTGACATGTCTGTTGTCCAACTCCAGAGACCAACCTTGTCTCTACAACTTGGCAAGTTTCAGCCCAACTGGGCGCTATTTTGCCATCAGCTGTGAATCCCCATTTGAACCACCACAGCTTTCCATCTATGAAATGCACTCATTCCGCAAAATGGTGGTGCTGAATGACAACCAAGCTGTTTTTGACCTGCTGACTCCTCTTCTGCCAAGTTTGCCCTTGATTAGAGATTTGGGGCCATTCACTTTGTCCAAGAACAAGAGAGATAAAGGTGCTGTGGGCAGTGCCAGGTTGTTTCTCCCATCAGACCTCATTGCCAATCTTGACAATAATGGCACTGATGGTGCAGATGTAGGAATGTAAGTCTCCTTTCAGAATAGGTTGCAGGTGGTACCCTACAATCTGACCCTAATCCATTGCCAGACTATGGGGTAAATTTTAAAAATGGCCAACTCTTAAGACACAGTGTAAAATGAAGTAAAAGTAGCACATAAACACCAGAAAATAACCTGGAGCAGGTAAAATTTCAAGTCAACCTCTCAGAAAATTTCACCATTGAATTGCAGGATGGCTGACAAGTTGCAGGGTGTTGAATTGCAAGGTACCAGGTGTATACTGGAAATGTTATGTTGCTTTTTTGTTACTGCTTGAGTATAATTGCTGGTTTGCTCAAAAAAGTGACCCATTCCCTCTGGTGGTGCATGTGTATGGGGCACCAGACCATAAGCTCATCACAGACTCATACCTCTTCAACACCAATGCTGAAGGTCTGGCAGTTGCCTTAGCCTCAAGTCATCGCATTGCAGTTCTCTTTGTGGATGCAGTTGGAAGTGCTTACCAACCAGTCAAGAGGATCTTCAACTCAGCTGAGAATCCTTTAGATCCAGGTGCATTTTGCTCAACACCTTCTTTATATTGTATTTTGAAGCTCCAGCATATGTGGACCATGCAACTCAACATAGACTCAACATAACTCAACAAATTGGCCTATTTGGACAATGTCTCAAGACATGCTGGACACTGGGTGATACCTGTCCATTCTAAAGCAAAAAGCAAAGTACTGTTCACAATTTTTGACATTGCTTGAACAAATTGAGCAACTATATACTGTACCATGAACATCAAGTCAAAATATTATTCTAAATTTGATCTAATCCATTTTCCAAAACATGCCAATTCTGTTCTACTTCCCTTCTTAGATGGTTTTACAATTCTTGTATACAGTATAGCAATTCAGTGTATGATGTGTGCTAGTTTTTTATGTTTGGGCTCTTTCTACATCCCAAAAAGGGGCAAATTCTAAGGTACAAAATTTTAGATTCAGGGAAGACAGTTCATTAAAGCCTATAATTAGTTTGCACGGCTTTCTCTTTTACAAATCAGACTCAAGGACCTTAATATTCTGCAAAAAGCTTAAATCACTTACACATAAATTTTGTTTTGATACAATACCACTGATTGAGTGCCACCCTTTCTTATAGTGCTGCTAAATTTGGGTTTGACTGTACACTACATATACAGAGAGTGAGGGTTGGGAGCCATTGCTGACAGGCAAGAGACAGGCCTTGGAGCAACTGGAAGCCATTAGGACAGTGACTGAGTTGCCATTCATAGACACAGACAAAGTTGCAATTTGGGGGTGGAGCTATGGTGGGTTCTTGGCTGGACATGTGATGGCATTGGACCAAGCTCAAACTATTGGCTGTGGAGCCCTTGTGGCACCTGTGGTCAACTGGATCTACTACAGCGCCCTCTATGCAGAGAGGTATTTGGGCTCCCCACAGGAACATCGCAAAAGCTATGAGTATGTGACATAATAAGCCATATATATATGCAGATGGTACTTTACAATTTGACCCTAATCCATTGCCAAACTAGGATCTAATAGCAAAGCAGTTGAATTTTGTGATATTTTATGAAATTTGAAAATATCAGTACAAAAATGCCAAAAAAGTGGCCAAAGCAGGTTGAGGTGCAGGGCACAAGTCAAACTGAAAGTCAACCTCCCAGCAAATGAAACTGCCAAATTGCTCAAGGTCAAATTTCAAGCTACCACCTATATAATACCCTATTTACTTGAGTACCACGCACCCTTGAGTAAGGCACACAGGGGTTTTCCAGGTAAAAATGTTGGGTAAAATTGTATCCCTGAGTAAGATGCACACCCCAATTTTTAGTAAATCTAAAACCACAAAATTTTGAAAATAAATACAAAAAATTGACTGAAGACATGAATTGAACAAAAATCTGATCAATTTTCAACTTTTTCAGTACAATAAAGTTTTCTTGTTATATTTTTTCCAAATATCTCCATTATAATTAAGTATAATGCCCACATAATTTCCTAAAACTTCTTGAAAAATTTGTACCTGCTAATGACGCGCACCCCTTTTTTTTATTCTCAAATCTGAGAAAAAAGGTGCGCGTGGTACTCAAGTAAATAGGTAATGCTTTGGGAAATTTTCAAAACATGTGGTTTGATTTGATTGTGTGTTTGATTTTTTTGTGTGATAATCACACAGGGGTTCAGACTTGGCAGCCAAACCTTACCTGTTCAGAAACAAGACCTTGTTGCTGGTCCATGGGTCTGGTGACAGCAATGTGCACATAGAAAACACTATGGCTCTGGTGGCAAGTCTGCAGACAGATGGTATCCTGTAGGACTTTGCTGGACTTTTGGCTTGGGGACTGCTTTGGGTACCCTGACCAGCAGTAGTATAGTAATGAGCCACACCAGCTGTACTGTTATTGAGCTCTTTGCTTTTCCTTTTTCAGTGCATACAATTAGGCATCAAAACAACAATATGAAACTTGGAAAAATGAAGATACCTTTAGAGTTTTTAAAGTGAACATTGCCCTTAGTCAATGGATTCTTTTTTTCATTTCATGCTAGTTTTACCCTAAAACATAATTCACATGAGTGCATCTTCCTTTCATTAGCTTTGAAATGTAACAATCCAAGTGTTTGTTGTCCAAGGACAAAAAACGTGTTTGCAAATGCTGTGTGACACCATTTTTTATACTGCTTGCAGTGATCATAAGCACACATTCCAAAAGTGTAACATGAAATAAAGTTAATGACATGTGGTGAAAATGAAGACATTTTCCAATTATGATTTTTTGTTATTTCTTGAATAATATTGAGTGATGACATGAAAAATTGAGTCAGGCAATGAGAACCATGGGTGAATTTGGATAATTCTTGTGTTTTGAAGGATATGTTGGGTTCATATTTTTTTTAAAGTGCTGGTTAACTGGTTTTTTTTCCAACTGCATGCTATCTATATAGGTACTTATTCTGAGGATATAACAAGTACCCAATCATGTGCTCAACTTGGCAGAAGGCTGGTATATAGGATGAGCAGAGATTGTGTGTCACCTCTCAAGTTACGAACGAACCAAGTGGTTGAAAAGGTGACAAAAATACGACGTAGTAGTAGTCTCGGTACTACTGTTCATAGAACGACGTCAAAACGATCAGTACTAAGGTCAAACCAAGAACGTATAAGCATTTTGTTTTTTATCATAGACGTAAGCCCTCCTGATTTTTTTTAGAAAATCTTTTTCTTGAAAGGAACAACTTCTGCAGGGGATTTGTTCAAAAGCTGGTCTTTCTATTCCCATACAAGGATGAAGAAGTTTGGCTGGTTTTTAAATCATTGCGCTTTAAAAAATTAATCACGAAAGTTTATTATATCTTTTAAATTAACGTAAAAGTTGTTAAAAGATATGACATGTAAATAACGGTCCTAATTAAACTTTCACCAAACTTTTGATAACCTGATTTTAACCAATTGAAAAAAAATAACAAATGGTAGATTACAGGATTTATTTTCAAATATGTGACACTTTTGATATTGAAGGAAGCCGGTATTATGCTGTATACTTGAATGAAACCATTATATACTTTATGACTGAGTGACCTCATAACCTGTGAAATTATTTGAAACTTCATCAGTGATCTAATTGCAGTGTGCTGTGAAAGATTGAACTACTGCGCAAATGGGGCAATTTCAATGTTTGACTCCTGAAGCACCCTTCATCAGTTGCCTGAATGCCATAATTATACCTTCCACTAAAACTTTTCTGATTTGAACAGGTGCATCATTATTTTGAATATCACAATCCAGAATTTTTTAAAAGCCAACCTCTGTATAGAGAACAGTATTTGTTTCAACTTCCAGGAAAGGCAGAAATAATTCATGAAAAATGCTTTGAAATATGGGACACATTACAAAATAAACGTCCACCTAGTGAAGGTTATTGTACGACACGTTTTGATCGGAAAAGAAATTACAGTTATGTGGAAAATTATTACTTTATATTAAAGACTGTATAGACATTTAATTTCTTATATAAGGTATATTATTCTGTGTTATTGGAAATCAAGCAGCATCAGTGAATGCAGCCAACCCTTTTTCCTGAATAAAGTAAACATCAAGAGTTAAATTCCTTCAATCACAATTGAAATTACAAAAATCAAACACCATATCTTGATTCTTATTCAAGGCTTTCTTTTGCTGAAGGTAGCGCACCCCCAGCTGTTGAAATCTCCCCTAAATACAATGCATGTTGGCCATGCACACCCAAAAAAAGAAGAAGAAAAGAAGAAACAGCAGGAAGGAGAATAATGCTCAATAAGTGGAGACAAAAGAGATGGGAGGGCGTGTATATTTGTAATGCTGTAGATGAGAGATAAGAAAGAGATGCGACAAGCACCACACAACAAGTGGAGAGGGATAAGAACTTCAGAGGGAGAGAGAGAGAGAGTGACAGGGTGAGAGATATGAGAGAGAGTGAGGTGCGCGCACAGCACAGTGTACAGTGCAGTACTGTACTGTGCTGTGCTGTGCTGTGCTGTACTTTACTGTTCTGTATATTGGCTTACTGCATCTCCCTCTCTCTGTGTCTATCCCTCTCTATCCTGTACTAATAAGGGAGCTTTCACCGCCCAGACATGGGAGCTATATACTACTGTATATACTCCTTGCTGTACATCATGTTCTGAAGCCTCAGTTGTGCAGCTGAAGCCATCACAGCAACACACACTTACAGTGTGGGGAACCCCTCATGCATTTGCTGTGTGTTTTTGGACCTTGTGACTCTATAATAAATAAGAGACTCGATTACACAGATATATATATGTCATGAATTAAGAAGACGAACACACAAGGGAAAAACACAAAGTCGTTTTACAGAGTCGAACGTAAATACGTACACACACACACAAAGAGACGAGTTCAAATACTGTACCTGCATTCATGCAAAATTGGATCCCATCACCCTGAGAATAAGAATATTGTATGAGGAAAAGAAAACGAAAACCAGTTTCCATTGTATTGAAATTATTGCCGCCGTTTTCTTCTTTTTCTTTCTGTCCTTTCTATATGGTAAAGGGTTTGACTTCAAATAAAAACAATAAATAACCTGTAAACTCAGAATTTAATAATTATTAAAAATATTTAACAAATGCAAGAATCTCTTAATGTAGGTACACTTTTTTTTATCAGCGGTATTTAATTGAAGGTAAAAAAAATCGTTCTATAATGAAATAATTTCACAAGTCGAATTGACTTTGTGACTGACATATATTGGGAAAAAATTATTTGAGCAAAAGTAAATTTTCTCAAGCTGGATTTTGAAAAATTATTATTACTGTAGCACAAAAATGTTTCACGAATTTTTTCAATTGGACTATTTAAAAAAGAATAGAACTGTGTATAGACTGACACAATGTTTTGAAAAATAATTCCATTGTTGAAAATTGGTCAGCTCTTCTATTTTTATTCCATTGAATACATAAACTAGCAAGGAAATAATTTTTCAGATCAACCATAAACTCAATCAAGATTTTTGAAAAGTAATTAAAGAACATGTCATGCAATGAGCAATTTTAAAATTTTGTTCTTATTGCTGGAAACTTGCTTTATGTTATTTTCTAGAGAGGTCTGCAAAAATTATGAGTAATAATTGATAATAAGAGAGCATTTCAAAAATACAGCAAATCTAGATGTTTTAAAAAATGAAGAGAAAAAATTTACATCACAGTAAGACCTTTGAAGAAACTAATGATTCCTGAAACACTCTTTTTTTAGTCCATATAATGTGTTGAGTATGTATACTGTTGGATGGTAGATCTGCAACAAAGGGTTTTTTGGAAAAGTTGAAAAATAAGTAAAACACTTCAATCAGCTGTTATGTGGCCAGATAACTCTTATATAGAGAGGGCCCTATTTAAATCTTAATTTACTTCTTCATAAAAACAAAGACAAGACAGGAAAAAGGTGGCGCAGAGCAAAAAGAAATACTTCCAACAATAGCTTTCAGAACTCACAAAAAGGTCAGCAGAGTATAAACTCAAGATTTCCAAGATTCTCCTAACTCAAGAGCCAGATTCTGAATGAGAAAATTTTGCAGTAGCTAAGCTTGAACTCTGGCATGGTCCCTAACCCTCCTCCTCACCCCTGGTTTGGTTTGAACTTGGTAAAACCAGTTTTGAGGTAGGATTATCCTCCTATTTTGCATTGCAGCACACATTTGAATCAGGCACCCAGCAATTGATTCTTCAGTCATCCATGTGCCATCTATTGGCAAACCAACATGTACATTTCATTATTGCCTGGAAAGGAAAGTAGAAATTAATCAGACTCAGATGACTGTAAAAAGCAATATTATTTTTGTAAACTCCAAGGTTACCCAGGTTGTAAAAATTCATTGCCTTGACTTGAAAGCTGTTTAGTTGATAGATTGATCACCAAGCTTTATTTTCCACTTCTCAGCATTCAAAATAGGTTCAAGAAATGTTCCAACATCCAAACCCCCTCCCAACCACATTTATGCAAACACATTACATCACATCAGAAGGGAAAATAGAGATATAAGCTGTACATGGATATTAAAAGGAAAGGGAATACTGTACATTCCAAAATCTACAATTGCACAACTGATGTGTACACAGACGAATAATTTCAATCAGTTTGACCTTCCAAGAAATTCTGCTTTCAGCCGGCATGCTGAAAATCCAGATCCATGATGGTCTCCCCCCCCCCCCCACCCCAACTAAAAAAAATAAAATTTCAGTGATAAAAAACTACAGCATAAGGCAATTACTGAACCCAAATTACTGCACAAGGTGTTCAGCCTGCTCCTAGATAAGTTTTAGTTGACCAAACAATTTGGATAGAAATTGCACAAAGTTTACAGTTTACCTTGGTCCTCTATATATATGATTTTGGATAGAGTCTTTTCATTGAATTTTATGTGTCCCAAATCTTTTTGAAACTCATATCTGTAGCTGTGGAATGCTGGACATACAAAAGATAGTGCTCTGGCAATGCATGTACCAATTTATTGATACTGCAGAAATTACACACCCTTGCAAATTCTATAATGTTTTCTTATTAAAATACCATGAATTAAAAAAAAAATCAATGGTATCACATATCAAAGGGATGTTAGAGGATATAATTAATAATGCTTTATTCTTGCCACAAGCAAGATCAAATACTAATTTACTTGAAACCACAAAATCTGTTTTCTTATTCTTATAGATTCAAAAATATGACCAAAAATAAATTGTTTACCTGACTGAAATGGGTTATTTTGTATACAAAATATTAAAAAGAAGAAAGAAAAATGACACACCAGCAGCAACACAAGAATGACTAACAAAAAAAATAAAGAATCATGGTGAAAAACGTCATTGATGTCAGTGCTGATCTTTTTTATGCTCAAGTTATTCTGATGAACATTTTTCAAACCATTGCCAAAAAGTTTTTTTTTAAACCAGTCCAGATTTGCTTTTTGAGAAACTTAGGAAAAAATTTAGCCAGGATTATTTATTGAAGAACTCCCATTTTAATGGCAGCACTTTACCTTGATTCAATTAGACAATCGTCTTGAACAAGTAAAAAGAAAGGCCAAGAACATGGGAACAGTTTCCCCTTAATGCAGCACTTCATAGGACATATTCCATCTCATATTTTATTCCAATTGAATGGTTTAACAATTTTGTCCAACCATAGATTCTTGCAGCATGTTTTTGAAAAATTTGAATGGAACCATGGCATGAAATGTTTAAATTTTGTGAGCAAATAGAGGTGTCTAACACGAGTACTTCACTATAACCTATCAGTAGTCACTAAAACACTGTGACTGTAATATAGTTTTAAATTTTTACCGATGTCTTCACTGTGGACCAAACAAGTTCAACCCTGTCAATGATCCTGGACAGGTGATGAAATTGCACACCCTACATAAGTCTGTTTTATTCTTCAAGAATGGATTGTTTGTTTTTTTCAGTTGGAAGATGTGAAGAAAAGAGCTGAAGCCATGTTTCAAGAAGCCCTGGGCATTATGGAGGATGGACTAGATGCAGATGGCGCCACTGGAGGCTGGAAGCTAAACAAGGAAGGGGAGGCAGGTGCAATGCTTTATTCCAGGAAGCTTTCTGGAAGTAAAAGAGTCATTTTCAAACTAAAAGCAAGTCCTTTTACCATTTTTTTAAATTCTCAGCAATGTATGAGATACTTATATACATAATGTTTTTCTTTATATTGAAAAAAAAGGGGAAGATGCCTTTGCCAGCAGAGCAGTTCATGGAGAAGTTCTTCTCAACTGAAGCCTGGATCACCATGCCACAATGGAATGAGACTATTCTAGATGCCAGAGTGTTGCAGACACTTGTCAGCAACCAGCCTCCACTCTTACTCCTGTTCTTGTAGGAGTAGTGAATGGTTTCCTGACGACGGTTACCCGGACCCCCTTACCAAAGAAGGTCCCTGAAACAGGTGAACGCGACGTCGTTCTGTGAGTTACATTCAATATCCAGCAGGAAAATGAACAGAATCACATACTGTACTGTATGTACCATATATCTACTTCCATTACATCACAAATTTATGATACTTTTGTTTTTTAAGGCCTTCTTATTTTACCCAAGGTCACTGCAATACAGAGCTGAAAAGAGTAAATAATCTATGGGCTTAATTTTTCCCAAGTTTCTGGTCAGACTTAAGGGGTATGCATTTTCATTCTGAAATTTGCTGTCAAAAATTATATTCTGAGAACATGTCTTTCTAAAATGAAGAATTCAGTTTCTTCATTTGAACTAACTTAAATTCTTGCAAGAAAACTTCCACCTAATTTCTGGAACTGTGGTGGTTTAAATATAATTTCCCACCTAAAATGGATTTGAATCTGGAATTGTTTGATTTTTTCTTTAAGGTTATTGGTTAACTGCTTCCAAAAAAATGTTCAGCTGTAATCTATTGCCTGGAAAAGCTCAAATTTGCTTTTAAATTTTTGTTTTGCACATATTCACTAAAATGCATATACTTCAGGGAAACCAAAGCTGAAGTCTGAAAATATCCCTGAAAAATTAAACACCTTTAATCCCTGATTTCAAATGTGACTTTTCTTATACAGTACAACATATTTGTTATTGTGTACCATTTAATGCATTTGGGGATTTCGTCGTCATCTTTCAAAATGTAACTTTTAGAACAGTATGAAAACAAACGAACCGTTACAACTTAACTGGTTTCCAATGATTTTAGGTTTCCACTCGTTTCTTGGTGAGTAGATTTTTGTTTCAATTATTGAAGAACCTATAGATAATGTTTTCTAACTTGTATCCTGGTTTCCCTGTAGCAACCAGCTTGGACTCAAAGAAGAAGCTTTTATAAATAAAAAATTAAAATTTTGAGTAAAAAAAAAAGTCACAACTTGCTGTCTGAAGTCTGAACTGAATAGTTGATACAAACTTTCATGGCATCAAAGAGTTTCATTCCAAATCATGGAAAGAGAGTTTGATCCTTTTTTCACTACAGCAAAAAGATATAAAAGTATTTTTGTTGAAGACACTATACTGTGCATAATATTTTATAAATAACTTTACCCTTCCCATAAATCTGTGTTCCATGGGGGATATGGACAAATTGAGACAAACAATTTGAGACTGGACAAATGTAGACAGAAAATTTGAGATAGAGACAAGTCAAGACAGAATAAATTTTAAACAGGGACAATTTGAGACAGGGACAGTTTGAGACAGGGACAGTTTGAGACAGGGACAGTTTGAGACAGAGACAATTTGAGACAGAGACAATTTGAGACAGAGACAATTTGAGACAGAGACAATTTGAGACCGAGACAATTTGAGACCGAGACAATTTGAGACACAGACAATTTGAGATAGGGACAATTTAAGACAGGGACAATTTAAAACAGCCCCCAAGAAACTGCAGAATCCTGTTGAATAGCTATATTCATGCAACTAATTTGAAATGCAAAATATTACATAACTCACAAGGTGCTGTCATATTCAAGGACTATTTACTTTAAAAATACGTAAGTAAAAAACGTACGTGACAGACGTAGAACTGAGAACTCAGTCACAGGTGTACAAACCGAAAAGATAAAAAAGACCTGTTTATTAACAGAGATACACTTTGTGTCTGATGTGAAACAAAATTAGCAGAACTTTTCACTGAACAGTAACATTTTTTTCAATTTCACAGCCTATGAGTAAGATATTAGCATGAAACACAGTCACGTCATTTTGCTTCAAATAGTCTCTGTCTTGAAATATATGTCTCAAATTCTCAAAATGTATCTGTCTCAATTTGTCCCTGTCTCAAACAATTTCTCTCTCAAATTATTGTCCCTTTCTCCAAAAGCATCTGTCTCAATGTGGTCTTCTCTTGAGTTGGCCTTGTCTCAAATTGACACTGTCTCAAATATGCTGCCTCATCAATTTGTATGTTCCATGGATGATGACAAATACAAATGATAAATTTTTTAAACCTGTTTGCAGAAGAACCAGTACGTTGTGTGCTATGAGAGCCTGGGGCCAGTCAAACTGGTGACTGGGGTGTGTCCCCCAGTCAAGGGCATAGTGAGGGCAGAGTGTGGGCCATGTTGTGTCAGGGTGGTGCCAGACCCTGAGAGTCCCTCAACCAGTTCCTTCCTCACCTGGACTGTGGACATGGACTTCAAGCTCCAGTGGTTCCCTGATGCAGTCTTCAACCAAATCTTCCAGTACATTCTCTTTGGCAACTTCACTGCCATCCGCCAGAGGGCGCAGAAGATACATGAGGGCAAAGAATCTTCATGATGAGACAGTTTCAAATTTTCACATTAAAAATGAGTTGCTTATTCAGACTCTTCTCTAATATGATGCAAAAACCTCTCATCACTGCTGCTGCTCACAGCAGCTATATTTACAAGCCCTTCCCCATTATCAGGCCCACACAAATTGTTTTGGAATTATGAACTCCCATCAATTAATTGTAACTTATTGCTTGAGCTGCTGTATAATGTAATAATTCAAACAGGTATTTTGCCCCTTTGAAGGTTCATCTGCTGCTGCTTTTGGGTGCATGTGAAAGATCAAACAGTGCATGGTGACTGAGAATTGGTTGGAAATAAATTCACAATGATGTTCAAGAATCACTCCTGGTTTATTTTGAATATTTGTGACCCCAAATAAGACAATAAGGGATAGATGAACCATGATGTCAGCAAGAAATGTAATTTCTGCTGATTTTGGGTCACTTCAGAGCACTTGAATTAATCTTCACATTCCTTAATCTAATCTTGGGAGTCATGTGAAGTACAATATATATATTCTTCAGCTGAGTTTACTGAAATTTGTTCAAAATGGTAAATGTATCTATTATTGTGCTCTACTATTTAAAAAAAAGTTAACATGATAAGGTTTGTTGGAAGAATTCCTTATCTTGAAAACAACTGGGTTTCTCCTTTTTAGACTCCTTTCTTATGCTGGTTATAAAGTACATACATTCTTTGTTTTTCAGGTTTCTTACAGCTCATGTTGACCTATTGCTGATGAGGAAACTCAGAAATACTGTATGTTTCTTCAATAATATTATACTTCAAGTGTATTGCGGCAAAATAGCTTGTTTTGTCTCCTTCTGTGACTTGCCCAAAAGAATGTTTTTTTCCACTTCATTTAAATTTTATTAGAGAAATAAAAAATATAAATCATCTCATGAATGCGCTTTGTTTGATGTCTGAAGTTTTTCTAAATATTCCATTTTACTGAAGTGCATCAAGAAACTGGTTGTGTTTTTTCTAATTCATATTCAATGAGAACATCAATTGACAATGAAAAAGAAAGATGATCTATGACCTGAGGCCAGCATTTATTCAAAGCCTCATCATAAAACAAAGGAAAACATGACTGCTGCAGTACCATCACAAGGACAAAGGAAGAATCTTTCACTGACTCAGCTATATATATATACTATGGATGCAAAAAAATGAGAAAGGCAAAAGAATTTTATCATTAAACCTTTTTTCTGATTTTGAGTGAACTTCAGTTCAAGGTTGCATCCTGACTTGAAAGGTCAGCAAAAGAAAACAGAAAATAGTATGACATACTGCAATCATAATGTCAGAATAACTTCAAGAATATGTATATAAAATGTCATATACAGGGATACTATTTTTAATCCTCACACTGTTGAACTGCTTCTATATATTTACAATGCATTCTGAAAAATCTTTACAAAAACTTGTGCTGTTCACATTATTCTTGAGCTATATCTTGAATAATACATAAGTTAATATGAACATGCAGTTCCTTCATAATAAATCAATGATTACAATAATAAGAGCAATTTGAAAATCCAACTTCTCTTTCTTTTATTTTTCATATTATAAGAATGGTGAAGAACTTTGAAAGATATTCAATTTTTAATACATTTAATTTCATAATACAATTTTAAATAGATAACACTTTTCACCCCTGTTTTTTTATTTTATTTCAAGAAAAATGAGGATATATACCTTGAAATTGAGTCCTTCACCCTGGAACCTGGAGTCACTCAGGAAGTATGGAAGCACAAAGAAACAGACCCTGTGAAACACTGGGAACTGATGCACACATTTACTACTTGTTCCGTGATCTCAGGTAGAAACACAGCAGGGCGACACTTGAGAAGGATCTCACATCAGCTCAACACAAGCTCCTGTGAGCTTGTATAGAAAAAAAAATCCAAGTTAAATCTCTTGGCTTTGCTCATTTATACACAATTTTTCTCAATAAAAAAAAAGCATTCCATTTTTTTAAAGCATTATGGCTGCTTCTGGTAGAGTGACCACATTCAAACAGCGCTCTTCTGCAGCTGAGGTGATTTTGTGAAATAATTGAATTATTGTGTCAGTGAAAACTTGAATTCAATTTTTAAAATGTATATTATTAATGGTTTATATGCAAAGCTTGATGCCCTGGAAGTGGAAGCAGAGAGGATTTTTTCAGCAGGATGGGAATATTACTGCAACAAGACAGACTGGAAATTGAATAAAGAAGGTGCTAATGGTGCTGTCATCTATGCCAAGAAGAACCCACACCCTACTGGCAACAAGACATTGTTCAAGCTCTATGTGAGTATACAATCTCTTTAAACATTTGAGAATATTATTCAAAAAATCAGGTAATTTAGAAATGATTTTCTTCTGTGTCCCAAACATATGTCATGCATAAAACCCTCTTTCAATTAAAACACTGAACTTTGGATATCAAAACTTGTGCTTCCCATTGTTACACACCTACTTGACATTTCTGGGAAAGTGAAACACTGACTCACTGATGAAGTCAATTTTTAAAATTGACCAATAAGGTTTTCATCCAATTGAAACACAGTGGCCCCCCGCCTAACAGACCTCCCGTGTAAGGGATTTTTGCCAAACAGATCAGCTCTGCAAGCAGTTTTTCCTAATTGAATTTGTGTAAAGGACTTTTTGTCTAACAGACTTGTCACTTGCACGAAACAAGTCCGTTAGACGGGAGTTGACTATTTTAATGAGGAAAACTATAAACTTCTTGATGGAAAACTCAACAAAGAAAGGTTGCTCATATGCTATTCACTGTATATGATTGATTATGGTATATTTCCATATTACATTTGTTTCCTGCTTTGAAGTGATCAAATTAATGTCTTTGAGGGGATTTGGGATGGGTGGGGAGGAGGTTTGGATGTGGAAATCTTGATTGAATCTTGTGAACGCTGAAAAGCGGCAAATAAAGTATTCTGTTCATTCATTCATTACATTTTCATTTTACTCACAATCAGCATCAGTGCTGCTGTGAGCCATAAATGATTTATTTTTTCAAGAAAAAATCATTATAGGTGTCACTCCATTGAAGTAATTTTTATGGCAATCCATCTGAAAATTGAACCACAAGACTGATGATGAAACTCACACAAGGATTATCTGTGTTGTTATCCAATAATACAGGGCAGAGTGGAGCTGAACCAAGACCTGTTTGTGAAAAAGTTCCTTGGGATGGAAGAAGCAGAGTCTGTGCCCAAATGGAACACTACCATGGCCTTGGTGCAGCAGCTTCAGGCTCTGGGCCCTGAGACTCACATCATGTACCAGGCCACCACTGCCATTGGGCCAGGTGGGATGGTGTCCTCCAGGGATGTCACATTGCTCAGGCGCAGTAAGAAGTTGCCTATTCATCCTGATCAAGGAATCAAAGGAGGTAAGTGTGTGTAACCCTCTAAAATATACTTGAGAGTCCAGCACAGGCCTATATATGTGTAAAGTGAGACCCCAAGATGTGGACATAATTGGTGCATCAAGGGTGTCCTGATGCCAGAATGTCCCTAAGTTGAGTCTAATTTTCTCTGGAATTCAATCCTAATTAATTTATTTGGTTCCCCTTTTTGTCAAGAATTAGAAATAAGTCCACAAAAACTTAATAAAAATAATTGTTTCCCTCAACATCAAGTTATTTTAGAAAACAACAGCGCAGGACAAAACCACATAGATTGTGATTTTTTGGTATCAAAAGGATGAGATCAAAAAGCAAAGAAAAAGAATAACTCTTGCTAGAAAATATTTTAAAGATGATAGAAGAAAACTCTGAAAAAAGAATTTAAAAATCAGCTTGCTTTTCATTGTGAATTATAGTGTGAATTCATCAGGTAATATTTTTTTCAATTTTTATGAATGCAAATTAGCTTGATTTGTTCAAAAGATATCAAAATTAAACACTAAATGTTTTGATATTCTGGGAGAATTTCAGAAAAGTGTCCCTAACTTGAGCTATGATGTCTAGATGTCAGCCCTGATTTTGTTGTTGTTTTCAAGTGTCCTTAAGTCAAGATGTTTGAGTGTTGGGGGTGTCCACATATTGGGGTATTGCTGTACTGTATACTGTATTTACCCAAGTGCCACTTGCATCTATATTTTCCACAAAGAAGAATCAAATTTGAAAATCTTTTGTACAAGATTTTTTCTCAGATTTTGAACATTTTAGTAGCATGTCAAAATCACTTCTCTATTTTTTACAGCAAACTGAAATATTTTCAAGAAAAGTAAATATTAGAATAATTAGACCATCAATTGAATCTAATTGTTCAAGGGGTTTCCACTTGTACCCTTTAAAAATACTCTGATGAAACAAAGCATTTGAATCAACCTTTTGTTTGACCAAGAATTAATGTTTCACTCATAGTGTTGGTCTTTTTTAAAAGTTTCAATAATGGGTATTTAAAAAGTAAGTGTTGCTATGTATATGTGTTGAAAATTGTTCCCCCCCAAAAAGGTAAAATAATTCAATTAACGTATATTCCATACAGGTTACAAGTTTGTGCTTTGCTATGCATCCATCAAACTGGATGATGTGCCAGCAGTAAAGGGCAGGGTTCGCGCAGAGTGTTTCCCCAGTTTGGCAGTGGTGGAACCAGCGCCTGATAACCCAGAGGGCGCTGTCTTCCTCACCTGGGTAGTTGACATGGACCTCAAGCTGTCTTACATCCCCACTGCCATCTTCAACCAGGTACAGTATATATATTGTTCACCCAACATTGAAAACATCCATCTATATCTGAAAGAAAAAAAGTAAGGGCATTCTGAATTTCTGATGATGAATCAAAAATACTTTTTGATGACAGGTTTTCCAGTATCTGCTATTTGACAACATGCACTGCATTGTGGAAAGAAGCAAAAAGCTAGCCATCAATCCTGATGATGAAGAAAATTGACTGCTTTGCACAATTGCTGGTCTTTCTGAGCTGCTGCAAAATAAGTGCCCAAAACAATGGGAATTTCTGTTATTGTCCTAACATTTGTCCACCAAACACAGGCCAAAAATAAATGAGTGCAGAAACTGGCTGATTCGTTTTTTTTTTCCTTCATTGTTTGAGTCATTTTGTTTCACTCTGTCATTCCAGACAAATGCACCTCATCTGGTAACTACTACAATTTGAAATACACAAAGAATTCAAATAACCATTGGCAAACTTTCCCACCTGTCCCTGAATGTGGCAAAATGGGGTCAGATGGGAAAAAGAATGAAAAATATAAAGAGTGAGCGAAAGATTTGTTGACAATATAGATGGCAGCAGTTGCCAGCAAGAATCAGAAGAGGTGGAAAAGTGGGTTAGAATACTATATAGCAAAAGGTCTATAGATAGTAAAGGTTTATTGCTGGGAGTGGGGGGATCATCATCATCATCATCATCATCATCATCATCATGGGACAAGATGGAGGGATCTCTTCAGTTTCCTTTGTTTTTTGGGCGGCTGCATCATTTAATTGGGAATGCAAAGATTCTTTGTTTCTCTCTTTGGTGATGAGTTGCACAGTATCACACTTGGTGCAGCTCTGCCACATATGATGAGTGAGGGTGTGGGTGCTGGGTCAGATGGCAGACTCCTGGTTCCTCTCCTCATCATCTTGACTGTCTGTGAGTTCATCTGAACTTGGACCACAGATCTGCATCTCAATCTCAGCCAATCTATGTTCCACCTGGAACCATGTATATTATATGCACAGATTCACTACATAGTCTCAATAATTACATGCTGTATTAATTTCAATAATTACCTGTTATGTAGCAAATGATCAAAAATAAAGCCTGAATTTTTCTCAAGGATGGCCTCATAATTTCAAATATACCTCATCAGCAAGAATATTTAGCACTTGAATACACTAGATGAAAACATCCTTTATATGGATTTACCGTAATACAGGTAGTTACTTGCAATTTGACCCTAATCTGTTGCTGGATAAAGGGTCAAATTTCAAAGTGGTCAAATTGTAAGACACTTCATACAATTGAGAAAAATCAGCACAAAAATGCAAAAAAAGTGGCCAAAGCAGGTCAAATTTCAGCGCAAAGGTTGAATTGCAAGTCAAGCTCCCTGCAAATTCAACCGTCAAATTGTGCAATGGTCTAATTTTGGGAGGTCAAATTGCAAGGTACCACCTGTATGACCTCAGAGAAATTTAATTAATGTCACAGGGAACTAATAATATAGTTGAAGGGCCCATTTTGAAATTATTTGAAGCATAATTCAGGACATACTTAATAAATATCCTACAATTGTAACACAACATGTCTTATTTGAAATACTGTATAATGAGACATAATTTAATATTTAATATGGTTTCAGATGCAGTTCATGAAATTGTATTTATTCACAACAAACCCAAAGCTTATGCTGAAGCATGACATGAGAAAAGGCCAGATGAGAAGTTGTATCAAAAAATGTACAGAAAACAGAGAATAATTATAATTCTAAAATTTGCTGTTAAATCATTCTTAAGAATTTAAAAAAATATGAATTTATTATCTGCATGCTTCTTTTTGTTTACCTCCCACTGCTGTTGGCTGAGCTTCATGCTCATGGTGGCATTCTCAGACTCCAGGACTTGGAGGCGTTCCCTCAGGCGCTTGATTTCTGCTAAAAGGACGTCCTGCGGGGTTGAGGTGCCTCCAGCTGCCACAGCAGCTGCTGCTCCAAGGGGACCAGCAGGTGGCGCTATGCTCAACCCACTACTGGAAGTGACACCTAGCCGGTGTGTGGGACTCACTGAGGACGGCAGTGGCTGATGCTGCTGCTGCTGCTGATGCCCTAGTCCTGCAGCAGCATTCAATAATTCAACCATATCAGCAACATATCACTTTGATATGACATCTACATTAATTGAACCACTTATTTTCAATAAATTACTACCATATATGTCCAATTTTTTTCTTGTCCCTATTTGAATTTCCTAAAAAACAAAGCTTTAAAAACCTTATTCTATAACTCAAAGGCTTTCCCTCTCAAATTTTCAAAACTCTGCTTTTCTGAATGCTTTTTGGCTGTTTATTTTTTATTGACCCATAATAATAAATATGAGAAAAGCAATACAAAATGCAACTTGATGTGTTTTGAAAGGATGTGAAATGATAATTAGGCAAATGAACCATTGCCTCAAAGTTCACCATGCTGTCAACTTATTTATTAAGCCTTGGATAGCAGTGGGTTCTTTTTCATTGTGTAGCAGAGTTGGGATTCTTTTGAGGGGTGGCACAATTCAGTTTGACCCAAGGTCACTGAAATGCTCCCAGGTTGATGAGAAAGCCAAAGTCTAGAAATATTCCAGGATGCAAATTTTCTATATTGTTTTCAGGATTTTCCCATGCAAATCCTATATGCCAGGAATGCAGGAAAAAATGCCTCCCAGTAAAGGATTTTTTTCATTTTTTTTTCAAATTTTCTGCAGGATTAAAAGAAAAATATCAGACTTTTTCCCAGCTTAGGCCTTGGTGCAAGAGTAGGATTTTAAAAAATTCCCAGCATTGCTCGGTGCACAAAATTTTGCAAGAATATCTTGACTTTGCCACACAAGGGTTAAAAGGCAAATTAAAGCCCTGAATTTCACAAATTTCAATTCCCTGTGGTCATTGTTCCTTATTTGAAATACATAGTATACTGAACTTGTCTTGTCCCCATCAAAAATACTGGTCTTTCTAAAATAAATGGTATTTCTTGGTCACTAAGTTTGACTAATTTGACAGCTATAGAGATTTGATTTTAAATACTGTAATTCAGAATACAGCTAAAAATTGAAGAAACTGACCATTGCCAGAAGTAGTGCCTCCACAACTGCTGCTGCCACCACCAGCAGCCAGTTGTTGTAGGAAGGTGACTGCACATGGCGGGACACCGGCATTGGGGACAGATGGACGTCGGTGTTGGCCCGACATCTGGTGGTGGTGCTGGTGTTGGTGGTGCAGGGATGCGGTGTGTCGTCCTGCAGGTGGCGCTCTACGTCCCACAAGCACAGCTGCTGTACTGCTGCATCTCATGGCCTCTTCCTCCCTGATTTTTGAAAATTCAAAATACATATTTCACAGTGAATTTATTTTTTTAGCAAATTTTTCTCCCTTACATAGATTTCACAGGAGTGTAAAGGTTGAATTTGAGTTCAGTCTACACATATGAGGACTTTTTTGCATTTGTGCATATAAATGGGCATGATATTGAAGTTTAAAATGATGGATCACAGTTTCCAAAAAGGCGCTGAAGTGAATGGAATTCATGGACTGTCAAATTTTCTGTACACCCATTTTTGATTGATTCCTTGATCTTCATTTATACACAATGAGACCCCAAGATGTGGACATAATTGGTGCATCAAGAGTTATGTCACTTAGATGCTGGAGGTAATTTTTTAAACTTAGCCAAATGGATGGTAAATTGGTGAGAGAAATGACCAAGAACTTTTCTTACATCAATTTTAGGGTTGAATATATCTGTTTCTTGTAATTTGGTCTAAAATTTATTGGCAATTTTTTGATGCTATGTCCTCATGTCAAGCCAGTGTCCTCACGTTGGGCCTTTTTTATTATTTTTTTCTGGCAAAATAAGTGTCCCTATGTCAAATTTTCAGCAGGTCAAGGTGTCCGCATGTGGGGGTCTCACTGTATACTGTAATTCTCTAATACCTATATATATATTTTAGGACCATTTTTATATTTTGAAGTCAACATGTTGTCACAAATAGGATCTTATTCATCCCTAAATGGATCAAACTATTGGCACCAGTTGTTGTCAAAATCAAGCAACAAGAAATTAGACAAACAACTCAATTCGACTTGAAAGAACTTTGAATTTAGCTGTTAGTGGAAAGGGCTTTTTTCAAACCAAAAATCATGTTTATATTTAATCCCAAAATTTGTGAGTTGAGTTCAGAAAGCATTTTTGTACTATAATTTTTTTATAATACTGTATTGTAAAATGAGTCTGGTGTCTATGCTGTTGCAGATAATTTCCGTACAGCAAAAGATATTTGTGCACTTATAAAATTAATTTTCATGTATTGTAGTTTGCATTTTTGTTTTGGGAGGCAAACAGCACCTGATGAGTCCCAATAAATGGTGAGGAATGGGTTATTATCATAGCTGTGAGACTGTACAACATCTTAGCATTATGTAGACAGACAGATGAGAGCTGATGGTTTCCAGCAAAAATATAAAGAAAACACAAAATTAAAAAGAAAATAATAATAATAATGCACCAGAATCAAATCAGTATATCCCTCAAAAGAATTGAATTTAGGCTATGAAAAAGATTGCTTATAAGTATATACCTGCTGGAATTGAGCTGACCACCCCCACCACCACCAGCAACAGCATCATCATCATCATCTTCCTCCATAGCGATGACTCTGCTGTCGACGGGTGTTCTTCGGTGGCGTCCCGCGACAGAGGGCGACACCTGGGGCTGGTGGGAAGAGACGGAAGGCGGTGCGGACAGGAGCAGCAGGAGCTCGTCGTCCAGGTCGTTGTCGTCTTCTCGCAACAGTCGCCTGTGCGGAACATGGCGGCCTCCATTGCCACTGTCGGACGTGGAGAACCGCCTTTGCTCCAAACCTGTTGCTTCCCGATCTTCGAATGATGATGAAGTAATACAAAAAGAAAATTTTCATTAATAATCACAGCTCAAGGGAATTACTGAGCACATATTCCAGCAAAAGGTTGTTATGAATGCAAAAAAATATGCGCTCAGGAATTTTGCCAAAGTGTGACATTTGATTGTGGTGAGCTTTTCTCACCATGCACCTTTGTGGTGCATCCTCTCCTTGAAAACCCACTCATGCATAAACCCAAAAGGGCAGCCATGCATAGTTTCCAAATGTTATTATTATGTGTATCTTGAAACAGTGTTTCAAGACTGATGCTTATCCTGTAATGCAAATCTTAACCTCTCAGACATGCAAACCACATGACTACAGATTCAGTACCTTTCTCATCAACAGAGTTTCAAAAGCAATCAACTGTATAATATTGAACTCTTGCCCCCAAATCTAGGACCCACAATTTGATAGGTCCAACTCTAGATAAATCAGTTGATCACCAATCCTGTGAGAAAGGAGTCAGAGTTCTGTTTAGGCTTCCCCATTGAGCATTGTCTTGATTTGCGAGTGTGCAAAATTGGGTTGTAATAAAACTGTTGTCAGAAGAAAAGTCTGTCTGCTGTATTTTCTTGATAAGTCTTGCATCATCAGCAGAACATTCCTCCTTGACTAAGGAGTGAAGAACCGCAAGAGTAGTCACTCATAACGGTCCCATTTATTTATCTTAGTTATTCTTCTAAAGTTAATATAATTGAAAATAGGATAACAAGGTATTCAGCTTGCTATTTTCAGATGAGTTTCTATAAATTGATCACCATAATTTTTAGAAAATCTTTGAGGATAAATGAAATACTGTATACAACTAAAAGTTTATTTTGGTCCTCCAAGATTTGGCAAAAGACCTTTTTTCATCAAGTTGCAAAAATCCCAAGCCTTTTTTAAGCTGCTTTCTGTAACTATGGAATGCTGGGCATAAGAAATAAGGTGCTCTGGCGATGAAGTACTGTATAAATAGTATACAACCAATGTATATGTATAGTACAGTACATTGCAGTAATAACACCACTCAGACACTATTGAACAGTGTTCCCCAACCCATGGACATTTGTTGACCAGCACTGGTCCATGGGAAATTTTCATCATGATAAATTTATCCAAAGTTGGTATGAAGTCTATTCTCTTAGCCTAAAATCTCAGAAGGGCACTGCTGGCAGTTGAATGATCTTATGAAAATAAAAGTTGGCTCCTCTCCTGATAACACTATGTTGACTAATGTGCCAAATTTTCTTGTGCTCAAATAAAGTATTTTAATTTTTCATTCTGAGATACCTTTCATCCCCAAGCCCACCTCTCTAATTTTTCAAAGAAATTCCCAACTGCATTTTTCTTACTAATAACATTCAAGCAAAACTTTTGTTGAAAACTTTTAACCTGCTGAAATAAATTGTTTTGATTTGCATTCTGAGAAACCTTTCCCCAAACCCACATTTCTAATTTTTCAAAGAAATCCCAAGCTGAATTTTTGTTGCTAATAACATATTCAAGCAAAACTTTTGTTGACAAATTTTAACCTGCTGAAACAAATTATTTTAATTTTTCATTCTGAGAAACCTTTCCCCATGACCACCTTTATAATTTTTCCAAGAAATTTCTAACTGAATTTTTCTTGCTAATAACATATATTCACGCAAAACTTTTGTGAGTCTGCAAAAATTTCATGAAACTTTTTGCCAGTCTGCAGAAATGTTTTGGGGAATTTGCTGGTCCACAAACACATTTTTGTGTGTGTGTAGAAATTTGCCAGTCCACAGGCCCAAAAAGGCTTGGAAACACTGCTCTATCTATAGAATTAAATATATTTAGGACACTTTTTCATTTTATTAAAGTGCTGCCATCATGAATAAATATACAGTCAACCCTTGCACAACATTCCATTCGGTTAACGTTTTTTCACCTATTAACGTTCCCAGTTGTAAGCCCAAAGATCTGTTCACTTAACGTTCAAAATTCTGCACAACATTCTGTTTAAAAATTTGTCAAAAATTCATTTCTCAACCAAACTTCAATTTTCAAATGGAATATATGAGATGAGCTGCGCAATGAAGTTCCCCACAATTTCTTTTTTTTTAACTTTAAAAGATATCAAGAATTGATGGAGTTATCATGAAAAACGCAAAATGTTTCTGAAAGTTGAACCAAAATCAGGAAAAAATCTTTTTACATTTTTATTTTCAAATGATTCATTTTTCAACATTTTTCTCCAAGTTAAATATTGCTAAATTTGTAAAACTTCAATAATGCGCTTCTAGCCCTGTTGAAAATTTTGAAATGGAGCTGCTGATTTTGAAGAAATTGTTGTACATGCAGTGTATTATACCTTCCCCACTGCTGTTATTGGACGGCTGATGCAAGTGCGACCGCACAGAGCCGCCTCTCGTGACAGTCATGGACGCCGACGAGGACTGCGGCATTCTGGTGCTCGAGATCCTCACACTGCCGCCCCCGACGCCGCCCCTGAAGCCGGACGACCCGCCGAGACTCAGGTGGCCACCACCGCCAGCAGACGACTCGAGCATCTTGGCCAGGAGCGCCTGGCGTCTGCTGCTGGCGAGGGCGGCGCCTTGTGGCTGCTGCTGGTCGTCGTCGTCGTCGCCGCCGCCGCCGTGATGACTGCCGCCATTGTTGGCTGCTGCCGCCGCTGCTGCGGACATCATCAGCATGTCCTCGACCGAGCCGGCCAAAGGCGTCCTGCCCCTGGACTCCACCAGTCCCGGCGTGGAGTGACTGCGACTCATTGAAGCTATGCGCAATAATATGTGATATGATTTATGTGGGTAAAATTCATTATTATAAAGCAGTTCATCTGGACCTGCTGCATGTACAATAACTCATCCAACTTGATAGCATAGTGAAGTTGCCATATTTACTCATATTGCTTGAGTAGTATACTGTTATCCTATGACAGACTCGGCACTTTATTTTGAGTTTATTTTACAGTTATGTCTTCCTTTAAAAATAGGAAATAAGGGAACAGGACTTTCCCACATATTTATTCTCACATTGTTTTGGTTTGACAACTTTTGCACTATCCCCCATTAATGCACTAGACCCATTTTCTTTGCAACTGTATATTTCTGTTCCTTTTCCTGCTGACAGTAACAGATGGTAATTACAGTTTCCTGAAGCCTAGTTTCTTCTTCTCAAATTATATTATGCACTGGTTCCAAAGAACTATGCATCCTGGCCAGGAGACCTGGATATGCTTTCTAGCTTTGAACCTATTTCATGAACCAAATACAGTGGCCCCACGCCTAACAGACCTCCCATGTAAGGGATTTTTGCCAAACAGACCAGCTCTGCAAGCAGTTTTTCCTCCCGCCCAACAGACAAAATCCGCCAAACAGACTTCTTTTTGTTTAAAATTAGGGTTGAAAATTGAAATTTTAAATTTTGTATGTAATTGAATTCGTGTAAAGGACTTTTCGTCTAACAGACTTGTCCCTTGCACAAATCAAGTCCATTAGACGGGGGTTGACTGTATCTGGATATATATAATTCCCTGTTCTTATCATTTCCCAGAATCTTCCAGAGAGAATTGAGTTGGAGACTCTCACAATTGTTCTCAAGAAGCCTTGCATTGTTTTAGCAAGACTTCTTTAACTAAAAGTATCTTGACTGTGTTGCATGTTTCAATTGAGTGTGTATATTTGCAATTTATCATACCAAAGAATATATTCATATATTTATATATTTTTTGTATACCAAGCGGTTGATTTATTTTGGTGCAACCAAATACTCATTCAACCAGCAGTTAAGATAACAATACAGTACTAATACAACGCGCCCTCCATGCAGGAATAAGGTGGGAACTAGAGCTCAGAATAGGTTGTTGCTGGATCTTGGATATAAGTCCAGCATGTTTTTACAGTGTTATATGGAAGTATTATTGAAAAGCTTCACATATCCAGAGAAACTCATCATCCTGCATAGGACAGTGTTCCCCAGCCTTTTTGGGCCTGCAGACCAGCAAATAAAAAAAGAGTTTGTGGACTGGTAAAAACTGCAAAAATTGTCCCACTCAATAATCTTGAAAATCTCATTACGTATTGCAATTTATTAATTCCTGTATAACATATACTCTTTTTGAAGTTCAAACAAATTTTTGTAACAAGATACACATATCTCATGTCTACAACAAAACTCAAGGGATCAGGAAAACAATTTTGAAGAGAGAATTTTGATGTAGGGCACACTTATAACATATGGGGATGAGAGGCCCATATGGGACCAAAGAAAAATTAATTGTAATGTGCAGATAAATTTGTTGTATATAGACAAGATTGTTGTGGAGAGAGCTCATATGTATAAGTCCTATAGCTCTTACATGTAGAGATATAATTGGTAAGTATTGAGAGAGAGGGAGACTTGCCTCTTTCTAGAGGAGCTTTCTTGTACTTTTCCAGGCGCTTTACAGCTATGGCCTCCAGCCGCACCCTGGCAGCAGGGTAATCCTTGAGCACATCCCACATGTCCTTCTTGTTGAGGACAAACAGGTCACTGTAGCCCACTGATCTCACACTGGCTGTCCTCCTGTTCCCAGCTGGCCCAACATTCAGGATTGAAATCTCCCCAAAATATGATCCTGCTTTCAAAGTGGCCAGCACCTGTGAAGAGAAATTCAGAAGAGAAAATAAAGAAAATATATGCAAGACTGATGACATCCCAGCATGATGGAAAGGCATCACTATTTTGCCATTACTGTAAAGCTACAGCAGCAGTACAGAAGTGACATCTGTGGGTGATGCAGAAAATTACCATAAAATGAAGGAATTGCTGGATTTATTTTAGTCTCCATGTCATCTTTTAATTGGATGGATATGATTTATATACAATAAATACAAGTTAATGACTTTTGCTGATGATTAATTGTATTTATAGAGGCTTATTGAGAGGAGGGGGAAAGCTTTTGAGTTTTACTGCTGATCTAGAGTCCACTGTTCTTGTAAAGGAATAGATTTAAAGTAAGGAGGTTCTTCACCTGGAGATTTTACTGGTCTAAAGTAGCAATTATAAGGTTCAACTCTGGTTTTACAGCAGTACAGTATATAGGTGTATTTATTTTAGTTCAACTTCAGAAAGGACATGCATCATATATCTACAAACCAAAATTGTAATAAACAGCTAAAAAGTAATTTATTCTATATTCAACAGATAATATATACATACAGTATTATTCATTAATATGAGATTTTAGCCAGCTGAACATGTGATGATATTCACCTGTTTCCCATCATCAGCCACCACTTGCAACCTGCCACGGTTGACAATGTACATTTCCTTGCCCACTTCTCCCTTCCTGCAGATAAAGTCCCCAGGGGAGAAGAGAACTGGCCTCAGTCTCAGGACAAGTTCACACAAAAACCCTGCTTCAGTGTTCTGGAAGATCTCCACCCTGCGCAAAGTGTCCAGGTGGACATGGATGGCAATTTCAGCTTTCAGCTTGTCTGGCAAACAAGACACTGCCCTCTCTTCATCTGAGGACTTGTGGGTCAGCCACAAGTAGTCAAACCATCTCACCACCTGGAATGTTTCATATATAGAGATGATTATGGGACAATAAACAAACATATTTCAGAGACCTCATTTGCATATGATGGGACATCATCATTTGATGAATGCATGGAAATATTGTATATACATTTATACAGGGCAAGAGTTAAAGTGGGTCAAGGTCAAGTGTTACTGATAGAATTAAATACAGCTTCTGTCTGCCATATATAGAGCAAAAATTAGACATATGTTATCTTATAATTCTCATTTGCTCACTGAAAAGTGATGTGGAATCCTATTAAGAATGAGTGTATTCATTGATTATCATCTTTCAACCACGATGCCCATTGCAGGCCGGGTTCTTTGGCTATAATTGAGCTTTCTTTCTTTATAAACATCTTTGAATTTCTGTCATCTTAATCCCTCTCAAAGCTATAGTGTGTTTGAATTTGATACTTATACCAGAGCACCATCTGTATAGCAAAAACATGTTGTATCAGTCTTATCTTTCATCTGGTATTTCCTTTTGTGATCTGATATTGCTGCTCTGTGGAAATTTGAAGCTGAATAATGAGAAAAGAATTCAGTCTCTATATGAAAACATCTACCAAGGATGTTGCCCATCAATTTCTTGATGTCATGTATACCATATACATTGTACATCAGGTGGTGCCCCGTAATTTGACCCTAATCAATTGCCGGGTGAGGGTGAAATTGCAAAGGGGTCAAATTGTGAGACAACGTCAAATTTGATGTTTTTCACATTGAATTTGACATTTTGAGTCTCTCTGCAGGTCAAATTGTGGGGCAAGAGGTCAAATTGCAAGTCAACATCCCAGCAAATTTTACCTTTGAATTGCAGGATAGTCAAATTGAGGGATGTCAAATTGTAAGGTTCCACCAGCACAGTTCTCTATAAAGAGAACTTCCTGCATATTATACCTTTAGTGTATTGCCTATACATTACATACCATGTTATTGCTCCAGCACTTCAAATCCCTTCTCATTTGGAGATCTTGTGGAACCCTTAGTAGTTCAGTTAATGAAAACAATAACAGTCAAGTGAGTGATACTGTATATATAGACACTGACATTTACATACAGACCATTCCACTTATGGACACTTAGAACTAAAAAAATATGCCTCAACATCTGAACAATGTTTCAAAGATATCTCCTTACAAAAATAGTTTTGCCATGTTATTGGACATAAGGTCCAAATAAATCCCACTATACAAACAAAATCCTATTTATTTTATAAAACAGAATAGTTTTTGCTGATCTCTTCAGGTTTTTTCCTTGAATTGTGTAGAATAAATAAATATTTCTGATTTTTTCACTTTTTTCATGATAAGAAGACAAGTTTTCTGTGCTTTTCTTCCGTGCAGATATTTTTCGGCCTTCAGATTTGAGAATAAACATTTTCATTGGGTTTTTAAAGAACATTCTCATTTTTAGTCAAACACCAGATATGAACTGTGCATATGTTACCACATACAGTATATGGAAACAGACAGAAGTAGTTGTGCCCTCATCCAAGGGATTTATACCATTTAGGGACCTACAGCACCTGAAAAATAACACTTATTGGCATTCATTCATGTAAAAGTTTTAAAAAATTCATCAATAAATGAGCATCATATTCTGCAAAATTCATCATTGGATATATAAAACAAAATACACACCTTGCCCTGAAGGTGTCCTGGTACTCTCCTCAGCCTCATGTAAGTCTTGACTCCATCCAACTTTGCCTGGAACTCCTTCCTGCCAGCTGACACATTGGTCACTATGTTGGCCACATAGCCCAGCACAGATGCAAACAACATGACTCCAAACAGCAACTGGGCCACCACAAAGGCATACTCTGCTCTGGTCCTTGGAGTGGGCAGTCCTCCAACAGTGGTCAGGGCAATGGTGCACCAGTAGTAGCTTTTGAGGTAGACCAAAACAAAGTCCTCATCAGCCTTCCCTGTACTGTCACCACCTGCTGCCCCTTTGATGACACCAAAGTCTGAGCCCTTGGTCACCAGGTGGAAAAGACAGGCATTCCAGTGGAAAATGGCCAAGAGGTAGTGCAAGAGACTCAAGGTCCTGAAGACATTTGGGTAGTTGGTGTGTCTTTCTGTTCTGTCCAGGAACACCCAGAACTTGTAGATCTTCACCAGCCTGAACAGCCTCAGCATGCTGTTGAACCCTTTACATCAGAGAACCATCCTTATTCAAATGGGTGACTATAGCCTGACTACATATATAAACATACCATCACATAACAAAACATGATTCAATTGGACACAAAACCAACTCAATATATAACCTTGCCCTCATGTTTGAGGATGAAAAGGCATGTATATAAGCATATATATATATACTATACACAGCAGCTTTACTTCATGGATGAGGAAATTCCATCAAGGTAGATGTGGATTAATGAACCAGAAGGAAGTTTGCTGGGTTGCATGTCAGAATTCATTATTTAAAGGAAAAATAGAACTTTTCCTATGAGCTGATTTTGAGCTGGGAGTAATGAACCATTGCCTGCTTGCTTGCTGAACTGCATGAGCTTTGCTTCATTGAAGGGTTTCCCTTGGATGTCCACTAATTACTTTTGTTCCACACCATGGAATATAGTCTCCTTCACTATATAGAGTGAGTTGCTTCATCACAGCATAGATTGCCCTCTTTTTCAAACATAATAAAAAAGTAAATACAGATTCTTTTACACATCATAGAAGTGTAGAAAAGAAAAATAAACATTATCAGAATCAAATTAAATCTGAAATGCTGGAAATCTTCTTAAGAAATACTGTACTTCCTACTCTACTTCAAGAAAACTTCCCTGCTCACAAACTTTTGAGTAAAAGCCAAGAATACTTTTCCACCTTTCAAGAAAATGGGTTTGAAAAAGGTTAGAAGTGTGATCAAGAGAAAAGTTGGAGAATAACTCAAAAAGTACTGAATGAGTGTCATATCCAATCTGGTTTCTGCTGGATGATGGCACACATGTCATATCTCAGCACTGCTGCATCCATCCAGCTTTCCTTAATCATTTCTCTGCCATGATGAAATGAATAAGATGTGAAGGTGCCTCACCAATAGAAAGGTAGAGAAAATCCAGAGGCAAGAGACACAAGCAGTCCACATAAAAAGTAGTGGAGTTCATGTAGTGCTGGCGCAATTTGAGGGAATCAGTCTGCAAGACACCATCCTCCAAGTAGCCAGTTCTGAAGTGCACCAAGACATCCAGGGCATACAGGGCATCAGCCAGGTAGTCCAAGCTCAGCCACAGGCCCATTGTTCCCAACTCAATCTCATGGAATGAAAATCTGTACATGATCACCTGCAATAATAAATGCCAACAAAAACAGTAACCATTATACAATTAAGGGATATTGTTAGACTAAATTAATGTCCTGGCAAAAAAATTGAGTACAGTACACTTGACCCCCATCACGGAACAGACCTCCTGCACAATGGATTTTTGCACAACAGACCAAACCTCTGGAGGCACTTTTCCCTCCCACGCAATGGACTATAAATCCACAAAACAGACTTCAGTTTGTTCAAAATTCATGGTAGAAAAGTGAAAATTTTACTTTTTTAATAATTGAATTCACACAACATACTTTTCACAGCACAACAGACTATAGTCTGTTGCACAGATTAAGTCTGTTATTGTGCTGGGGTTGACTGTATACTGTACAGCATGGACACTTCAAAAGACTATAATATATGAAGTATTTCATATGCAGAGGAGCCACTTTTTACATTTAGAAATTTACAATAAGATTCTTCCAAGCTTGAATGCTTCTCAAAGTTTCAAATAAGGAAAACAGGTATTCAATAGAATATCAAGCAAATATTTGATTGGACAAGTTATACACCATAAATTACACTTTTGATTTTCTTATTGATGCAGATTACAATTTCCAACATTTGAATAGTTTGAGCATGATTGAATAATTTCCCAATATTTTATTCTCTGATTTAATCATGCATCAGGTGCAGATCCAGTTTTTCAGTCATGGTACATCACAGCATGGTTCCCAACCTATTTAAGCTTGCAGTCAAATTTCCAGACATTTTTGCACACTCAAAAATGTTTTGCTTGAAAGATTGTATAGACAGTATTTAAAAGTTTCTGCTTTTCTTCACAAATTGAGGTAAGAACCAATGAAGAAGCTATATAGGGGAATGTTTTGAAGAAATATAAAGCTGGGCTGTAAAAAAAGGTTTCTCAGAGTGAAAAATAAATATTCCAGCTGGTGAAGATGTGTCAAATGTTATTAAGATGAGAAAAGCCAACTTTTATTTTTCATCAGATAATTTCACTGACATTGTCCTTTTCAAAGATGGAAGGGAAGATAACAGACTTCATTGCTGCTTCTGATAAATTTAATATTTTGAAGAAAATTTCCCCGCGGAGTGGCATCCTGCAAACTTGTGCTGGTCCATGGACCACTGGTTATTAGGGAACAGTGGTCACATTTTTAAATTATTAATACTGCTTATCAACAGTTCAATTAATTGCTTTGCTTCACTTTTTATAGATGGAAACAGCAAAAAATCACACTAAACTGAATTTTCAGAAATATGCTGTTCAACGCAGAAACATGATTTGTATAGATAAAACTGATGCTCATAAATAGATGTCTTCTGTTATAAATGCTTTTGCAGTTGTCTCACCCAGAAGTTATAAAGGAAGGCCAGAGAGACAACAAGAGACCAGTAGTAGCACAGCCTGCCAGCAGGGTCAAAGACAAAGGTCCATCTGCAGGGTCTATTTGGGATCTTGCCAGCAGCTCCTGAGGTGAGTTGCTGGTGGCCCAGGTGGCCAGCTGCAGACTTGTTAATGGACCCATTGTTGGCCATGTGAAACTGCTGCTGTTGTTGCTGCTGATGACTTCCAGGCCCAGCCCCAGACTGGCCTCCAAGCAGCACTCTGCGCCTCTGTTGCTGTTTCCCACTGATGATCAACAGCAGTTAATAATATATTCAAGTTTCCAACTAAATCATCATGAGGTAATGATTTTCAAACAAATTATGACAGAGGGATGATGCTGAATATAAACATCTTGCTCCAATGTCTTGATATTTTGCAAACATTATGCTCCTGATGCAGGATTTTGCAAGAATAATATGTATAATCTCTCAGCAGTCACTGTATTTTAACTTGTCCCCAACAACCATTTGTTATTAACAGAGGACAATGTACTGTATTCTCAAGAGCACCCACCATTACAGTTCTGGGGAAATGAGATTAATTAACCTTCCATTTTTTAAGTTTAAGAAAATTTGAAGGATTTCTATAAACCACAAATGTGATTATTCAGAGAATTCAAGTTGGATTCCTCAAAAAACTCATCCACATCACGTTTTTGAAAACCCTCAACTGACTAACTGAGCCTCATTCTCATGCTACAGGGGGTACCATAGAATTCAACTCTAATCCATTGCCAAACTAGGGTCAAATTTCAAGACACTCTATAAAATCAAGGGCAAACAGCACAAAAAAACACTAGAAAAGAGGCTGAAACAGATCACATTTTGGGAAAGAGGTCAAATTGTGAGTCAACCTCCAAAAAAAGTTGACCGTTGAATCGCAGGACAGTCAAATTGCAGGAGGTCAAATTGCAAGGTACCATGTGTATTGTGGTTCAAATACACACCTAATACTGTCAGTTGTGCTTGCAGCAGGTGCTACCACAGCAAGTTGCTTGTTCCCAGCACTGCCACTATTGGCCATAGACAACAACAAGGACTCCCTGGAAAGCCTCTTCTTGTAGTTGCTTGAGCTGGTGCCAAGGTTCTGATGATAGGATACTGTTGATGAAAAAAAGTAATTCTCATTGACAAAAGGAGACACCTATATAGCCCTATACATATTAAAATGCTAATTCTGTTATCTTTGGTACCTGAAGTTGGAGTGAGTTTGCTAGTGACTATGTCCAACAAACTGCCTCTTGATGACCAACTGCTCCAGGCTCCTTGTTGTTGCTGTTGCTGATGGTGATGATGGGCAGACAGTCCTGCCAACAGTGGGTTGTTGATGGTGGTGGTGGTTGTGGTATTAGAGTATCCTCTGGCAACAGCAGCAGGTGGTCCACTGATGGATGTAATGATTCCTTTAAAAAGACACACATATATTTTAACCATGGGCATTTTATTCCATCATATGACAGATTATGTTTGCTTAAGGTGAGGCATGAATTCAAACTGTTGGCCAATTGTTGCACCTGTGTCACAATTATAGAAGGCAAGAATTCATGCAGAAATGTGAAAAACTTTAATGTATACAGTACTATGTATATTGAACACCTAGCAGTACCATTAACTCATATACCAAAATCAAGTAAAAAATATTACGGTGAACTTTTGAAAACATTCAATACCGGTCATCATCCATGAAAACATAGAAAAGGTTTAAAAACATGAATGTGTGCCTTGGATAACTTTTCACAAATGCATTCAACTCCCATGGACTTAATTCATATACAAGAAACTAGTCTGTTGTGTGAAAAGTCTGTAATGCAAATTCAATTATTAAAAAAGTAAGATTTCTACTTTTTGACATCAATTATAAACCAACAGAAGTCTGTTAGGCAGATTTAGTCCATTGCACAGGAGGGACTGCCTCATGGAAAGGTCAGTTGTGCACAAAATCCATTTTGGGAAGGTCTGTTCTGTGGGGATTGACTTTATATGCATTCCAACCATGTGTTCAATATCCACAATGACCAATATGAATATCAATTGCAAACTCAAGTATTGAACAACCTGAATCCCCCCAAGAATAGGAGAAAAATGTGAATGATGTAACATGTAAGCAATAATAAAGGGCCTTACATATAAAGCATGGCAGCTAAAAATCCACCATCCAAAATGCACTATACATCTTGGGAAGCAGTAATAATTGTTGATAAATATTCAGTGTATATATATATATATATACCTGGCACAAGTCTGTGAGGTCCAACACCAGATGCAGAAGAGGAAGAGCCAGAGGACACCACTGCAATTTCTTGAAGGTGCTGAATGTTTTGGCCCTCCAGCTCTTCTTCCAGTTGGTGGTGGTCAGGTGCTGGTGCTGATGTTGCCTGCTGCTGCTGCTGCTGCTGCTGCTGGTCACTGCCATTTGCAGCTGCAGCTCTCAGCATGACAGCAACTGATGATGATCCAAATCCAGGATTATTGCAACATGTTGCATAATTGCAGGGTGCTACAGGGCATTGATGGTGACACACAAGCCCTCAATGTTGTTGGGACCACTGGCTCACTTTGTCTTCAAAAAGTATGCAAGACACCCATTCAAATAAATGCAAACACACTGCATATATATATGTTCACTCAGTTTTCCTTTGCACCTTCCACTATCACTTCTCAGAAATGTGTTCCATCAGAAAACACTATATATACAGGATTTCCTGCGGGTTCAAGTATAGTGGAATTGATGATGAGAAAATGTGGCATGTTTTTCAGTAATGACTTATTGTTAAAACATCAGCAACATCACTTGTAAATTGAGTTGAGGCCAGCACAGCAGGGGTTTTGTTTAAGGATGAGAAAGTGATGTTTGCATGACTGTGAAGCAAGTGTGCTGGGGATGGATGCTGCAGCAGCAGCGGGCTGCAGAGTGCAAAGGAAGACAGACAGCTGCATGCAAACCCTCATGAGCCCTGTACAGTATATGGTCACCCAAACCCCCCTCCTTTGTACTACATATATATCCACCTTACAAGGTTCACCAAGAAAAAAAAAGAATGCTTGCTGCTATATGCTTCTGAAGTATTCTCTTCCACAGTTACATGCTATATACTGAGCTGCTGGCACTGGGAATTGTATTTACAATTCATTTGGCACTGCTGAAAATAATTCCACATTTATATTTTCAAATTATTCCACAGAAAAATTGTGTTTAAAAATCTTGAACAAGTTTTAAAATTCAGGAAATCTACATAGCATGTTTTGAGACAGCTTTCTCAAAACCATTCTGCTGAAATCAATAACTATATGTGTAGGAATCTCATGAGTGTAATCCTCATATTATGTGTTTATTTGCAAAATGATGTTTTTTATTACAGCTAGCACAGCTAGCTTGGCTTTGGCAATTTTTTTCTCACTAAATAGCATTCCAGGACAACTTTTGAAATTTGCACAGAATCTTATTACAAAATTGCCAAGAGCAGAAAATTTTTCATTGGAGCACACTTTTTCAATTAAAACAATTCAACTAGAAAACTTTCTCTACTTTTTTGCCACTTTTGAACTATCTTTAAATTTTGAACACTGAATAATAGCATGCATGGAACTGGGATGTGAAGCTTTCTTGTGACTATCTGTGTCAAATAGTAGGACTGACATTTTCTTATTGAATATTATGAACAGCAGGATATGTCACAATTTTCAATCCATACAATACTGTATATAAAAGAGAAAACCTCATCATAAAACAATCCTCTAATTTTTGGCTGTATTGTATAGTATCATTTTCAAATTTATATTTTCAAGGGGAAGTTTATTGCTTTTTCATGCAGATTAGCCTGTTAAATTGTGGCGTCCAGCAACTGTCCAACTAAATCTTTATAAGAAACATCATATATGACAAAACATACAAATGGTCCTTGGTCTTCCAAATTTCAGTTTTCAAATGACCATCAGCAGCACCATTTCACAATAGAGTTACTTTAGATGATGATGACAATGAGCAGGAATAAAAAGGCAGGGTTTTTCATTTATTGTGGCGCACCCTTTGATCCAGACTTGATGCTTCACCCAGAGCCTGCAGAGGAAGGGGGGAGAGTGGATCCCCCCCATGCAAGAGGGAAGAAAGGAGAGGGAGTGGAAAGAGAGTGGAGGTGTGTGGCGCGGTGGGCAGTCCCTCCCATGAAACCTGCCTGTTGCCCTTTCTCTGTGTCCCTTTTTTCTCCCTCCCACAGACAGAAAATGTTTCCCACTATATATTTCCCACATGCCAGGCATGCACCACCCTGGCATCCAGAGGGAAAAAAGGGGGTCATCACCTCCTTAAATGCATAAAATATGGTATGTTTGTTCTGTTTTTGACAGGTCACTCATTGAAAAAAAAATCAAGAACCACTATGTATGTCAGCAAATTATATTTTCTCAGATACAAGGTATAGGGAAATGTTTTTAAGAAACTCAAGATTTTCATGCATGGAAAGAAGATGTAGAAAAGAGTCACCAACCAGTGTTCTGTTTTCTCATGTATAGAGGCCATATTTTTCCAGCAATGCTATTCCTTGTGGCCCACCCACTGGGCTACCATACTTTACACACACTGAGAGACAGCACAGCACAAACCCACATGTGTTGAGGGGATATATATATTGCAGCTCATATGAGATGAAACCAGTTCTTTTGACCCTGGTGTGTAGTAATCAACAGCCTGTAGCTTTTGCCCCCTTTTCTCCCCATATATATGTATATATATATATACACTGTATGTCTTCATATCTTATTTATCCTTCTGAGATTCCAAGTTTTATTAGTTTTTGCTTCCTATAATGATAAATTAAGAGAGTACTGTGTATTACTTACTGACAATAATTAACTGCAACAATTTGATTTATTTTGGAGGACTTAATTTTGATCTCACACATTTATATAAAGAGATAGTGCATCAAAATTATACAAGTTTCATTTTTTTATTGAATAATGCTTTGAAAGACTTCATGTCAATGTATTTTAATACATTTGCTGGTGAAAAAATGACCTTTTTCAACTGACATACTCCTGCATAACATCACTATTTGAAGTGTGATGCATGTGAAGCAAGTGTTGAAATAATATTTGCTTGGAATGAATAAAAAAAGAATATTGGAGAAATGCTAATAGTATATAGTCTATATACAGTAAAATCTCTTTACAACAAACTAATGGGGACTTCAGGAAAAGTTTTTTATAACAAATAATTTGTTTTAATGAATTGAGATTTTCAAAATTTTTTGACTATTGGAAGAAATTTTAAGAATTAAATCTGCATGTAAGGTATTCAAAATTTTCATTTTTGGCCTTTTCAGATGAGGTTTTTCAGTGTTTAAAGAACTGTGATCTACAAAAAGAAATTTAAATGTAATAACAAACATTTTACTCTCAAAAACTAGCACATCTTGTTGACTTTAAGTTTTTTGAAGCAATTTTCAAGCATCAGTATACTGTAGTAGGGTTTCTCAAGCATCCAAGCCCCCTTTCAACATGAGATTTGCTGGGTCCATTTGTTCATCTCCCCATTCTCATCTTTCCAATAACCCAGGGAGAAATTTTTAAAATAGTGGATGCTCACATGAATTTTGAAGACAGTTTGTCCTTGATTCCACTTTATGTTCCAAGAATCAGCATATCACAGTAACATTTTCAATGGGAAATTTGAGACTGTCATGCCTGCCTTCATTGGGGATTTTTCATTAAGAAATCACAACATGCTGTTCTTAAAAAAATTTGTTGAACTACTGGAATTGGCAAGTTTGTTGCAATGAGATTTTTTATAACATGTACAATAGGATTTCTGCCTGGACTTTTAAAAAAGTTTGTTATACTGAAAATTTTGTTGCAATATGGACTGTACTGCTGTATATTGGTTCTAAGACTTCTAACAAGATTTTACTGTACAACCAAAATTCAATAAAGAGTATCATTATATATAAGCATGTACATCAGTATATGCTGTATATTTATTTGTGAGCGATATCATCCTGCAAGGAAATGATGTTGCAGTGCTAGTCATATAGCCAGGATGATCATCTCATCCCAAGTACACAGCCAGGTCAGAGATGAGTGGCCAGCAATATCTCACAGCAAACAAACCCTGGTGTTGGAGCAATATTTTCATCAGCCTGTGCTGATGTTTGATGAGTTCACACAGTACTATAATCTTGACATAGAAGATTTAGGGCAGCCAAGACAACAAATAGTTTTCATATGCTGCTATTTCCTATATATGCTGCACTTTCAAAATATCACAGGAATCATGTGTGCAAACATTATTCCTTTGATATTTTGAAAATGTATACAGGAACTGTACATGTATATATACAGTAGGAACTTAATTTCCAATATTCATCTATTTGGAAATACAGTACATGTTCAAGCATGAAAGATTTAAACTGTTGATCAAATGCAGATGGTGAAATTCACTGCAGAGTGAATTATTATGAAGGCAAGTGTATTCTTCTTCTACATCAATTGAAAAGATTATTCCCCTCTTCTTTCATAATCAGCACCATATATATTCAGCACTGTGCATGCTGCTGTGCAGTACTGCTGTACAGCATGCATGAATCAGGTTTTCAGCAGGCTGAATTCTTTGTCACAACTAAAAAAAAGAAGACAAGAAGCCTTTCAGAATACAATGTATTCGTTTTTGGCCAGCTTCACAGCATGTAGTGTACTTCATTTCTCAGCTTCCAGGGAAATTAATCTTCCCATTTTTGTGGGTTCCTTTACACTGCATATACATAATATATATACACAGTTATATAATACCACACTTTTCATTTGTATGGTGCACTACAGCAAAGAATGTGGAATAATGTTCAACCTAAATATATATTCTCATTCCTTAGAACAGTTTGTATGTTTATCAGCATTGAAAAATGTAACATGAAGCTCATATAATAATTTCACAGTATACACATGCATGCAGTGAGCAACTCAACATAGATCAATGAAAACCTCATCTGCGCTGGAGCAGTTTTGCTTCAGGGCAGCTCCTGTAATACAGTATTTGGCAATTATAAGGAATCCATCATGAGGCCGGGTCATATGTCAATATTGATTACATCATACAGCACAACAGAATACAGTGGCCCCCCGCCTAACAGACCTCCCGTGTGCCGGAATCAGCACAAAAGGACGAGGAATTCGAAATAAAATAACACTGTAATCAGGTGTGGGGTGCACCTGGGGATCTTGTTGTCAAGATCCCAAAGAATAAGATAAATGTATTTCATACAAGCTCTGTGACAGACCAACAGTGGCCTGGCTGGGAATAATTTGGGAAGAAAGATGGACGCCCAGGTACGGCAGTCCTGAGAGTTGATTTGGTAACGCGGTAATGCAGAAAAATAATAAAAAAATTAAATAAAGAAGAAAGAAAGCCTCTATACGGCAATCTGTCAAGTTGGTAAACAGATTGATACAGATTCAGTAGTATTTGCCTCCATACGGCAGTCCCAAAAAGTGGGAAAGTTGGTTTGGTAATGGAAATTTGCCACTATACGGCAGTTCCAAAAATCGGAAAACTCGATGCGGTAAATTGGTCCAAATTCCTCCAAAACCTCAAAAAATAGAAGGCAAGGACCTCAAGAGAAAGAGAGATCAAAGTGGCCAACTTTGACCTTGCTTTCAATAAATTTTGATCAGTTTGTGACGGTTAATAAAAAATAAATAAAAAAGAAAGAAAGCCTCCATACGGCAATAGTGATTTGGTCAAGTCGGTAAACAGATCGAGACAGATTTGGTAGTATTTGCCTCCATACGGCAGTCCCAAAAAGTGGGAAAGTCGGTTTGGTAATGGAAATTTGCCACTATACGGCAGTTCCAAAACTCGGTGCAGAAAACTCGGTGCGGTAAATTGGTTGTAATTCCTCGAAAGCCTCAAAAAATAGAAGGCAAGGACCCCAAGAGAAAGAGAGATCAAAGTGGCCAACTTTGACCTTGCTTTCAATAAATTGTGATCAGTTTGTGACGGTTTCGGCGGGTAAGTGCGCAAAATGAAGGAATGAACATCAAATAATGAAGATAACACTTCAAAAACGGGAGAAGTTAGGAAAATGAATACGGTCGGTTAGAGCAGATGCGGTAAAACGGATCGGTACAGATGCGGAAAAACGGTACGGTGCAGATACGGTTTGGATTCGGTTCAAATGCTGTTGTTCAAAAAAAAAATCCAAAGGAAAAAGTTCAGAAAACGGATGCGGTTTGGTTGGTGGTTAATGGTTGCGGTTCAATTTCAGTGGGGCAGGAGTGCCATGCCATATGGCAGTACAATCAAACACACAAGGTTACAATTGCAGAAGAAAAGAGATACTGAAAAGTAATGTGGATGAGTACGGATGAAACAGATGGATGGTATACGGATGAAAAATATGGATGGTATATGGATGAAACATATGGATGGTATACGGATGACATTGAGTAAAAATAGAATGCGGTTCATAGAAAGATGCACATGCTGGATGTGACGGTTCAAAGCACAAAAGGTTACAATTGCAGAAGAAAAGAGATACTGAAAAGTAATGTGGATGAGTACGGATGAAACAGATGGATGGTATACGGATGAAAAATATGGATGGTATATGGATGAAACATATGGATGGTATACGGAAGACATTGAGTAAAAATAGAATGCGGTTCATAGGGAGATGCACATGCTGGATGTGACGGTTCAAAGCACAACGATTTGGCTGTAACGGTTGGTGAGATAAAAATAAAAATCATGAAGAAGATACGGGTCTTAGAAAGACAGTTTGCAGTACCATTTGAGAGCACTGAAGAAAAAGAAAAAATAAATGAAGAATTGCAGAATATTGAACAGAAAAGAAATGTAAACAGCAGCACCCCAGCATTGCCCCCCTGAAAATGGCAATGCCCCCCAGATAATGAAAGTAGACATTATGTGCAGATCCATTTACGGACTAAAAGTGAGGTAGAAAATTCACACGGCTTGTTTAGGTATAAGTGTCAGACAGAAAAGAAATGTTTATGGATTGTATTGCACTGTTAAAAGTGCAAAATGCTGGAGAAGAAGATTGAAAAATTCAGAATGCTTCATAGCCGGAAAAGGTTATAACAACGGAATTTAGAGGAAAAGAAGGCTCAAGTACAAGAAATGACAAGAATAGAAACCTGCATGGGTGGAATAGGTTGAACAAATTTAACGGTTGAACAAGTTTGGTTCTTTTGACAAGCATGATGCAAATTGCAATGAGTTTTATCAAAATTGAGTGTTCTAAAGGGTCCAACAAAATCAATACCAACATGAAGAAATGGAGTAATACCGCTGTAACAAAAAGATGGAAGTGGAGCTATAGGCATACAAAAGGGTTTACAGGCAAAACAATGGCAATGAAAACATTCACGTTTAACATCATTAGCTAGTTATTGTGCATGCGGAATCCAAAAACGTTCATAAAGATGAGTAAGAATCTGCTCCGGAGAACAATGACCATTGTCAACATGCGTAGAAATGAAAACAGCCTTGAAAAGATTAGTACAATGATGAGGAGGAGGCAACGCCGGTAACGGTAAATAGATAAGAGTTTGACGAGCAGGATTAGTGATAGGAATGAAGGTTTGAAAATCAATTGTTTGACGACTGTGAGAAACAATAATATGACAAACAGAATCCCAGGCCAAATCAGCCTTATCAGGAACAGATGTTTTAGAGAGAAGTAAAAACCATTTGTTGGGTGCATGAAATCAAACAATAAGCATCAAACTCAGCAGTATCATACTCAAGAGACGTAAAAGGCGTATGATAAGAAGCCAGGGGCCAGTGAGGTTCTAAAGTCGGAGAGACATGAAGACAAAGCACAAAAAGCGCACAATTATATTTAAAGAAGGTCTTAAACCGAGACCAAACACAGATGCGCTTAAGAACACGATTCCAGCGGGTAATACAAGAAAATGTTTCAACAATGATTTGTTTGCCTTCTAAATAGGCAGGCGTGTCGGAAAGTGAAAGGTCCAGGGAAACGGTGGAAAAAGATATGGATTGCGCGGGCCAATTGGCATGGTATGGTAACCAGACAGGTCCCTCCAACCATAAAGGATTGATGAGAAGAGTGTCAACAACAGCACCGCAAGAGGCAAGATCAGCAGGATTTGGATTGCTAGGTACGTATTGCCATGAATGCGGAGTGGAGGCGGTGAGGATGTTGTTAACACGAAGACAAACATAAGCAACAGTACGGGGACTATCAGAATGAATCCAACGAAGGGCAATTTGAGAATCAAGCCAATAATAAGTTGGACAAGAATGAAGATCCAAGGCTAACTTAACATCTTGGACAAGAGTGCTTAACATACATGCCGCAGTAAGTTCAAGACGGCAATGCATGGAAGGATGAAAAGAAACGGAAGCGGAATTGCAGCCACAGTTGCAGCCAGAAGGAACAATCACGCAGTCGTAGTTAAGACAAGCATCAGAAACGTTTCAAGGCTTGCTCATGATCCAAGGATGGGAAAAGTAAGAAACGCTCTGGATTGAAGGACATGTCACAGATCGGAATTATAATTTCCATCATCATCATCAGCAGTCGTCCCAGTTGGACACAGATGACATGGACAGAGCCAGGATTGACTTGAGAAGAAGAGGTTGAAAAAATTGTTGGCAAAAATGGACGCACTGTGGGCCAATTGTTGTAGGGGAATGCCGGAGACAGGAGTTGAAAGCTCTTGTTGAGGAAGTGGGTCACAAAGCCATGCAGGAAAAACACGGGAACACACACACAATGTTAAGTCTGCGACAGTAGGATAGGTTTTGAAGAAGAAAAATTGTGATGGGCTAAATGAGGAAAAGAAACGGATGGATCAGGAAAATTGATAGGGGAGAAGACTCACAAATCCCAGAGATGGCTGGGGAAGCAGGAGATAAGGGCAACAAATGCCAGTGCATGCTGTAGATTGGAACAAATGTCAAAAGCAAAGCGCCCCAGGACCGTTGGACGTAAATTTTCAGAAGAATACACAAGCCTGGTTCTCCATTCTCTGGTCTATTAGCTGCAAGAGGAGCACACAGATGTTATGGAGAAACGTCAGGAATCCGTGCCTCCGGGAACAACTCTGTGTGGCGTTACGGGCAAGGAAAGTCTGCGACCATGCCGGTGCTTGACGGTGAAGCCGCTGCGGAGCTCCAAGAGCTTCTGTGGAAGCTAAAAAAAAGCCAGCATTTGCATCCATTCATGCATTCATTCATTCCAAGGACTCAGGGGACACAGAGATGAGAATACAAGGGCTGCTTCAAAGAGGCCAGAGCGGGATAATTGCCAAAAACTTTCCGCACAAGCGCAAATCACATTCAAGTCAGAACAGAGGGCAACGGTGACGTTGGTGCCAATGATGCCGGGATCCCTGGGCCTAAGAAGGCAGGGCCCCAGGCAAGGAATCTCGGAAGGGTTTCCCATCCATGATTTTTAAAAAGAAAAAAAAAATTGCACTAGACTCACGCAACTCGTCTGGAGGAAGAACCTCAGAGGGGGAAGACAATTCCAGAGCCATGGGTTAGGGACCAGAGGAGAAAAAAAAAAACTTCACGTCTCTGCTACCAATTTTTGTGCCGGAATCAGCACAAAAGGACGAGGAATTCGAAATAAAATAACACTGTAATCAGGTGTGGGGTGCACCTGGGGATCTTGTTGTCAAGATCCCAAAGAATAAGATAAATGTATTTCATTAAACCCCAAATCACAATCACCAACAAAGATAAAACACACAAATTGCAGAGCACACACAATTCCACTGACTACTATGAAATCTTGGGATTGACTGTACTGAAACTTCCCATGAGACTTCTTTTGGTTTAAAATTAGTGTTGAAAATTGAAATTTTTAATTTTGTATGTAATTGAATTCGTGTAAAGGACTTTTTGTCTAACAGACTTGTCCCTTGCACGAATCAAGTCCATTAGACAGGGGTTGACTGTAATGTATATCACCCAAAGAAATATAAATATGTTGTAAGTCTTTCACAACAGCTGAAACAATTGTGATGCTTCCATTTTTAATAAGGTTGCTGACTTACATAATTTAGACATGGAATCAAGCAAAGTACTCATAGTTATGTACATTTTTACATTGCTAGAACCACTTGATTGTGATTTGAGAATAATAGCTCTCTTATTCTCCACAGAAACATCTCCTGTATATCAGCAGACAATACTTTACAATTGTTTTGACCCAGCAGACTTTTTGTCAACATACTGCTGTACTTCTCCATCACTGTACAGTGCACACTGCTGGTGAGCTCCATCATCATACATACAATGTACAGTACATGAATGACCATGTGAGAAGAATTTTAATGTACCATCAGCCTAAAAATGTTCAGCATACCAACTATATGAGGCGTTGAAAGCATCATCACCAGCAGGACACATTGTCTCACAGCCTTGAAATCCTCAATGAATCTGCAGTCAACACTGTATCTGCCAGAAAAAAAATAATCAGAATGAATGGAAAAAAACCTTTCCTAAAATACAAGATGCATTTAAAATGAAATCATTGAAAAGAACTTAGTGCAACAGAGGAGCATGACTTATTCAAAACTGCTGGAAAGTATCATTCTAGTATGAAGCAATACACTGATAAATTGTCATAGAATTATTTTTTTTTTTAATTGGCAGGAACTCCAGGCCCGAAGAATTTTTAAAAATTGGGAACACGAAGGAAAAAAAAAACTTCAGCCTGGCCACGAACCAAGGAAATCAATAAGAAAAACGCAGTTTCCAAAAAACCGCGCACTCATTCATTTCTTGGTCTGATGAACCCCCGATGACAAACCTTTTCAATCATAGGCTCATCCAGGAAGACAAACCCCCACTTTGCTCAGTAGCAAAAAATAAATAATACCTGCTTTTGGAATTTTTCACCTCGTACACAGCATTTCGTCACTCACCAAAAAAAAAAGCATGTTGGACGGCAGATATAAGGAAAAAAAAAAGAAACCCTCTAGTTTGGAAGCACACACTGGGATTTCGTCCAAAAGGATTCGTTTCGCATCACGTCGCTCACTTTTCGGAGAAAATTTCCTTTAGAAAAACAAATCAACTCTGTATGAGTGTTCATTGCAAAAATAATGCGGTGGGCGTTGCGAATTCATGGGTTAAATTCGAACATCACTTCCCCAAGGTTAATTATCAGCGTACCTCCAACCCCGTTTCCTGGAACGTATGTTAGGTGTCGCCTGAATCACTGGCAGGTTGGTTACACCAATTCCTTGAAGATTCTACTTGAAAAAAAAAAGTAAAAAACTGGTCTCATCTCATTTAGTCTAACACATGCGAGGGTTGTTGCATTTCCGAAAAAAGTCTTCATCCCCCCCTTGGGAATTCGGGACGATTCCTCTTGAACTAGTCCACCCCAACTGAATCATATATTCCACTACCTTTTATCAAAGGGCTGCAAAAATAAAGAAATTTCATTTCAAAAATATCTGAATTTTTCTAAATGCCCAAACATATACGTTTGCATATGCCAAAAGCTGCATGCACGTGCAAATTTTCCCGGAAACGGAACAACCCTCATCATATTTCATAATCTGACTCTAAACTAGATCTAACATGATTTAAACTGAACTGAATGCCAAAAAAAGGCGACACCTATGCAAAAAACACGGCGTTCAGACCAAATCTAAAAACTCAATCAACTGCAACGAGAGAAGAGCAGGAACCAAATTTGTCTCACAAATAACTGGTGAAATGCAACCATAAATCTGTCAATCTCACTTGAAAGCTCAGACTTGAAAAATAAAATAAAATGAATGAAATTTGTGGAATGGCGAAAATCGAACACAAGAGCAACAAACAAACAATCCAAGGGAAGATGAAACGCACGAGAAAAGCGTCATCACAATTCATCGGTGCTGCTTCTTTCTCCCCTCCCCCTACTTTCTTTTTCTTCTTCGAATTGTTCTTCAAAATCACCCGGCGAAAAAAAAAATAACCAAAAAAATTTCCGCGTAAAAAGGTCAACCGAAACAGTTCGAGGTACCTCATATTCGAATTGCTCGCAGCAGGAGCACCGAAAAAGTAATAATAAAAGGTTTCCCGAAGATTCAGGCTTGAAAACAATTAAAACAACGCATGATATAAGTCATCTCATCTCTTCCCGCCATCTGCATCATCACGTACTTCATTGTACACATCCGGTGTCTTCACGAGAGAACCGGTCGCGCGGGTCTTTCCCGTCCTCCGTCGTTCAGCAACATGGCGGCCTTGTTGCTCCTACCTGGCCCTGGGCCACCGCCCAGGATGCTGCGTAGCTGCATGTCGTCGCCATTGTTGCTGCTCTGGTGCAGGAGGTTGTTCTTGGAACGTTGTCTTTGCATCTGAGCTCGTCTTTCCCCTGAAAACAAAACAAAAATCGGATGACGCGAAGAATACAGTAAGCTGAGTAAGGCATGGGAATACAGTTCGATAGGGGGAGAGAAACGGGAGAAAAATTTTTCGACCGTGACAGGACTCGAACCTGCAATCTTCTGATCCGAAGTCAGACGCCTTATCCATTAGGCCACACGGTCTTGCATGTACATCACCAGTGTAAAAATTATGCAAGTATGGGACCAAGCATAGCACACATCATACAATGATGAACCCTAGAAGTGACTCCTGGGGGTTAAATCCCACAAATTGAGGAGTAATGTACCCCCAACTCATAAACCACATGAATTAATGTGCCTCAATTTCCATCCAGGAAGTAATTCAGTATAAAGAATAGATACAGTGGTGTTCACAAAGCATTATTATTCAAACCCATCATATATACCCTATTCCTGTCTTGAAACTAAGAATCATGCTGGGTTTATGCAAGGGCCACCGCCCAGGATGCTGCGTAGCTGCATGTCGTCGCCATTGTTGCTGCTCTGGTGCAGGAGGTTGTTCTTGGAACGTTGTCTTTGCATCTGAGCTCGTCTTTCCCCTGAAAACAAAACAAAAATCGGATGACGCGAAGAATACAGTAAGCTGAGTAAGGCATGGGAATACAGTTCGATAGGGGGAGAGAAACGGGAGAAAAATTTTTCGACCGTGACAGGACTCGAACCTGCAATCTTCTGATCCGAAGTCAGACGCCTTATCCATTAGGCCACACGGTCTTACATGTACATGACCAGTGTAAAAATTATTCAAGTATGGGACCAACCATAGCACACTTTATACAATGATGAACCCTAGTGGGGTTAAATCCCACAAATTGAGGAGTGATGTACCCCCAACTCATAAACCACATGAATTACTGTGCCTCCATTTCCATCCAGGAAGTAATTCAGTATAAAGAATAGATACAGTGGTGTTCACAAAGCATTATTATTCAAACCCATCATATATACCCTATTCCTGTCTTGAAACTAAGAATCATGCTGGGTTTATGCAGTGGCATGGCTTTTCTCCCATAAGCTTCCACAGATTTTACCATCGTAAAAAAAGGACAAAAATACTCAGAAAAATCAAGAAATCAGAGTAGGTTTTACATACTGTACTTTCTCTTCAATTCAATGAAGTTTTCAAGATTGACAAGCTTATTAAAACACTTCCTAAAAAAACGTCGGAACTTGGAAGTTTGAATTTAGCATGCAATTTGTATTTACTTGGACTTGACAAGGTACTAACAAAACTTTGTGCTGTCACGTGCAGTTTTCTTCCAAATCTGACGGCTGCTGTGCCTTTCTCCAGAGCGAAATTCTTGAAAGTGACTACAGAAAACATTATTAGATGGATAAATCCATGGAAATTGAGAATTAATTTTCAAAAGAAATTTCAATGAGTTTTCATACCAGATTAAAAGTAGCTCTTCCCCTATTTTTATTACTTCTGAAATGAATACATTGTGATTTAGCACAGAATTGTAAGTAGTGCGAATGGATGGCATTCGGATGAAACAAGTGCAAGACTATAAAGAGGGTTTGTAACTTTATCAAGGCACAGACAACATAATAAGAGCTTTCGAACCACCTTTTATGCACTGATCTGCACTCAGCACTGAAAGAGTGCGCGAAAAGAAGGAAAATAATTTCATCATCAATGAACTCACCGGCAGAGGTCCTCGGCTGGTGTTGAGGACGGGCCCGTTTGTTGGCTGCACCTCGTCCAAAGGCCTCCCCAGACTGCAGGGCCAATAACAAGTTGTCCATCACTCCTTCCTGGTCGTCATCCGTGTTCAGGTTCACCAGGGCCTTTCGCTTCTCCGCTGCAGCCACCTTTTCCGCCTCCAGCTTCGCCTTCCGTTCCTGCGCCAACCGCAACTTCTCCGCCGTCTCCCGCTGCTTGAATATGTCCTTTTGCGCTTTCTACGATTTGCAGAAGAAGGAAAAATTACGAAAAAACCTTTTCACACAGCGGTATTCTCCTCAAAAAATCGGGTGTGCGTCATAATCGAGTACACATTTTCTGTGCGCGCGTCATCTTTTAATTCACATTCAGCAAGTTTGAAAATAAGTAAAATTTAAAACACATTCAGTGAAGTCTAAAAAATATAAGTTCATAGTGACTAGAACGCGTAAAATAATAATATATTATATGCACTGTATATATAAAGGTGGCTTCTCTACAATTAAATTCAAGAGGACCAAAAAAAAATTCGTTGTAAATAGAATTTCATTTTAGAGACCAGAATTTCGTTGTAGAAAATTCAGGACACCAGGAACAAATTCCCTGTAGAAAGAATCTCGTTGTATAGACCATTACGGTACTAAGAAAAATTTTCATTCATAGAAAATCACTGTAGAAAAGATTCGTTGTAACGAGAGTTTACCTGTATATACAGTATATATTCAAACTCAAATCGAATTGGTGAATAAAAATGTCAGAACAAAACAAAATTCAGCAAAATTGCACTCGAAGAGCACTTGATCAAAATTTAACATTTTAGCATTTATTTCCAAAAATAAATGGAGTTTTCTAACAATTTCTGTCTCCGAAATAAATGCTTGGAATGGAATTTCCCTGAACACACGCACCATTGATACAAGTGGACTTTCACTACCAAGGAATTCAAGGGACCAGAAAAAAGAAAAAGGATTTAGGGAGAATTTCGATATAAGACACCCCCATGGGACAGCAACAAAATTCGTCTTACAGAGAAAATCGTTATGGAAAGAATCCACCAGCGTGTTGCTCACAAAAAAACGTCAACTTGCAATTGGCATCGGCTAAGGCCCAAGCGGACCAAACCAAGTACAGTATAGTACTTACAATGTATTCCTCGCGGAACTGGTTAATGTCCGTGAAGAACTCGTCCAACGTATACTTGGTCTTGTCAAAGACGAAGTACTCTGCCATTTCAGAGTAGAGTTTATCCATCTTTATGTACATCTTCTCGATGATCTCGTATTGGCGTCTGGCCTCCACTGCGAACCCACCCAAGACTTCGACGAACCTGTCCTCGGAAACCGACCCGCTGTTGTTCAAGTCCTTGGGGCTGCAGTTTTTCAAGTCCGTCTCCAGACCCCTGATGTTGTTGTCCATGCTTCGCAGACTCTTTTGCAGCTGTTCCGGAGATACCTTCGCCGCCTATTTTTTTTTTCATTTTCACAAAAAAAATTCAGGTGATTACGTTTTTAAAAAAAACACTTGAAAAAAAAAGGTTTCTCGCGAATCCAAAACTTTTGGCTTCATGGGTTCAACAAAACTTTCAGAATTAAAAATTCGCGACGGTTTTTGGATCTACTCTTAAATTCTGCACGCAAAAATGAAGCACATCCTCATTTTTCACGGACTTACGTTCAGTTTACGACTCACAAAAGCAAACACGCATCTACTTTGCGAATATCACAATTAAATTCACATCCCTTTCCAATTTTCATACTGTTTTGACATTTCAGGACGAAATCAAGGACGGAAAATTCAGATCAGTTCAATGGATATAAATCTGAAGTCAACTCAAAAATTTCAATTTAAAAAACGGAGCTGAACAAAAGCCAAACTCAATTCGCACTAACCAAAGATTGTCTAAATATTTTCAGTGTTGTCTCGTGTAATGAACACTTCTTATATGTTTGTATGCTCATGGGATCAGCAACAATTGAGAACTTAAAAAAAAGAAGTTTTTAACTCGGTATCGAGTACTACAGTTGAATTTTTTAGTTTATTTTAACTGTTGTAAAAGGTTTAGTGAACTGCTACTCTTGAAGCGACATAGCTTCAAAGCGTTTTGTAACATTCATTTTTCGCCATAATCGCAATTTCTTCACCTGCTCCACGTGGAAAAGGTCATCTAGAAAGAGTCCACAGTCCGGATAATGCTTCTCGACAATCTCAAACAGGTAATGCATCAGAGTCTGCTTGTTCTCCCGGTCTTTAGTGTTGCACAACTTTGGCAAGTAGCTGATCTCGAAGCCGACACTCTCGGCATTCTTGGACCCAGCATTCATCACATTCCCAATCAACAGAATCAGCTCCAGGAGCTTGTGAAAGCTCTTGGACTTTTTCACGTCTTCGCAGGCCGCCGTCGCAGCAACGATGCTCGGCTTCACGTCCTGCACCATCTCGTCAAAGCGTTGCCAAAATGCCAGGGACTTGAGTCGAGGCACCAATCGCTTGATGCTGCCGACGGTGAGAGCGAATTGCTCAGCTTCAGGCAGGTTGTCGTACTCGAGACGGAACTGCTCCAAGCGCTGCACCTGGTCCGGAGACGGCATGTATTGAATGAGTTGCTGAATGACGGTGTCCGACAACAGGGACATGTCGCACTGCAAAATGGCCAGTTTCACCGCGAGCATCCTGTCCACAAACTCGCCCGGCGGCTCTTCCTACCTGTCCAAGACGCGCCGAAAGCTCAGGTCCTGGGCATCGAGAAAGCAGAAAAACAACGGTGGGTGCGGGACCTTACTTAGCAGCGCGTTAAATCCTCATCCCTCCATTTTAAATATTCAAGTACGGTATTTGTGAAAAGTAAGAAGAAGAAAAAAAATCCATGGACCCGGGAATCACACAACAAATACACGGCCCATCAGGTCATACCTATACTATGTAAAACTGTTGTAGAAGAAAAACATTGCAAATTGGCAGAAAACCTTTTTTTTCCCCAACAGAAAAAAAAATTACTTCAGAAAGCTCATGCCCGAATCTTATACTGTACTACTAACTGTACTGGGAACAGGACAATATCTGAAATAAATGCATACATTTTCTGTAGAGTGCCATGAGTCAGTCAACCAAAACTGGAAGAACACTGATCTTAGTAGTCTTGACCAGATTTCAGGCCCTCATTGGGGCGACATCTAGACGATTAAAAAACCCTCAATTCCCTTGAAACGTAGGGGCCCATATTTACTCGCCACCTTGGGATTTTCAGCTTTAAATTGTATTACCACCGACTACCGAGTTAGCAGCTTGTTCTAGAGATCCTCGCTTATTCAGCATGTCCCATCAATTATACTTCAACTTGAAAAAGTTATTTTTTTTGTTGCTAAATTCGATTTCGTCATTTTGGTTTTTCACACAACGTGGATCCTCAAGATATACCATACTTCTTCAGTGGAGCTTCAAAAACAGACTGGGCAATAAAACATTTAGATACTGTGCTAAATTTCAAATTTTATTTTTAGAAAATATGCCGAAAGAGAGGTCCATTTTATTTCGTACTGACCTTGCCACCGAAACCTCCTTCGGATCCGTCTCCTAGACCTCCACCTCTCGTCGGCTTCGTATTGAATTTCTCCTTCAATCCTTCCAGAACCTCTTCTTTCGCCAGCTTCTCTTCATTCACACTCACCCAGAAACTCTTTTCGGACAACTTTTGGGGCGTTATCTATTCAAAACACNAAAATGGCCAGTTTCACGCGCTCGTAGGACAGGTGTTTGAGCGGGCCGCCGAGAAGGATGGACAGGTTCTGCGCGGCTTTCGAGTCCAGGACCCGTAGCTCTTTCGTCTTTTTGTTGCCACCCACGCCCTGGAATGAATCGTCGACGTTAAATCCTCATCCCTCCATTTTAAATATTCAAGTACGGTATTTGTGAAAAGTAAGAAGAAGAAACAAAATTCATGGACCCGGGAATCACACAACAAATACACGGCCCATCAGGTCATACCTATAATATGTAAAACTGTTGCAGAAGAAAAACATTGCAAATTGGCAGAAAACCTTTTTTTTCCCCCCAACAGAAAAAAAATTACTTCAGAAAGCTCATGCCCGAATCTTATACTGTACTCGGAACAGGACAATATCTGAAATAAATGCATACATTTTATGTAGAGTGCCATGAGTCGGTCAACCAAAACTGGAAGAACACTGATCTTAGTAGACTTGACCAGATTTCAGGCCCTCATTGGGGCGACATCTAGACGATTAAAAAACCCTCAATTCCCTTGAAACGTAGGGGCCCATATTTACTCGCCACCTTGGGATTTTCAGCTTTAAATTTATAATGGTGGCTGATGGCTCAATCGTCGAACAAGATCTCTAGGAGCGAATAAGTCGTACAGGGTAGTTAATATGAAGTTGAACTTTTTCAATAAAAACAACAACGATTTAAGCTAAAGCAGTAAAACGTTTTTCACACAACGTGGATCCTCAAGATATACCATACTTCTTCAGTGGAGCTTCAAAAACGGACTGGGTGATGAAATGTTTAGATACCGTGCTAAACTTCAAATTTTATACAAAGAAAATATGCCGAAAGAGAGGTCCATTTTATTTCGTACTGACCTTGCCACCGAAACCTCCTTCGGATCCGTCTCCTAGACCTCCACCTCTCGTCGGCTTCGTATTGAATTTCTCCTTCAATCCTTCCAGAACCTCTTCTTTCGCCAGCTTCTCTTCATTCACACTCACCCAGAAACTCTTTTCGGACAACTTTTGGGGCGTTATCTATTCAAAACACAAAAGAGGCAATAAATAAAAATGCAGCGTTGCTTACTCGAAGAAAACAAACGAAAACCTTTTTCCAGTTGGCCCGCTTCAAAGTAGCACCTTCCAAATTCCACTTCTTCTTTGGTTTCATCCCAAACGGCAGCTCTTCTTTGGCTCTCGGGGGAGTGGCCTGCATCCCAGGCCCGCCAAACATCGGCACTCCACCCATCATCCCTGGGGGCGGCGGTGGAGGTGGCGGCATTCCTGGCCCACCAGGCATCGGTGGAGGCGGCGGGGGAGGCGGTGGACCGCCACCACCTACACAAACAGAGAGAAAAAAATGTCTGCTCAACAGCACCTTTTTTTCCCCCAAGAAATTCTCTTCATAGCTGCTTTATTTTTTTTCGGCGGCAGACAAGGAGTTGTGACAGCATTTCATCCACGGAAACTTACCCATTCCAGGCGGCGGTGGTGGTGGCGGCGGAGGAGGCGCCCCACCTCCTCCTCCGCCGCCCCCGCCTCCTGGTCGACCGGGTGGTGACTAACGTCCCGGAAAAGGTCCCCCAAACGGCGGTACGTCACCGCCGCCCTAGCCCCCGTGGTGCTGAGACGGCCGCGGGCCAGTCGGAGGCACTCCTCCGGCCTCGTACGCGTTCAACTGCTGCTTCGTCTGCTCTAACGTCGCCTCCAGCTCTTCCTTCATGAACAACGTCTCGTCCAGCTTCTTCCTCAGCTCCTGTTCGCCGCGCATTTCCGCCTGCGCTTGAACTGTCGCCACTGTCGTGTTCAAATGAAAAAAAAAAAAAAGAGAAGTTCTTGGCTCATGAAAAAGAACGACAAGCAATCGGAAATGTGACATCTTCCTTTAAACATAACGCTTGATGAGCAGCGATAATTTTTTTTTTCGATCTTCCCACTTCATCTAATCGACCATGACGATTTCCTTGACCGATAGTAGATGTCACTGCTCAGTGCACACTGACTCGCATCTCTGCCCCCTTTCCCCCTGCTTCATCAACTAGGCTACATTTATGGATCAAGATTAATCCTCTTCAACATTTGTAAAAACTCCCCCAAGAGGCAACCATAATCCATCAAGAAATACATGAATAAATACCTGCATGTCTAATAAATTGTTCTGCTTTGTCCATCACAATGACGGATTGCTTGTGAGTCAACAGATGTCACAATGGTATTTGTGACTGTCAGTGACGTTCGGAGGTTACAATCGTTTTTGGAAGCATGCATTTAGACTGAATGAATAGAATTTTCTCTCCGGACTTTCCTGAGGCACGAAATGATGGTGAAAATTGAATCGAGACACACCTTGCAGGGCATCCAGCAAGGCTTCCCTGTCGATGACGAAATGCCTAAAGTTCGGATCCATTCCGGTTTTATGCAGAACAACTTGGCTGACCATTTCCTCCAGTAGTCGGTAATAGGCGGGTCTCACATTCGGCTCATCTCGAATAAATAAAAAATGTTGCAAAATCGACAAGAGGGACAATTCCGCAGGAGTGTCCAAAACGATATTTTTCACAAGCTCGAAGCACTCGTCCAGGTCATCCAATGCCACACGTTCCGCGTCAAATCTGTGCAGACATAGAAATAAAACAACATCATTGAGGATGAGACGCGAAATTGAATTTCGTTTTCGTGTCTCAAGTTTCCTTGTCATCGCTTTCTGGAAGGTCTTTCAATTCATATGAAAAGTTCTGAAAACTCTAAAGATCAGCTAACAAACGAAAATTTGCATCTTGCTGATGTTCATTATCGGGCGACTCTCAAAATATTTCAGTGGCACTTATTGCAATCAACGGATTTCCGCAGCTGAAGAGTCCAAAACAAGACCCACTAAATGCAAATGTGGTGGCTTTACAGAGTTTAAAAAAGTTGAATCGTACAAGAATTCTCGCAAAAAAAGGCAGCATAAAACATTTTACGACGTTTACCCAATACTGAACTTCGGTTCAATGGGGTCAATACTGGAAGCATTATTTGTAATCCCCATCATTTCATAACGCATCATTTCTTCATCCTCTAAAAAAGCAGATTTTTTTTTCGTTGATAAAAATTCACTAGGTTTATCGTGAAAGTCTTCGTCTTGTTGTTTTTTTTTTCTTTTCTGGAGAGGCCCCTGGAAACTCAATTGGCATTTGCTCGAAGAATCGACGACTTTCCTTTCTCACTCCCCCCCGGGGAAAAAAATTCTCATTTTCTCGCAACATTTACCTGGCGCAGAGATCTTCGTAGTCCTCAGCCTTGTGCTCGTCAAAGACTCGGAGCTGGGTCGCGAGACTCGGGTCAAGCCCCGACCCGCACCGTCGCAACTTCTCCAACGCGTCCCCCAACCCGGCCCGATTGAACTCGTTTCGCAAATGCACCCGAAACTCCAGCTCCTCCGGCTGCGACACCAACGCATTCGTGAGCTGCAAACACGCAGTTTGCAACAACGCCGTGTCCTGATTGAGGCCGGCAACAATTCCCGAGAACCGTTCTTCAGCTGCGGACTGACTGCCCGGGATCCCGCGGGTCTCGGCGCACATGGTGATGCCGTTGAGCACGAGCTCGTAGCCCTCTCTGTTGGCGATGCACAATGCAGCCACTAGCTTGACAGCTTCCAACATGACGCCCGGGGCCCGCGGGTCCATGCATCGGGCCAGCGTCACGACTGAGTCCTTGGTCTCGTACATCTGCTTCAGACCGATCCGGTTGTTCATGGTGGACTTGAGGCAACGAATCACTTCCAACTGGATCCTCTCCCATTTTGGGTCCCTGAACAACAAGTTTTTAGCGACGAAATAAAAATTCAGCTGCACTCCCTTCCACGATTCTCCCCATTCATCAAACAATTTTCGTAAAACAAGAGGGTCCCCTGGCAAACATTGTCCTTGAATTTTTAGAAAATCGAATTACACTTCATTTTTCGAGCACCGACAAAAAGTCGCGATTTTTGAGAAAGTCATTGCGGAAACGTAAGCAGAACTAGTATACGAAATATTGGAATACCTTAGAATTATAATTTTAGAGAAAACGGATATTAATCATTCAAAATGAAAAACTACACGATCAATCCCTGGTCAAAACACCATAGACTTAGGGGAGAAACCAAACAAAAACACGGGTTGCAACTTCAGAAAATTCAATTGAGAATTCAAAATTTGATTTACTCCTTTTAGCGAATATTGCCTCAAAGCTGAGACAATTCAGCATTAAATTGGATAAAAACCTATTCAGCATAAAGTAACTTTCTCGAAAACGCTACAGAATAAAAATTCAGTGAATTAAAAAAAACAGCAAAATCTCGTTAAGAAGAAGCGTTTGGGACTAGAAAAAACCTTCGCTATAAACGTTAATTCGTTAAAAAAATTAAAATAACAATTTGGCAGGGACAAAAAAATAATAAAATTCGTTGTAAACACGAATTCACTGTATCGGAGTTCTACTGTATCACAATCGTAGGAAGATGCGAATCATCAACACTATCTCCTCACCCTATTCGCGCGTGACAGTCGGCGAGGACATTCAACAAGGATTTCAGACCAGTGTTGCCAAACTGCTTGACCCATTCGAGAGTGCGATTGGTGAGGTCGACTCTCAAGGACGTGATGAGGGCTTGCACGTGCTTGGCACTCATGTCCTGGACACGGCCCAGGACCGCCACGTAGTCCGCGGGTTCTTCGCATCTCCGATCGGCGCCGGTCCCGCCGCCACTGCTGCCACTACCGTGTCCCCCTGACCATCCACTGCCACCGGATCCGTGTAACGATTTCTGTGAGAAGAGAAATCTGAATGTGACGCCCGATCCTACAACTTTTGTTTCCTCGAACTCAACGCAAAAGGGGCGAGCCGGAGTTTTCATTAAAAAAAATAATAATTAAATGCCGTAAAAACCCATCGCAACGAACTCGCAGGAAGTTGCTGAATAATTTGTTATGAAATTATTTTCGAAATAAATTACCAAAAAAATATTCAAGTTAGAGATGCAGATCATGCAGTATGTTGCTTTTATGTCTTTTTCTGTTGCTTGGCGAACTCAGTAGTACTTCGAATAAATTACTTTCTTGAGGGTGGTGAAACTTTTTCACGTGTGCGAAGTCTGCAAACCCAGGAAAATTTTGAGCTTCTCATGAAAAGTGAATTCTAGGCATTTTCCTTCTTGCTCTTTTTTATACCCATTCTTCGGGGCTATGTCATGGAATTGGTACGTATTTTATAACAAGATCTTTTTTCAACATTTACCCCATAAGTTTCCTGCCAGTACTTGGGGAAAACAGTTTTTTTACAGCACTTGAAATTTCTTTTACAACGGTATTTGTTGTAATGAGATTTTAGCGTAAAAGCCTTTTACAACAACAAAAAAGCACATCGTACAACGCTTTTGTTCTTTCGCAAGACTGAACTGGATCATACAGTTGTTTATTTGAATCGAAATTCAAGATGTTTTGATGTCTTACACCGATAACTTAGAGAATTTCTTCGTCTTTACAAAGGTATAGCGTAATAATGTTCTGCCTTTTCCGCATATTCCAAGTTCACGTGGAATATTTTAGGTTAGGTCAGGCTAAGACACGTTCATTGGGTCAATTTTGGCTATTGGCTGTTGAGGTTATTGAAGACAAATCTCTGCATTGCAAGAAAGCAAGGTTAAAATTTTTTTTTCAGTTTCTCAATGGTATCTGATGCATCTCTGCACATGACTTTTCAAAAGCCAGAAGCGTCAAATAAATAAATAAGATTTTTCGAAATGGAAGAGAAAACGCATACTTTCTTTGTAAGGTAATGCATGCTCAGCACTTTCTTCTTCGACTCCAATGGCTGGGCCCGCAAAGGCGCCTTCTTCTCGTCCGAGAGATTCATGTCATCCTATGTGAGAGGAAATAAATCATACATCATACATTCTACAGCAGGAAATAATTTCAATTCCATACGCTAGTTTCGTGAAAAAAAAACGGAAGTTGGATTCAAATTACTTGATCCCTTATTGTTCAAAAGTTTATCACGGTCAGGAAAAATTCAAATTAGGTTCCATCGTTCACGATTACAGCTCGTGTGATGGCGTGTTTTGCTTCGTTTTTTTTTTTTTTTTTTTTTCTCCTCACCAACATGACTTCAAATTCCCGATCGAACTCCTCGGGACTCAGTCGCTCGACGTGGCTGCTCGCAGAGTCGGAATAGACGCCGCTACTGCCGCCACTGCTGGCGTCTGACGCGTAATCACCGCCGCCAAAGCCTCCTCCACTGCCACTTCCGATTCTCCCATCTCTGGACGACTTGTGCTTGTTACTCTTGATGCCCATTTTGTCCAGCTGTGGAATTTAAAAACAACAAAGCTATGCTGAGAGATTTGAAACCCGATGAATGGAGAAGAATCAATTGTATTTCGGCGTACACTGAAGTAGAGTTAATTAGAGTTAATTTTGCTAGATTTTGTAGATTTGGGTTGGATTATGGATATGTCCAGGTCGCGTTAGACATTGCTTAAGTAAGGTAGTTATTAATTTAGGCTGGGTTAAGTAAGGTCATGCATTAATTTATGTTATGCTGCATTTACTGAGATGAGATTAGGCACCGATTGAGGTTAGGCTATGCATTGACTGAAGTTAAATTAAATTTGGTTTAAAAAACTGAAAATCGATTGAATTGGTCATCAGTTCAGACTACAGACTAACTGATGTTATTCACTCAAACCTCGATAAAATCCGCCGCCATTTGTTTGCAAGGTTTGTGGCGATTTATCGGGGTTGGAAGTTTAACGGGGATTGGCGGTTCATCAAAACGGCTAAAATAAGTTGAAAATCAATTTTCATATAAAAACAAAATTCTTGGTTTCCTATACAACAATCAAAAAACCATGGATGCGTAAATTATACCTAGCTCATGATTCCAAATAGTAAATTATGCCATCTTTCGGTTTTTGTTCATTTCTCATATTGCAAGCCTCTCACAAAAACTTGAATCTTGTTGGCGGGCTATCAAAGACAGAATTAATTTACAGGATCACATTTAAATTGTCAATAATTTAGGCGGATGACGTTTCAACTAGGTTTTCAATGCTATTATCGTTAGGGAAAGTTTTTTTTTCATCAAAATAAATTTGCCCATTGCGACAAGAGTTACGGCTTATCGGGGTTTGACAGTAATTATGGTTCAGTACGGATTCAGGTTCGATTTGTGAAAATAAAATTTGCACACCTGTACGACACATACAGACGATTTTCAAACGCGGAAGAAAAAAAAGGAAAATTCTCTCACCATCTTTGCCCCCTTCCACTTCTCCGAACGACTCATGGTGACTCTTCGAAAAATTAAAAAAAAGAACAAAAAACTAAACTAAACCAAGTTGTGACCCGAGGTACACTTGACGGAAGAAGAGGAGCGGGCACACCTCTCTCTTTCCCCCAAACACAAAAACACTCTGGAAAAAAAAAGAAGAAACGTGAATTCCCACTACAAATGAGAATTTCAAATCCAAAACTTTTTGTAGAAAATAAAGAAATCAGGAAATCGTGGACGGAATGTGAAGCTCTTCCCCCCTCTTGAGAAGGAGAAAGAACCTCTACCGCAATCCATCGTCTTCAACATAGCATAATCCCCCCGGCGCGAGCAATCACGAATGAGCTACACCAGATGTCGCTCGTCTCCGCCAATCGGAAAAAAAAGCCATCCGGACACAAAAATTCCGCTTTTCGATACACGAAGGAAGCAAAACATTGGAAACGAACAAAAAAAAAGAGTGAAACGCACATCCCATTCATTCCCACTAGCAAAAAGAAGACTACAATCGATTTTTCTTTTTCGCTCTTCACCCAAGGCACGCGCTTTGGTTCGCTGGACCATCACTCGCATATAGTTTTTCTTTTTCATTTTTCTTCAAGGAAAAGAAGCGGTGGATTCTTACTTTTGACGTGCGGTGTGTGTGGTTTTTTTTTTTCAAGGTTCATTTGCAGGAAGATCCCACTGCCAATTATTTGGCACTAGAGTCTCGCATTCAATCTTTCTCCAAGCACGTTAAAAGAGAACAGGGGAGAAATCCAGGAAATAAAACGGAAATAACAGTCCAATAACTAACAAATGCACTATTATCAGAGCATGACGTTTTCGAATTTTGAAACTTCTGAAAATGAAACCAACTTTTTAAAAATAATGCTAATAAAAGTAATGAGTACTACTTTTTCAATTCACGAGGAAATGGAGTAGAAATCCAGCGCGTGTCGGGGCCAAAAGTTAGATCCTGAACACTTATGGGCACATTTTTCAGGGATCGGCAGAAATTACTTTTAGAGCACTAGCTTTTAAATATTCCTCCAGCTGGGATTTTAATTATTCCTTCTTCTTGCGTGTTTAGTTGACGAGGAACTTTATAGCAAAATTTTTCCAAGTCTTGCAAATTTTTCTATGTCGTCTGGTGCCCAACAACCGGATCAGAAAAGAAAAATCATCCTTAGCAACCATCATTCTACATACACTCACGTTCACAAGATTCAAACCCACTCACGACCAAAAAAAAAAAAAAAAACGAGGGGAAAAAAACACATCAGTGACACAAGAGGATTTTTTTCCGCTGCACAGATCGTTCATTTTTTCTCTTCTCGTTTCCAGTTTTCTTGAAAAATAACCAGTTGAATTTCCAGGTTCTTCCTCACCACGAAAATAATAACATCGGCGAGCGCTGTTGCGGGATTTTACCATGTTGAATCCCAACCAACAAACAAGAAAAAAACACGGCGTCGCAGAAAAAAAAAAAACACCAGCTCCATCACTTTCATCCAAAATCCGCGGCTTTTTCTTTCGGCGAGAGACCCACGCAAAAATCACGGATTATTATTTTTCCATTGCCAAAGGAATAACAGGAAGGAGAGACACATAGAAGGACTCGATTTTTCTCACACAAGTCGAGAAAAACGAACGGGAAGAAAAAAAAAGATACACGGAAAAGGAGAAATCAGGCAAAGCCAAAGCCTTCCGTACACTCCTGCACCGCCAGCAAGAGATTCGTTCTCAGCTTGTCGTAAGTCTCGTAAGCCGGCAAGTCCAGTTGGTTGAAGCAAGTGTGGGCCGACGGCAGGCGATCCGTCGATCGGTCGTCCCTGTGAATCTGAAACTTCTGCGCCCCGTTCATGCCCTCGAGCGCCGCAAAGCCCTGCAACGGCACCTTGCTCGTGCCCGTGACAAACTGCAAAAACTTGGCGCGGTCCGCCTGTTCAAACGACCGCAAAGCGCGCCAAAACCACTGAATCTGCAACGAAGTTGCCGTGTACTTGTGGTACTCGGTGTTGAGGCGCAGGTCGTCGATGTCGATCGACGGCAGGCCCGAGATCAACAGCTCCAGCTCCTGTTCGTTTGCGTAAATCCAAAGATAAATCATCACTTGAAATCTTCTCACCAAGAATTCAAAAAAATCAAATTTCATAAGAAATCAGGGCACTCTAAAATCTGAGTTTTTCCCATCTGACAATATCAAAACAAAACCAAGATTCCTAGCAGAATATGGAAAAAAAGCAAAAACAATGCTGTAGCTCCAAAAGAACCTAAATTTACACTATTGTACGTTTCGCCAGATTTTCATTTCAAAATCTTGTACAGTAGTGTACGTGATCATGCTTTGAGTGATTTCTTTTTTCAATTACCATGAGCAAAAATATTTATTAAAAATTCCACCCTTCGAAGGCAGGGAGACAAATAGGCGGAAAATAATGCAGATATATCCATAGTTGTTTAAGAAACAGTGGCAACACCACAAAAATTGAATAAATGCCTTCTGAAAAATCTTGATAATTCATCATAACGAGGTTTTTATAGCATTAAGCAGTAGTAATTCTACTACTCCATGCTATAGTTGCTTGGGAGACCAAGAAAACATCACAAAAAATTAAATAAATTCCTTCCTTGGGAATTTCTTACAATGACGTTTTTACAGCATTGTACCCCGCGTTTTTATCGGAACCTTAAGAAAAAAAAAAGTGTTGATCAGCGAAACAAAAAAATTCTCTTCAAGATTCGGAGATCACTCGCACACTGTGAAAAACGATCGTCACACCTGTTCGTTGAAAATGGAGATGAGCCGCTTCGGGATGATGTCGTAGAAGCCCTCGAGAAACGCATTCAACTGCTTCCGAATGGCGCCCGTCATCTTCTCCTGACACACGAGCCGGATGTACTCGGCCTTCCGCTCCTCCGTCACCGGAATGTGGCGTCCGTCCGAGATCAAGTCCCGCACGTCCGTCACGCCAAACTCCTGCACTGCCAGCGAGAACGTCAGCTCCATGTCCGTCGTCACTTCGTGTTCCAGGAGGTAGACCAGGCCCTGGTAGTAGGCGTAGTCCTCGCTCTCCATGTCTGTGTAGCGCACGGGTTTGCCCAAGATGTGCTTGTAGAAGGCCCGCGTGAAGTAGCACTCGAGTAGCTTGTTGTCGTACACGGCCTTGGCGATGAGTCGACCGACGAACTTGAAGTACATCAAGTGGCTCGGGTTGCAATGCGACGAGCTGTTGATCATGTAAGTCACGCGATCTCCCGGCGACGTAGTGAATAAGGCATAGTTCGGATTGAAGATATCCTTCGAAATGATCAGGTACCTGCGAAAACACCGTTTTTTTTATTGCAATGCGACGAGCTGTTGATCATGTAAGTCACGCGATCTCCCGGCGACGTAGTGAATAAGGCATAGTTCGGATTGAAGATATCCTTCGAAATGATCAGGTACCTGCGAAAACACCGTTTTTTTTCCACAGGGTCAAAAATCCGAGTCAGAAATTCGTCCAGTTATTGATAAATGTCATTCAAAATTAAATACTGTCGTCCTCTAGGATCTAGGTCATGGATGAACCATGTGTGGGAAAATCTCTGAATTTGATCAGAAGTACTGTAAGTGAAAACTCTGTGGCAAGGTTTCTTACACATTTTACTTGCATAACCAATTAAAATGTACCTAACCAATTAAATGTACCTAACCAATTAAAAATTAAACTATTTTATTTTTACTTTCAAGACAACCGATACTATAAGAACAGGAGCATGTTTAATTAAAAAAATAGGTTTTTGCCTCACCCATTTGATTGTTACAGTTTAACCTCGATAACTCGAATACCTCCCTAATTCGGATTTTTTCAAGTTCCCGTCTGCATTCCCTCAAGAAAGAATGCATTAAAAAACATTTCTAACTCAAAGGCTTTCGCTCTCAAAATTTCCATAACTCACATTTTCTAGAGGCCTTCCGGCTATTGTTTCATTACACAGGAAAGAGAAAAGCAATACAAAAAAGTGACTACAAGTGTTTTAAAAGGAAGTGAAAGACAATTTGGGCAAATAAACCCTTGCCTCCAACTTCAGCATTTTGTCAACTCAATTTAAATAATGTACAGTTAAAAGATCCAAAAATCATACATTGAAATTTCCTGCGATTCTTCTTTCTTTTCCCCCTGACAAAAAATGCCCGTTTCCCCAACTAGATCTTTTTTTTTTTTTCCCGTTCGTTTTTCTCTACTTGTGTGAGAAAAATCGAGTCCTTCTTTATTGCAATGCGACGAGCTGTTGATCATGTAAGTCACGCGATCTCCCGGCGACGTAGTGAATAAGGCATAGTTCGGATTGAAGATATCCTTCGAAATGATCAGGTACCTGCGAAAACACCGTTTTTTTTTCCACAGGGTCAAAAATCCGAGTCAGAAATTCGTCCAGTTATTGATAAATGTCATTCAAAATTTAATACTGTCGTCCTCTAGGTCATGGATGAACCATGTGTGGGAAAATCTCTGAATTCCATAAGAAGTACTGTGGGTGAAAACTCTGTGGCAAGGTTTTTTACACATTTTACTTGCATATACTGTACCTAACCAATTGAAAATTGACTATTTTATTTTTACTTTCATGACAACCGATACTATAAGAACAGGAGCATGTTTCATTAAAAAAATAGGTTTTTGCCTCACCCATTTGATTGTTACAGTTTAACCTCGATAACTCGAATACCTCCCAAATTCGGTTTTTTTTTCAAGCTCCCGTCTGCATTCCCTCAAGAAAGAATGCATTGAAAAACAATGCAAAAAAGTTACTTCATGTGTTTTAAAAGGAAGTGAAAGACAAATTGGGCAAATAAACCCTTGCCTCCAACTTCAGCATTTTGTCAACTCAATTTAAATACAGTTAAAAGATCCAAAAATCATACAATGAAATTTCCTGCGATTCTTCTTTCTTTTCCCCCTGACAAAAAATGCCCGTTTCCCCAACTAGATCTTTTTTTTTTTTGGGCTGGTCCCTTGAAGTTAGACTTGAAGACGTTCAACTCCACTGCATCATCAAACGATACAATGTCTCTTTTTCACTGCCTCAAATCGAAACGTACCATTCACGAAGAAGACCACCAGCATCCTGGCCTTCTTCGCCTTCGAACACGATGTAGAAACGGTTCTTCCACTCTTCCGGCGAACGACGATACAAGTCGCGGAACGAGTCCTCGAACACGAAGTTTCGACGCACGTTGACAGCCAGGTCTTCGCGACGATGGTTCATGTCCAGCCGCTCCAGTTCCGTGCGAAAGTACTTCCGCTTCACGTCAAAGTCCAGAATTCGCGTGTGGTCCACCAGCACCGAAAAGGGCCCGTCGGCCAAATGCACAGTCGACTGTCGCAGAATGTGGTTAAGCACTTGTCGATGCGTCTCCGCAAACCTGCAACAAACACACACACACAAAAAATGTCACGATTTTACTAGAGGCTAGAGTCATCAAAAAAAGTTTCTTTCTTTGCGCGCGCGGGTTAAAGCCATCCATGATCGCAGTAAAAAATAATTAAAAAAAAAATAATCATTTGAAAATACTGTATTAAATATGAATGGACCCTCACTTGAGGAATTTCCGAGTATCCGGAGGAAGTTCGGGCTGTTGCGCAAGCTGCTGTCCCGATGCAGACGCACCACTCAGCAGTGGACTATCACTTTGCAAATGGCTGCTCGCTGCTGGGGACAGCGGCGCCATCACGTCCTCTTGCTGAATGTGGGCCAGCTGAGACTCGCGCGATTCCCGCTGAGCATGTGCTGCTCTGTTCTTCCGATCACTAGAGTTCATTGGTGACGCGTGTACTAGAAAAAATGCCTCCACAGCGGGCTGCAAAAATAATTGATGAAAAACATGATATAAAATGTTGTACACAGATGAAAGAATATTAATTTTGCTTCAATTCAAAGAATCCCTCTAGAAACTCATCAAACACAAAAATTAAAATCTTCAACGAAGAGTCAACATTTTTTTCAACCTTCGAGTGAAGATCATGCGAATGAATTGTCTTTGGAGGCAGACATGTCCGAAAGAAATTACTTAAAGCAAAAAACCATTAAATTGAGCATTCCACACTTCTCAATCTTTACAGATAAACCGTGAGAAAACAGAGATCCCACTGATGACGAATTTCTCGCCAAAATTTCACCTGCAAAACCAGCACAGCGTGCGGGTCAGGAGTTTTGGACAACTCAGTCAAGCACTCGCTCAACTTGTCCCACAACTCGTCCAGACGCAGCAACTCGCTCAGCCTCTCTTTCTCCTCTTCCTCTCGCTTCTTCTTCTTCCTCAACTCTTCCTCCTCCTCCTCTTTTTTCCGCTTCTTCTCCTCTTCCTCGTCGTCATCGTCGCCGCCGTCATCATCCGGTTGTCCAGGTGCTACTGCAGCCGTTACTGGTGCAGCATCCGATGATGCCGGTTGGTCAGTCTGGTCAGGGTCACTCGTTGAATTCGGGACAGATTCTTGCACAGCAGCGTTTCCTGCGGGCCCTGAACCACCTGCTGCTGGCCAGTGTGCATCAGAAGCATCCGTCGTCGTGGCGTCCAAGTCCATAACGCTTTGCGACTGAACGAAAAAGATTATTTTCAAAATTAACGACAACATTCCCGAAACCAGCGGTTTTAAAGAAGAAAAAGAAGGGACACGAACTCCACGATGAACTGAAAAATCGATCGAATTCTCCAATTATTCCACAAATTTATCGTAAATTCAATCGCTGTAACGCTGAATTCAAACAAAAACCCTGCACTGCTCTTTATTCGGATTCATGCAACATTTGTGGCCCAAATCGTTCATGGTCACAATACAAATTTCAAAACATATTTCCAGGCACTAAACATACAGTGAAAATTATTCTTATTCATCAGGGCCCATCTTCTGGGTACCAATAATACCTGATTAATTACATAATGTGCTTTTAAATTGTACAAAGGCTTATTTCGTGAATACTTCAGGTTTTCAAGGATCAAGAGGTTAGAGTACTTTATTTGAAACCAACTATATTGTTCTTAAATTTAACAGACGGACAGAAAAAAAAAACTCACATCTCGAGATCCGCGACCAACGAGACCTTCAAGCGCGTATCGCTCATCGGAATCAAACTCAACGGCATCCAACACGTCAGCTGGATACAAGAGCCGTCGCAACTCTGAAATAAGCAATCCTATGACACAGTATATTCATGCTCGCATCACACAAGCACTTTTAATCCAAACGCAAAACGAGTCAACACCAAGAAAACTCGATCGGAAAAAATACTAACGGGTGCTGCGCGGGGCTCTGGACGTCGGCATTCGAAAGTGACTCGGTCCTCGTCCACCTCCTCGGCCGTTCCTCGACAAGAACTGCTGCGATTGACCCTGAAAAGGGAGGAAAATCGAGTTGACAATAGAGGATACCGGTAACGAAACTCAAACAAAACAAAAACAGTGATCAATAAATGTTAAATGGTGATAACTTCATTTGAATTGTTTACACTTTACAGTATTCACCTGATCCCCGTTCGCAGCATTTGTCCTCATTTGAATGATGACTTTCAGCAGCCTGAGAAACGTGGCCTGACCAGAAGACTTGGCCGACAGCAAACTCATGCTCGGCAAGTGCAGCTCGAGTCCAGTGGCGGCGCCGTTATTGGTGGTAGTGCCGCCGCGAATCGCCGACACTCCAGCAGGGACACCAGAAGGCGGAGCATTGATCACTACCATCGAACCTTTGACGAACCGATCCGGCAAAGCGCCACCCTTCACCTTGTTTGCGTCACAGCCCAGGGCGGTGGCGGTTGCGCCGCCGCCGCCAGCAGACGTCGACTGCTGGCCCGCGGCGTCGCCGGGGCTAGCAACCGCACTGCTCGCATTGAATTCTCTCAGCTCCCGCAGGAGACACTCAATGTTCCTCGAAATCGACTCTCCTAATCGCGTTGTTCCAGCAATCAAGAATGCTAGAATCTGAAAAATGCGAAAATTATCAAGGCATGAAACAAAGCTAGAAAAAAAATTTTTTTTAATAGCAAGAAAATATCCGTGAGACGAAAATTTGCTGTTCCTCAACAAGTACTTCATGAGACTAAAAGGGCACAATTTGTCATCATTTTGAAAAAAAACTGATGGAACTACTTCGAACTTTTTTTATACCAAAACAATACGTACCTTCAACAACTTTCTGGGAACATGTTAAAGATTAATAGTAGTCGCAGAGCGAATAAGAATCAAGCGTCCGGTAGAAAATAATCACCGTCAAACAAATGAATAATGTTATTCGAAGCTAACAGAAAAATATTTAAAAAACATTGAAGAAAATAGCACTGACAAAAATTTAAATCGATTCAATGAAATTTCTCATTCAGCAGGAATTCCATCATTTGCTGCCGCTTTAAAAAATTCAATTAAATTTTTTGAATAGTTCTGGCACCCCCCAAGGTATTCATAAAAAATCAGAAGGATAATTAAAACAAGATTCAAGAAACAATGTGCATTCAAGTTTCTCATTTACCAAGAGCTATTCTTACGATTGCGAACATCACCAAAACACGTATGACTGCCAACTATGTTTCTAACGCTCGCTTCAACATTCCCATCACATAGAAACATTTTTGTTTTCCTCACCAGAGTTTTCGTCGACTCGCTGATCTTGGATAAATCAATCAACAGGTTCGTCGCATCCTCCATACCGGCTTCGGAGCACGTTTTCGAGGTCAGCACGTTGACCAGCATTCTCAGCAATGCCTCTGGTACCAAAACAGAACCAGCCTGCTGCTGCTGCTGTTGTTGCTGCTGTTGTTGTTGCTGCTGGCCCAGGCCTGGGGCTCCGAGCTGCTCGTCCCTCTCACTGGCAGGTGCTGCCGCATTGGCAGCGACAGTTCGTCTCTGTTGCTGATCGGAAACCCCATAGGACACAGTACTCAGCACCCGCAACAGCCGGTCCGTCAACGCCGGACTTCGTGAAATCACAGACTGCGACAGCAGGGACATGAGCTGGCCCGCTGGCGCCGCTTCAAAGCTAGTCACTCCAGTTGCTGCAGCAGCTGCGCCGCCGCCACTACTTCCGGCCTCTGTCTCGCTCACGCTACTCTGCGAACGCGTCACAGACGTCTTGCTGCTGCGTCCAGGCGTCGTCGGAGTGGCGGCCGACCTGTCCAGCCTCACCAGGACGTCCCAAAACGACGGAGGATGTGGGGAAGAACTCGATGCCGTCGCTGCGATGGTCTCGTGCGACGCCGACTGCCGCAGTTTGTTGGCAGACTTGGGTGGCTTCGGCTCAGGCTCCGCAGGTTGTTGCTGGTGCTGCTGTTGATGGCTCGCAAACTGCTGTTGTTGCCGGGTTGGCCAAAATGCCGCCGGGAAAAATCGGGCCAGGGAAACCATGGTGTCGAGCACTTGTCGGCTGACAACCGGTGCCGCTTGTTGATGGAGTCCAAATTCCACCAGCGCTTCTTCCTCGTCATTGCCAGTCACTGTATCACCGGCCGAAACCTGCGTGAAAAAAATGAAACGACACTTGAACAAAAGACTTCACAAATCAAATACTGAAAATATGCCATCAAGATAAAAATTTCAATTAAAATAAAATACAGTACCTCGCAGGAATTATTTCTTTTTTTCTATGCATCAACTTATTTGGGTTTTCTTTCTTCGTTTTTTTTAAACGCATTTCGGAAAATATTGTAAGCGCAGCAACTTTTTTATCTTGTTACCCTAGAAACGCTTCCTACACCTTGAGTTCAATCCTGGAGCAGCTCGATGTTTACACTGGATAACGTCGTGGTGATCACTGAATCGATATACTGTAGTATCATTTTGATTTAAAGTCAAAAGATTTTTACCATAAACGGCCGGGCATCGAAAAAAAAAATTAAAAAATTCCCCGGTGAGAAAAAAAACAAACAAACAAAAAAACACGCGAAAAACACAGCAAATATTTTTTCTTAAATGAGATATCAATCACCGAACATCAAGCTCACAGAAAATATAAACCTCACAAATGATCAATGGAGATAATGTGCGCAACAAGAGTCAAAACCTCCGTAACGTAATCTGGATTTTTTCCCTTTTCTTTTAAACTTGCTCTCTTTATGTGGACCACAGTCGAAAGGTAATTTTAAAACAACAACAAAAGTTAATCACAAGAAACGCATGCAAAACAAAAAGAAAAGATACAACACACCAAAAAAAAACAACAACAAAACTAAGAGGGCGAACCTGGAAGATATGAGCACGCATTCCAAGCGCAGTGTCCAAACTCAACGTGAGCCAGTTGGGGGTGACATCTGGCGACTGAACAGCATTCTGCGACGCAGTAGTCCTCGCACTCGCCGCCGCCGCCTTTTGCAACACGCTCAACAGCGACCCAATGATCCAGTCCCTCGTTTGCTGGTGATAACACAAGTTCTTCAACACACGATGCAACCGATTCACGTGCAGCTTGGGGTCATCGATAAACAGCAACACGAGCAAGCACGCCAATCCGTCGTGGTCCAGCAGCTGACGTCCACGGAGTCGCAGTGTGGACGACGACGACGACTGCAACTGGTGGCTACCACCAGCTCCGCCACCGCCGCCACCACGGGCTGCAGCCACTGCAGCCGCCGTCGCCGCAGCTGCCGCTGTGATCGGCGCAGACCGTTGCCAGGGATAATTCGAATAGCGTGACGAGTTGCCGGCAAACATCCGGGAACACATGTAGTCCGATCGGCCGCGCGTCGACGGCACTTGGTGGTGACCCTGGTAGCGGCTCGACAACCGCCCGTTTCCAATGACTCCCGACCTACTGAAGAACACCCAACAAATTATGACGCCGAGCAAACACCAGAGAACGAACCAAAGCCGCGGGAAGGAAAATTCTTTCCACTCGGAACCCGATCAACATTTCTTTCTTCTTCAATATTTACAGTATCAGAGAACCTGATTTCATGCTGAAGCTGAAGAATTACTACTGTGACGATTACTTCAGGCGAAAAGCTAATCAAGTAGAGTAACTGGTTTATATGAGAAATTGAAAACAGGAAAAGCGAGGTGAAGCACACGGTGATCTGCCCAAGCATAAAATAACTTCTGCCCAACACTAGTACTGCGCAAAAACATTAGCCTCATATTTTCAAGTGAGTGAACTTGGAAACCCGGTCAAGAATTGCTCAATAGCGAAGAGAAATCTCCAGTTGTCCCCTTTTCTGTGATAATTCGACAAAAGTTTGTCAATATTTTCCTTTTTATTGCCTGACATTTTCGACACACACGTTGAGTTATGAAGTCTGCCAAACCTAATTGAACGTACTGTACCTTCCGTTTATTTTTTTCTCGAAGTAAAGTTGGGAAGCTATGCGCAAAAATCTCTTCATCAAGTCGTAGAATCATAACTTGGAATGACAGATACTGTACCCAAGTTGACTAAAACGACTGATTATTCGTAAATGACCATCGCAGAAAAATAAAACGATTCCAACAATGGATTTTTCGTGGAACGCGACAAATCAGTTTTTCTTCGTCATCAGCTATCACAAAAACTGGCTCTTTACTCGAGAAAATTTAAATCTTGAATTGCTATATGTTTTCAGTTTACAAAAAAATGCTCGCCACGCTCCATTGGCGAATCCAAGTGGGAAGAAGAAGAAGAAGAAGAAAAAAGGCGGAAGGGAAAAAAACAGCGCGCGTTGAAAATTGACAAGAAATAAGCCAAAGGTACAAACCCTAACCTGATGATGGAGGTGATGGCAGCCGACGAGCCTGAATAATACCGTCGTTCAATGTCTTGACGAACTCTCTCGGTCTCCTGCCTCCGCAGCGCCTGGGCCTCCGCCGCCAAATCCGGCGGCAGCGCCTGCAACTGCGTGTCTTCCATCTCGGCCAGTATCTGCTGCCGGAGACCCGGAGCCAGAGTCTGGAAAAAGGACGCCGTGTCCAGGGTATCGTCAGGCCCGCCGGTGCCGCTCCCGCTGCCATCACCACCACGTGCACTTAACCTGGCCCTCTGCTGCTCCAGTCGCTGTTGGGCCAGCACTTCTTCCTGGATATTCGGCGGGAGAGCCGCGAGGAATTCAGGGCTGACTTCCATCACGCTGCCATCGGCTGCTACTGCGGAACTGGCAGTAGTCGAAGTGGCTGCGGCGGCTGCAGCTGCAGCCGCCGCTGCCGCAGTTGTCGTCGCACGGACGCGCAACTGCTGCAGACGCACGTGTTCCGAAATCACTTCGGCTCGCATGTCCTCGGGCAGTGCTGCGAGGAAACTCGGGTCTACTCCTTCCGGGATCTCAATGTCGCCTAAAACGTCGATGAATTCCGGGGGCACTCGCTGCATTCCGTTGCTCCTATTGCTGGTCGTTTCTGCTGCTGCCGCCGCCGCTACTCCCTCTTCTTCTCCTCCTCCTGTCGCCGCAAGAGCACCAGCAGCAGGCGCCTCTTCACCTTCAACTGCAGGCATAGCTTGGTCTTCAGACGCGGGCTCAGTTTCTTCATGAGCCGTGCCCTCTTCTGTCTCGTCTTTCTCGCCCACTTCTTCTTCAATTTGCACCACTTGGGCGTCCATGTCTTCCGGTGGCGGCACATCTGCTGTTGTTGCTGTTGCATCATGAAACACTGCATCTCGCTGCTCGGGAATCGCAGTGTCTCCCGGCGGCCGCTGTTCGTGGTCTTCCTCCTCTTCTTCTTCTTCTTCGACTCTCTGTTGCTCTTCCGACTGCACAACTGGCTCCTGCTCCTGGCTGCCTCCTTCATCCGCCGTCGGTCGTTGTTCTTCATTGTTTTCCGGCGTCGGCGTCAGCGTTGTGGCAGAAGTGACGACGGCAGTGGCTGTGGCAAGTAAAGCAGCCACGTCTTCCGCCTGAGCCGCCTTTCTCGCAGCCTCCGCCGCCTTTTCCATGGCGACTTGCTCGTCGAACGCGGCCTTGGCCAACCTCCGCTGTTCGTCGGCCAGCCTTTCTTTCCGTTCGCGCTCCCGCTTGGCAAAAAGGTGCTGCGTTCGTTGAGTTTCCAACTGGGCCAAGACGGCATTCCGTTCCATGAGTGAGACTTCGTGGCCGGCTTCCGCGTCCAACAACTGGCCTTCTTCTACCCAGCGAAGGACAGTCGAGGGGACAGACGCGTTGCTTGAACAACTACCATCTATGGGAGAAGAAGGAAAAAAGCGTCAGTATAGTTAACTTCTAGTAATCCTTTTAAACTCGATGAAAGAACTTTGTTATTATCAGAAAACGACAAAATAGGAAAAAAACCAAGCGAAGCCATAAAAGAAAATTCTCAGCAAAAATGAAACGTTCATGGACTCTCAAAAGATCAGAATGAAGCCGATTTGAAGAGAATTCGTACCCAGCTGTTGAGTTCTAGCAATCATTCCATACTCAATGCAGAACTTCTTTAAATTAAAAAACGACGAGTTATAAAAAAATTAAAAGCGAAGTCATCAAACAAAACATAACGGCCCAATTGCTTTGCAAAAATAGAATAAAATGAAATAAAAGGTTGGAGGACTCGCAAAAATTCAAAATGAAAATGAAGCAAATTTGAAAAGAAAAATCAGCGTCAAAATTTGAAAAAAATACATTCTTTACTCACTTGTCAGGGACAGTTCGACAACGTCGACTCTGCCAGGAGTTGCAACAGTGGCAGAGAGTGGTGGGAAGGCAGCCAAGTTGCGACGGCGTTGTTCGCCCCACGGCATATCGTCGGTTGTCAGGTAGAATTCATTCATATCGTCTAGACGCTGATGCAGGCGTCCGCCACCGCCGCCTCCGAGCGAAGCGGCCGCCATTGAGGCAGCAGCCGACGCTGCGGCATCCAACTGTCTTGAGGCTATTCCAAAAAAAACATAAAAATCGTCAATACTGTATTTTAAATTTTTGAATTGACGACCAAATTTCTGCGAGTAAAAAGAACGCGAATCACGTTTAATTCAGAGAGAATTTTTTCTAATTCGTTCTCAATTCACTGAGGAAATTCGACCATACTGTAAGCTTTAAAAAAATATTGAAATTCACAAAAAAGTAGGTCTAACAAATTGACTCGTTACTGTATATAGATCCTTAATGCAAATAAATATTCAAAAAGGAGCTTGAAGCCAAGATTGTTCATGTTCGACAAGAAAAATCAACAAAGGAAGATCAATTTCAACGAAATATAATTTAAAGGGTTCGATTTATTTTCTTCGATTTATTTTGAAGTTTTAAAAAAGCTTGTTTTCCCCCATTAAAAAAAACGCGATATCAGGAGAAATTAGCGCAACGATAAGAGAAAGGCTTCTCGCTAAATGATTTCAATTTCGGAAACCTTTTTGAAAATTACAAGTAAAACATAATCAAGAGGAAATTTCGACTGTCGTCACAAGAAAATCTGAAATCATCGACATTAAATTTCTTTGCCAATGTCATTTCATTGTTTTTTCATACCTGAGACGGACACGGACAAGAGATCGTTGGCAGCTCCAGGACCCAGCAACCGTTGCAAAATGGCAGGTGGATTCGTCCTCCTCGACGTTCGCCCTGCATCCGACAACCTATGCGTGTGCTGCTGCTGCTGCTGTTGTTGCAGCATCAGGGGATCTGCAGCGGCGTGATCAGCACCCGCTGTCGTTGATGCTGACGGGGCATTAGTAGCAGCAACTGAGCCTGCCGACGTCAGCAAAGGATGCGTGTAGAATCCAGCATCGCAATGCGCACTACACAAATTACCGCCGCCAGCTCCTCCACTTCCACCGACGCCCGGGGCAAGTGCCGTCACTACTGCTGAAACCCAATACGAAAAACAAATCAAGTGACCGTTGACGAATGAAAATGTCCTTCAGATACAGAGAGAGAGGGAAGGAAAAACCTTCTCCTCACTCCGACGTCCTCTAATCCGTGATTATCTCTAAAATTCAATAGGGGTCACCTGTACGTCAAATGGATTTCCAATTGATTTCTCGAGAAGAACTCGGGTTAGGTTACATGATTTCCGGAGAGTTTTCGAAACTTTCTTTTATAGGTTGATGAATTCCATGAAACAGGACCCCGCTAGCTTTTTGTACTAATCCCAGACTATGAAAAATTCAGAACTGCTACTTTTACGCATAAAAATGAATAGTTTATTTAGACGGATTGACAAATGTATTGAATCAATGAAAAGGTAATGCATCACAACACCGTACTGTCCCTTCGTCATCCCTTCCTTTTTTTGCAACTGAATTAGGGCAATTACTCCGTAATCCATTCATATATTTTTTTGTCAAGAAGAATCAACAGCCGAGTTTTGTGGGTAAAATAGGCAAAACTCACCATCAGCCATGGCGGAGAAGTGCATGAAAGTGTTCGGCGGCATTTCGATGGACACATTCGTCATATCCGCGTCCGTGAGCATGAACAACTCGGCTCTGTCTGAGAAACCCAGGCCTACGTGACGAGGGACGGACACAGCTCCGACGCTATCTTCGTCTTCGTAATGTCCTCCACTTTCGGAGAAGTAGCCCAGCTCCATCGGGTCTTCATCTCGATCTCTGCAAGGTGTCAATTCCCACAAGACATCATTATCGCGTGAAATTTCAAAAAATTAAACTTCAAAAAGTTTCAATTCTGCTTGAACAATACAACTGACAGTGTAAGGGACATCCATTTATTATCAAATCACCTACACCTTGAGGTCGATAAAAAAAAAAATCCATCATGATATCCAAGAAATATGAGGGTTGGTTCATAATTTATTTTTTAGAAATCATCGACAAACCCTCGTACATATGCATCAATACTCACAGGTTGATTTACATAAACCCTAGATAAGAGGAGATTCAGCCAAAAAAAAACCCACCTGTTGTCCTCATCTTCGTCCTCTTCATCCTCATCATCTTCTTCATCGTCTTCATCCTCCTCGTCCTCATCTTCCTCTTCCTCCTCTCCATCTTCTTCATCCTCCACTTCCACCCCAACGGCGTCAGCAGCTGCTCCTCCGGCACCAGCTCCATCATCGTCATCTTCCTCCTCGTCGTCATCATCGTCATCCTCGTCGTCGTCTTCATCTTCGTGACGCACGTTCCGTTCAGCCGCCGAATGCTCAGATAACATCTCGCCGACGGCGTCCCTGAGGCAAGCAGAGTCTTCGTCTTCCTCATCATCATCTTCAACGTCGTTCACGTCGCTGGACCGGTTTTCGCCGCGACGTCCGGCACGGTCGCTGCCACGGTCAAACAGGTCGTCGGCGGGCGCGGGGCCAGAATTCAACAGAGTGTCGATGATGGCGTCCAACTCTTGACTCGCACTCGCCACTGCACCACCGTCACCCTCCAGCACCAGCATCGGAGAATCGTGGCTCGGCATTGGCACATCTGCAACATAAATAAGTAACAAGATATGAAAATTCATGGAGAATCTGCGATGAAAATAGCTGGTTTTTTGAAAGTCGAAAATTCCGACTCCATGATTTTTCGGTGCAGTTCGAATTTTTATTCTACCTAGGATCAGGTTAAACTCTTCAATAATCCAGTTGGAATTTCAGACAACACCTTCCCGACTTGTTGGAAATCAAAGTCAATCGTTGAATGGAAAGATAAAATCAACAGTACTTTTTTCATCAGTACGAACTCTGGCTTGGCTTCAAGAGACCATCTGAACTTTCTTTCGCATGCAATTAAGCTTCTTTTTCACGAGTATGTCGGGTTTTTTTTTTTTTCATCAGGCGACACCTACAAGAAACTCCAGCAATCACAGTGGTCAAAATTAAAGAAAGAAAAATAAACAATTATTAAAAAGGCCAGAGACGAGACACACCATTGGCAGCACCAGCACCCATGTCTTCTTCATCAGCACCCCGAGACAAAGACGCAAACAGCAGGTCTGCGAGTGTGGCCCGATCCCCGGCAACTTCCCCATCTTGCCTCTGCGGCGCCGAATGAATCGCACTCCCTGGAGACCTCGTCCTCCTGCCGCCTCGTCCACTCGTCGTCACCGTAGCCATGGCCGAGGCCGACAACGACGTCGGTGTCGCCGTAGTGTTGGAAAAAGTTCCAGAAGTGGAGGCCAAAAGGGCGCCGCTACTGCTGCTGCCGGCGTTGTTGTTATTGCTGCTGCCGCCAGGCGCCGTCACGGGTGTCGACAACGGGATGGCGAAGCCGCCGGTCGCCGTCGGGAGATTTATGGTTCGTGTCAACGAGTCCAGGGGACGCAGGACCAGGTTCAAAGTGGCCGCGAGTCCGGGACACGACAAATCCAAGCTGTGAGGGATCTTGGCCAAGTCCGCGAGGACGCCCTTTTTCCACAGAAGACGAACGACGTTGTTGCCGCCTCCGGGCGGGGGACGCGGGAGATCCGGATGCAGTCCTGCCGAGTCTAAAGGCGGCGGACACGTGTCAATCATCAGCTGAATCAGCGCAGTCAAACTCTGGATCCTCGCTTGCTTAGGCTCCATGTCCGGACAACGAAGAGCTCTTCCCAGGGCTGCTTTCACTTCCGTCACCGCCGTCGACTGCAAAACGAACACGAAATGGTATCAAATTTTAAATCCCCACTTTCAAAAATCGTTCCTCTAACTTCAACACCAATGTACAGTACTTGCACATGGTCGCCAAACTCTGGCACGTTCTTTACCGTCGATACTTGCGTTCCTTTTCATTTGGTGCACATTTGATCAGATTAGGTCAAAGATGGGGATACCTTTAATGTAAAGTTTTCCAAGACAGACACGATGTTTTTTTTTTTAACAAGTTTTCAACATCCGGATGACGCCAGGGTTTTCCGGACCTTCTTCTTAAGTATATGTATGTCTTGTCTTGGTCAGAATTTAAAACGTTTCAAACTCATAACCCCTGCTGAAATACAAGCATTTCATCATAAAAATGTCTTCACGCGAAAAAAAATTCGTTACGTGAGTTCCCTCCAATCGATAAAAATTCGTCATGCGAAATTTCCGTTTCTACGAGTTTTTCGTTACGTTGAACCACACTTGTATCACGTCACGTGAAAGTTCCGGTTTTATTGGATTAACGATTCCGGCTACACCTGCCGGAAATCGAAGAACGCAAGGGTTCAGAAGCGCTGATGATTTTTGTCAATTCATGGCCACCTCTTTGATTTTCTAATTTAATCCCATAGATGTCGCCTGAATTTGGCCAGATTATAATGCAGAAAAATCAGCCCGCAATTTTTTCTTTTTTTTTCATCAGTGATTTACGCGACATCTGCAATCCGTTCAAGAGAATGTGAAGAGTTGCCATGGAACGACTCTCCCAAATAAATTTAAATTTCTTCGTTTAAAAACCTTGAAATATGCAACCTTTGGAAAAATCAAGAGTCTTGTGTTTCACTGCACATTCTTGTGCGATTCGCAATTGGGTCCATCTTTAAAACGCAAATATAAATTTTGAAGAAAATTGTAATTATAAAATGCTGCACACTGAACAGTAAATTTCAGTCCAGTGCTTGCGAAATGGGAATTCGAAGAGCAATAATTGATCCCATCAATTATCAATAATAGGCTTCTCACCTGGGATTCCGGGCAATCATTCTCGGCGGCCAAGGATGAAACAATGACTCGTACGCTGGTTTCTGATTCCGTAATTTCAGCAGATTTGATGGGTAATTGGTCATTCCCACTTCCTCCTCCACCGCTGCTGCTGCTGCGCATCACATGCAGTAAATCGTCCAGTAGGTAGCACAAAAACGACGACGTCTGCCCATTCCTCCTGCACACCACGTGTTCCGCCACTCGCTTCCCGCAACCCGGAAACGAACGAATCAATTCCGCAACCAGCCGACACACCATCACCTTGCTCATGACCGGATCTTCCGGCGGCGGCAACTCGTCTTCCTTCTGTTTCTTCTCCTCTTCCGTTCTCGCGCCGCCTTCGTCATGCGCGGTGGACACGAGCAACGCGACATAGTCCAAAAGATACTTTAAACATTCCACGGCTTCCTTGGGAAACGTTTCCGTCGACGTCGTCAAAGTGTCGATCGGGGTGGTCGTCACCAACAGGCCTCGTTCGTCGTCTTCCCCGCGTCGCTGCATCAACTGGAAATCGAGTCGCAATAGAGTTTTGCACACTCTCTGCAACGAAGACGGATCTCTCGCAGCCACGTGCGCCAAACTGCGCATGGCGTAATGCAACTCGCGACACCGAGGCGAAGACGACGACGATGCTGCCGCCGACGAAGCGCCGCCACCAGCCACCGTAAACTGGGCCCGCACAATCGACGTCAACAACCGTTCGCGCGCAGATTCCGTCTCGAAAACGTGACGCAACAGCAGTCCCAACATTCTGTCCACTCCCGGGAAATTGGCATTTCGGCGAGACAGCCGAGAGACCAATCGGACGCCGCCGAGCTGCACAAACCGCAGCGCCATCTCGTGGTTGGCAGTGAAGCGGACGAGAAGCCGCAAGATGGCGTTGACTGCGTCGGGATCCAAGTTGCTGGCCACCAGTGGCCCGAGCGCTTCCAACATCCCCTCGAGTTCCGACGGCGTGAACGGAGGCAGGACAAACGGCGATGGTTTCGCATCTTCTTTATCCGCAAAGAACACTGGAATATCCTCGTATTCGCCGTCGTCGTCGTCGTCGTCGTCGTGCGACGGCTGCACGACTTCGTGATCCATGGCATCGTTGTTATTGTTATCGTCATCATCATCATCGTCGTCGTCATCTTCGTCGTCGACGGCGGCTGCTGCTGATAATGTTGGTGGTGGAGGTGGTGGTTGTTCCAGAACACCCAGATCCTCTCGCGGAGGAATAACCGCCACGTCTACTTCCATCGCAGCAGCAGCAGCAGAAGTGGCAGTTTGTTGCAGTGGCTGCTGTTCTCCTCCTCCTCCGTCGCCATCATTCTTTTGAGCATTTTCGCGTTTGGTTTTATCTAGCTTGGCACGTCGCTTCTTTCGCAGGTCGTCGAGCCAGCCCTCGTCGAGACACATCATGACGGGCCGTTCGTTGTTGGTCTCCTCGCTCACTTGCACCATCGTGAGGAAGTGGATCATGTACCGACGTCTGGCACCGGCCACGATGCGAACGCTCGGCTCTCCGGCCCAGTAGGCGTCGTCGATGGTTTTGCTATTGCCGGTGCTGTACTCGCACCACTTGTTGCTCGTCGTGTCGAAGTACTTCCATTTGTGGGCAGACAAGCGCCATAAGGCCGACCTTCGTCTCGTGGCATCCGAAACCTGTTTGTTTTTTTCGAAATTAAATTTTTAAAATAATTTCCAAAATACAGAAATCTTTTTGCATCCTCGTGTTTTGTTTTGAATGGAATTGAGGATTTTCATTTGATCAACATCTACTACATCCCAAAGGTAACAATGTAAAGAGCTGAGCCCTTGAGTTTTGCGGTGATTCAACCAGTTTTGAGAACGTGAATATCAAGTTTGACACTTGTTCAATTTCCGTCAATCATGAATTTTTGCAACGATCCTATTCGCTTTTTCATCGATGTACAGTACATCGCACTGTCTCGGATAAATAACCCGCAAAAGAGATTGAAACTCATGGAAAATCACAAGTGAACTCAAATTCGGCCACTAGACTTTTTTACGCGCAATTATACAACCAATGCATTCAAAAAGTTGCGTAGTATGAACTCGTTCTTAAAATAGTTCAAATTTAAATTGCTTCCCGTGACGTCACTCAAATATAATTTGCATTAGTATTTATCAAAATTAATCAAACTAGTGTACTGAACCGAATATAGCCTAAAACACGTCAATCAAGATCTAGAAAAAACCCTGGTCAGACACGTATCCAACACATTTGGACAACAAAAATGAAGATGTTATTTGTCAAGTTCAAAAATAATTACTGTATATGCTGTCTGTAGCTGGGAATGGTGAGGAAAACATTTTTTTTTCCAAAATGTTGGTAAGGTAATAATGACACACAAGGTGGATTTCACAATACCGCAAATTCAAAAGAGAGGAATTCAATGTCACAATCCAGCTACTCATGGTAACAAAACACACTAGAAACATCGCAGTGTCATTCCAAATCATCCATCCAGGATCAGAAAGGGAGAATACAGTACAGTACTGTTTAAATCTCAAGGTTTTCTCGGCCGCTCACCTTTTGATAGATATCAAGCAAGAGAACCAGCGGCGCCAGCCACGGCGGAGACGGTTTTGTTGACTTCCGAGCAAGCCGCAGCAGGGACAGCAACTTGTGCCTTAGCCGAGTCCTACCACTTCCTTCTTTCATCTTTGCCCCATCGTCGACATCGCCGCCTTCAGACGCCTCTTCACCTGTACTGCCGTCGATGGCCATACCGCAACGCAGTCGCATCTTGTCAAACAACAGCGTGAGCAAATGCAGCCTTACAGCAGCAGCCCTTGCCACCTTTGCAGCAGCCGCTTCGTCACACGGGCCACCACCGCCACTCTCATCATGGCCATCTTCATCGTCTCCCATACGCAGGATCTCGTCAGCGGCGCTGTCAACGCGTTGCACGAGTCCAGTAAGCAGTGCGTCTCTCCAGGCGTCACCGTTGCGCGACACAGCGCATCCCAAGACCTCCGCCACGTGGAACACTACACCCGGGAGATCGTCCAGCAGGGCCAGGCACCATTCCAAACCTTGATCGCGGAATTGTTCCATCGGGATCGTTGGGTCTTCCCCCAGATCCTCTTCCTCTTCCTCTTCTTCTTGCTGCTGCTGCTGTTGTTGCTCCGCCGCAGCCGGCGGTAATTTCACTTCCTTCGCTTCCGTCGCATTCATCACTTTCTCCTCAACTACAGGTTCCTTATCTTCCATAGTTTCAAGAGGAACTTCTTCTTCGATGGGACGCGGGGCAGGGGCTTCTAGAGTCGACGGAGGAGTAACTTCTTCGGTATTAGCTTGAGCGGCAGCTTCTTCGCTTGGAGTATCCGGTGGCGGAAGGAGTGGAGGTGGTGGCGGTACCAACACTGTCGATATTGGAGCTTCTGCAGACGCAGATGGCGTCGTGGCGGTTTCCAGGGAGATCGCGATAGCTCGCAGCATTTGATCATCTATGCTGAGATCTTCGCTGATTCCGAGAGCGCCACCAACGTCAATTCCAATCGGACCCGAACTACCATGTCCGAAAAGTCGAGGGTTTAGCAAAAACTCCGTCGCCTGTACAGAAGAGAAAAAAAAAAAAACAGCACAGTCATGCATTGAAATAAGAATTGAAACAACGCGATGCTAAATTCGAAACCAAGACATTCTCGCTTGTTTCGAAGGGTTTACGGAGTATTCATGCATTATTTTTAAATTTAATGCCAGAAAATACTTGAAATACACTGTTACCTTGTACAACAAACGTAATTTGTGCAAGAGCCAAGTTTGTTGTAAAATTTGTTTGCACAACAAATCACGATTTCCCATGGACTTTTATTGGAAATCTCTTAATTTGTTCTTTAAAAAAAGCAATAAATTGGGAAAAAAATTCCAGTTTGAAAACTTTTTAGCGTTATGAAAAATGAATAAAATGGTGAGAAAAAATCATACCCAATGATTCTGTTCGATTGAGAAGGCAACTTCATGTAGCAGAATCAAACACAAAAACGCAAGTCCATTTGGGGTTTCAAGCAAGACCAAAATTCTCAAAAAAAGTTCTTATCTCGATTTAACGTGAGTAAGTGCGCAGTGCAGCTTCAATACATGAAATCTGCTGAAAAAGTACTAGAGTGGTTTCTGAATATTTTCCAAGAAACACGCGCTCGAAGTTAAATTTTCACCTGTTCCAACGTATTCGTGCACAAAAGCGCGTCCATGCTATTCTCAAAGGAAAATCCCATGTCCATCAGTTGCTGCAGCTGCTGGCCATTAACCCCGGCGACCCTGGCCAGGGCACTCGCAGCCCCACGCCCAGATGTCCCAGTGGTGCCGTCAGATTCCCCGCCAGATCTGGTCTGTGCAGTCCCATCCAAGCTTTCCCTGCTTTCCGCGCCGGCTACAGCGGCGGCGGCGGCGGCGGCAGCAGCAGCAGCGGCCGCCGCTGCAGCAGCTGCTGCCCTACTCGCCTTCTTACTTTCCTGAACGATCGCATCGCCACGCAGCAGGTGGCAGAACACGGCCAACATCGTGTCGGTTACACGCTGTGGACACGCACGCAACAGTTCCCGGCTGCGAAACAAAAGGAAAAGATAATTTACGAACGAGAATTATTCTGCGAATTGTGATGAAACATGCAAGAAACGAAGGGCGAACATCGTACAGACAACCACAAGTGTTGAACACCGCCAAAAAAAAGCAACCTTTTTCCCCCGTTCTTAAAATTAATGACTTTGACCCACTGACTTGGAAAGCTAAATAAAATTAGTGGCATTCTTCGGACCCCAACTAATTTTTCTGTCAATGGGAAAATTAGAAGAAAAATCGCGTCACCATCAGGAAAGCGTTTTTGTTATTCTGTCTGTCTTTCAATCTTTTATCTCACAAACAGTGAATGAATGACACAAACATCAAGCCAGAAATACATTCATTTCCTTTCCCCTCACTTTAATCATTTTAGGGTATTTTTCTTCCTTTCCCACAACGCTTACGTCACCCTATTTCAACTACCTTCACACGATCAAAAAGAGTGAAGTACAATACTCACTTATGCCAAAGGGTGAACAAGGCTCGGAACGCATGCCGGTGAACCCTCGCCAAAAACGTGTTGGGGTCAAACGGGTCCAAGTGCGGCTCCGGGATTTCCGAGTCGCCTGAAGTAGACGCCGCAGCTGTTGTCGACGACGCCTTCACAACATAAGTATGCGGCGACTCCAACATCGTCTTCGGATTTGTCAGCTTCTCCAGCAACACAAGCCAGGCGTCCACGAATTCTCCCACAGCTGGGATCAACGTTCCCGGCTGCTCGTCTCCTTCTTCTTCTCCTCCTCCTCCTCCTCCAATTTCCTTGGCGTCGCAACAACTCAGCGCCCAATAAAAAGACCTGAACAGGATATTATTTCTCATTATTCTCCGTAGAAATTCGCACACAAAAGAGCAATTAAATTCTTTTCATTCAATTCACGAAACGTTCCGAATTTCACATTGCTCACTTGAACATGGAGTCCAGTCCACGAGCCTTGAGGAAATTGTACAACACCAAGTAGTACGGATACCGCTTGTCGTCAAACAGCATAGAGCCTGCAAAACCCACGGCCCACACGTAGCACGTGAGCCTGTATCTCCTCGGCACCGCAGTCGTCGTCATCGTCGACGTCCCACTCGCGAAAGTCTTGCCGTCGCACACTTGCTGCTGCTGCACGGCAGCCGGATCAAAAAACAGACTCGACGTCACCATGGACGCCATGGCGGCAGACACACGCTTGGCAGCAGCTATGGGCATCGACGGCGTCTGACTCGACGCCGTCTGCGCTCGGCGATTCCGCGGCTGAAACCCCGACGACACCTTGATCAACGGCCCAAACAAATCCGTCATGGCCCGACCGAGCCTCGTGATACAACTGAACAAGGGCTTCACGATCCGCATAGCTTGTAGCTTCTCCAGGCTGCCAACACCGCTCATGCGCATTCCAGCCGACGGCGGCGGTGGAGGCGGCGCAGCTGGCAAATCAACTTCCATAGAAACCGCCGCTTCGCCCGTCGACAAATGCCGCATGGCGGACGTGACGCCGTTGCTGCCCATTTCTCCGGCAGCTCGTCGCAGTTCCCCGCTGTCCTGTCCAAGCAACGACGGCGAGTTCATCGTGGCGTCGCTACTGCCGCCACTGTCCATCTCTGTCTCGGCTCCCTCACTCGTCTGCTGAGTCGCCGTCGCCGCCGCCGCCGCAGTCGGTTGCTGAGCACGAAACACCGCCAATAACGCATCCAAGTCTTCTTCCACTGTCGCCAAACTGTGGCTTCGTCTCGTTTTCGTCGTCGTGGTCGCACTGTCTTCGCCAAAGAGTCCCAGGAGCAACGAGGATTCCCACACAATGGCGTGATAGAGCTGTCGGAGCCCGTTGATGACCTGCGTTCCTTTGCTGGAGCCCCAGTGGGTCAAGTACAGGGCTCGCATGTCGCTTTGCACAGGCAGTGACGGGTTTTTGCTTCCAAACCGAGAGAGCATGGAAAAAAGCACAACGTGGGCGTGTACTGCGGCGAGACCGTGAGCCAACGGCGTCAACCGAGGATCGCTCAAGGCCTGAAAAATAAATGAGTGGATGAACGATTAATTAGCAGAAAGGTAATAAACGAATCAGATGCATCGATTACACCATGAAGAAAAAAATTTTTATGAGTTCATTTTCAAAAATACGGTACAATTCTTGAGAATAAATAAACATACGGTTAATCAAATAATCAATAAATTGTTTAAAGGGGTAATGAACGAATTGAGTACATCAGTTTTAAATTAAGAAAATTAAATTGAAGTTAGTTTTTTTTCTAGAATACAGTACAAAACTTGAGAATAAATACAAAATTAATTAATTAACGGATTGATTAATTAAAAAGATACTGAACGACTCAAGTACAGTACATCAGTTTTACATTTAGAGACGAAAAATCTTGATGAGTTCCATTCTCAGAACACAAATTTTAAAAATAGATATGCGATTAATGAATTGCCTGGTGAAAATGGTATTCGACGACTTCGATGCATAAGTTTCAAAATAAGAAAAGAAAAATTGGGATGAGTACCTTTTTCAGAATGCAGCTTTAGAGAAAAATTAAAGAGTTTTCTTTTTCCAGAGAACAAACCTGCAATGGACGTTTACACCTCGCCAATTCTCTCAACACAGCAGAAGCTGTCCCACGACACTCTTCCTCCTTTTTCCCAGTGTCCTCCTTCTCTCCTCCTTCAGCAGTCGAGGAATCAGTCATCAGGGCTCTGTGAGCATTTTGCACTGCATCCAGCGTCACCAACAAACTCTCGAGTCCGTCCTTCAACACGGTAAAGTCCTTAGTGAGTGTGACCAGTGACTTGGCAACACTCGCCACTGCGTGACACGCGTGTGATGATGGAAAATCGAGCGGAAGATTCGGAAGGCTCAGGATCTGCAGCATTGCCCGGATCCCGCCTTGCTTCATGAATTCGTGGCAATGATCGTCCGTTGCATTCGATGTCAGAATCGCCTCGATAAATTTCATCTGTTGAAATAACGCGAAAATCATTAAAAATTCCTGATTCATCAGTAATAGAATAACAGATTTTTCAAAATTACTGTATACAATTTAAGTCACGAAATTATATGCTATGAAAGAGATTACATCATTTCTCGAATTCTCGCTCTTCAATTTCATTTTTTCTTATACATGCCGAACTTCCATTTTTTTCCATTCCATAGACGTCGCCATCAATTCAACGAAGTTCTGAAAGGTGCAAGTTACATTATCTTGGACATAATCATGCTAATTGAGGTCCACTTAGTCTTAACCCCATCAAATAAATTCGCAGGAAAATCTCCGCTAAACATAAAAAAAGGCGGAACGTACAGCAAAACAAACTACTGTAACCGCTCCAAAAAATGCGGAATTTTCAACAGACGCTGGTCTGTAAAACCTAAAGGTAATTCAAGAAATTAGTATCTGGCCTACAATAGTGGCTCGGTCAAAGAAAGAGGGAGCGGAAGTAAAAAGAATTTAAATGATATCGTTGATAACTATAATCCTTTTCGCAATCTAGTCTTAAACGCTGAACAAAGGAACAAATTCCTTTTAGCCCCTCTCATACATTCCCATCTTCATCAACAAATCAGTGGAAAATTCAAGGTTCTTTTTTTCATATTTTCCCGTTTCTAATTTAATCTTTTCAAGCAGTTGAAATCGAAAATAATCGCCAGTCTCCATTAAATTGCTGGGAGCAAAATTGAAAATTTTCGAACAAATACGAGGTTCGTTCATTAAAGTATATGCAGTATATTGTAAATTACTGCATCTACTTATGAACACAAAATTTTGCAGAAACAGCTTTGTTTCCATCAATGCAAGAAGCAAGATTTGGAAAGAGCATGCATTTTTCCTTCTCTCTTTCATTCAATGGATGCACATACAGGAAGAACCTGCCTAGAACAATCCTGTCTACGATTATTTTCTTTTTGTGGTCCCATCAAGGTTCTCTATAACCAAATTCTGTCAATAACCCATTTTTTTCTGGCTCCCTGAATTTTGTTGTCGAGCCCGACTTTTTTTTCTTCAAAGAAAGACAAAAATCATTTGCAGAAGTTCTCGTGCAGTTCAAATAAAAAAAAAAACGTAAGCGAGATCGCAAACATTTTCTTTTCTATTTTTTCACAAAAAAATTAACTTCAAATTTATAAAAACCAAGTCAAGATATGAATAAAAAGGTTCTCATAAAACCAAACCACAACTCAACAAATGCATAGGCAGTACATTCCAGAAAAAATACAATTTCTTTCTTTCTTCGTTGTGCAGAAATGCTCCTGCTGTTGAACTAAAACACGTGGGTGGGATGGCAACAATTTATTTCTTCATCCGGTTAATAAATAAAAAATTAACTTCAAATCAAGACACAAAAAAAAAACACCAAGTACCAAGTGAAAATACTCGAGTATAAAAAGGTTCCCCAAGACCCAAACAACAATAACTCACCGCATTTGTAATATAGTCGACCAAAGGCACCGGTTCCCTCGTACTGCCCACAATAACAGCCTTGCCGCCACCTCCGTGACACCCTGAACAAGACGACGACGACGACGCCGCAATCTCGGCTGGTATACGCGTGCTCGCAGTGGCAACACTTTCCGACACTTGCAGACTGGAAACATCAGATTCCCCGTTGGAAGTGGGATTCACAACAGCCATCGGAAGGTCTTCTTCGTCGTCACGACCCGACGCCAGTGCGAGAGAGCCGGGCAATCGCGGACTGCTCACTTGCACCGGCCTGGATCCTTCTTCGTCATCCTCGTCGTCTTCGTCGCTGCTCCCGGCCTCTGGTCTTCCGTTGCCTTCATCCAGAAATGAATTCAAGGATCAAGATAATGTTTAAAATACCACTAAAAAAATATATCCCAGAAATATACATCGCATCTTCCAACCCATGCATTAGAAAGATTTCGAAACTTTCAGCAAAGGGGAAGAGAAGGGAAAACCACTACAAAAACTTCATCCAAATGTCACCATGAGTAATACGAGGGACTTCTCTTTTCTTGTAGCTCAAATCAAGCATATGCAATTCAACACGCGGATACACAAGCTGATTCTCCAATAACGAACATATTTACCGATGAAAGAAACTGATGCTAAATTTCACGAAGTCCGATAGATGTCGCCTGAATTTCAAACTTGACCAAATTTGAAAATATGATCCTACTTGACTCAAGTAAGCAAACGCAATGAAAATTAGCAGATATTTTTCAACTTGAAACATCTTCAAGTGACTTCAACGACCAGTTCAGAGCAGACACCTCTAATCACTTGAATCAGTAGAAAGGAACTATAGAAATGACGCATGCAAAATTATAGAAGAAATTTTCAGAAAATAAAAGAAAAAAACGAGTCCGTAAGGGGACGACTCAGTGCCATCCAAGCTGGTCAGTTGCCGCATATTACAAGAAATACAACTGATTTTCATTTTTCATCAGCTTTAGGTCTTTTGGCGTTGATTTGTGTGTCGCTGAGTCAAACCCCGCACCCAAGAGAAGTGCAGACAATCATGAAAAAATTCATTAGAAAATCCAAATCCTCTCCCAAAAGTTAGGAATAATTCAGAATGAGTACTGTACTCCACGCGGTACTCAAATGATGATGGCAAGTTTACATCAGGCAGTGAAAAAATAAAGACAAAAATTAATAAATGAATTTCTCAAAGACGGAAAAGGATGCGAGGGTGGTACAGTAGGGTACTGTACTGTACTGCAGGACCAATTGTCTCTTGATACCACACACACACGAAGACAGAGATCGTCGTTAACCAACCTTGCCGCCCATCCACGCCGCCCCCGCGACGTGCGGCGCCTCTCCTAGCACCACCACCAACACCACCCCCACCATACACATTGCGCGTGCTGCCCCTACCGTCGCCAGCCTCGTTCCTGGCTGCAGCCCGCAACATGCCTCTGCTCACGGCGTCCACGTGAACACCGACGGCAGACATCAGGTCTTCCACTTGGCTCCCGAAACCCGATCCCCGAGACCCAGAACCCGTCGCATTGCTCGACTGCCCGCTGCTTCGCACTCCGTTGCTGCTGCTGCTGATATTGCTACTGTTGGCAGCAGCGGACGTGGGATTCGATGCTGATGACGCAGCCATGCTCACTGGGGGTCGCGAACAATAGTAGCGGGGGTCTGTTCCCAGCCGAACGATTTCGTCTAGAATCTAAAATAGAGAAATGAAGCCATTAGAAACTTTGATCCAGACCCTAATTTTGAAGAAGAATCTACGCATAATTTACTTGAGAAAATCAATTTCCACACAATATCTGTCTATTTTATACGAAACATGAGGTCTTTGCGTGAATGAATTTAGCAATTGTGTCTGGTACGAGGTTTTTAAACTCAAGATCATCACGATTCCGAATGACAATCGGCAGGCTTCTAAATGAACAATTTTAATTCACTGCCGTTGAACAAAAAACTCCTCCATCGTTCGAATCCGAGTACGCGGAAAACATTTTCTCGATAAAGGGGGGGGGGGGGAGACACAGTTGAAGTTAAGTCTTGGAATGAATATCTCGAGTAAAGAAAGAAAAATTGTTTCCCATCACATTTCTTGGGAAAGGTGATCGATTACGGTAATTACCCAGGAACCTTAACACTCGCATCCGGAATTATACAACAAGAAATTAGTGGGGGGGGGGGGGATTTGCAGCTGAATAAAATTGCAGGGGTAGTCAAAATTCCGCGCGATTGCTTCCTTAGCACTCAATAAATAAAGCATAAATGCTAGTTTGGCAAAAACAAAAGGAGTATAAATTTGAAGAAACTTCCTGAAAATTGATACTTACTCCAACGATAGCTTTGAACGCAGGAGCGCGAACACTCGGCTGATTCCGAATCAACTCGTCCATCGACGTGCCCAAATTAGACGCGGTGTCCCCGGGGGCAGCAGCGGCGGCAGCTGCAGCAGCCGCCCCATTGCTTCCGCCTCCAGCAGTGGCCGACCCATTCGACCGCCTCGATCGTCGCATCGCAGGCAAGTAAAACGGACTCAGCAAGACCCCGAACAGCCGATTAAACGGCTGACACTCTAGAAACGCCTTCAGTCCGGCTTCGTTGAGACACAAGGCACTCAGTACATTCGGAAGCGACGACAACATTTCTCGCGTCGCCGGAACATCCTTCACCAGCAACGCATGCAGCATCACATCCGTCAAGCCGGTTTCTTGCAACGGAGACAATAACGACGGTTCCGTGTACACGTATGACATCACGACGTCCGTTGCTGAAAAAAATTTAAACATTATTCGATCAAGTCGAAACAAACATTTTCTACAACTAATAATGTGTCCTCACCGAGTAAAAACAGGGACGCTCCGTAGTATTCTGCGTTGCTTACTATGTGTTTCAGCACGTTCGGGAAGCTCCCTTCCATCACTGAGAAATTAAAAAATTGAAATTTTCATTCGAAGAATTGGATTTCCGAGTTCATTTTTCCAAAATTACCGTGACGAATAGACTCGGAAAACATAGTGTCTTGAATGGCCTTCTTCAGGAAATTCAGCATGGACTTGAGCAGAGCTGAACGTTGCGTCAAACATTGCAAATCTGTAGAAAAAGTAATGAAAGAGAAGTAATTGAAAAAATTGTCTTCACTCGACCTTGACACACGTGAATTTTTACAAGCAAATATAAAAAAAGTAATCCGAATACATTGCCAAGTTCAAAATAAATGCAAGAATGGAAGAATTCAGAACATTGCAGTACACATTATATTTCTAGGTGTTTCCACTTTTTTCCTAATCTGGATATACAGTACTGCAGTTCAATTTTCCCAACGATACAAAAAGTTGAGAGATTACTTCTAAAGAAAAATACAGGAAGGGCTTTTTACATCTGGGTTAAATTTCTGACTTCCAAAATTTCAAAAAGTTGAGTATATTGACGGTCTGAAATACGCAGAATTAACGCAGAAACACATTTCGCTCTTGTCCTAATTTCTAAAAATACAGTATTGTTCAAGACCACAAAATACTGTACGTATGTTTACGTTTGGGGCAAGAAAGGCCCTCCGAAAATTGTTTCGGGGCTTATTTATTCTATGAATGGATTAGAAATAAGATGTTAAACGCGGCAATAGGAAGGAAACAAAAAGGTTTTCTCACCAGTCCTCGCAGGCATTTGTTTTTCAATCTGCACGGGCTCAGCGGGGATTTCGCTCGAACCATTTTCCTTTTCAACAACAGCTGGCTGAACATCCATTTGTTCCACGCGAACATCGCCTTCTTCCAACATCGGCTCATCAACGTTCCCCACAGACTCATCAATCAACTCCAGCGATGTCCTTTGGGTTCTCGGCACACGAATTTCAAAAGGCTGCTCCTTGCGACAAGCTTCAATTTCCAGCTGAAAGACGCATGCATTTATTTGTATTTCAGTTTCTATAATGGCCGAGAATTTTCAAAATCCTCACCTCCAATCTCGAAATGAAAATCGCGAGTCCCTGGTGCAGCTGAAATGACTGCATGTCTAGGTTGGTGATCAGATCGATCACACGAACAGCACGGGTCACAAACTGGAATGAATCATAACACAGAAAATACCGTATAACAACCAGATATCGTTTCATGACAAGGAAAAACATCAAATCCCCACTCACCGGAATGTACTCGACGTCTGAATTAGCCTCGTCGGCCGGATGAGCGACGACTTTCAACAGCGATTCCAACAGCCCACTGGAAACCAGCGCCTCTCCACCCAGCTCAAAGGACGCCAAGTGGTACAAGAAGCTGAACAAGGCCGTGGCAAACGGAAGCGGAAATTGCGGTGACCCCGAGGCGCCCACTCCACCGCCAGTTTTCTTCCCTGTCAATGACGCGATGCACGTCCTCACAAGCACGGGCAAAAATCCATGGTATAGCCCAGCTTCGGTCGCATCCACGATACTAGGCAATCTAATAAACGAAAACAAATCAACTCAAATTACTTCGACCCTTTTTTTTTTTAAGAGGGAAAAAGACGATGAACATCTCCCCTCAGTGAATGAGTCAGCATTTCCAAATCTTGAACTAAACGCCTCCACAACTGCATGCAAATTAAGGGTAAGGTTGGATCGAAAAAAAAGGAGTTTTAAAATGAGAGTCCTCTCATCATTACACGAAATCCAACCCCTACCTATTTTTACAGGATTTCTCGTGCAGAGCACAAGAGAAAATTTTATATTAAAAATAAAACTCGGAATAACGCAGTTCAACATAGAAACGAATACAGTGGAACCCTGAGATACAGACACCATACGGACTATTTCACTTGAAGATATTTGAAAAAATGCGCTGACATCTGGATAATGTAAGATACAAACATTTCCAACCTTTCAATTTCTAGAAAAATGTGAAATTTTAATGGTTCACAATTTTTCTAAGATTGAAAAAATTTAGCCATGCTCTGATTGGTTTCAAAAAATCACAGATATATTTCAATATAAATTCATAAAACAAAACGGGTTGATTCTGGGCTTTTCTTTTTTCTTGGGAGGGGGGGGGGGCGTTCTTCATCATATGGGAACTATATAGGAATACACGCGCCTGCTTTTTGCTTATGGGCTGCTTTTAATGACAAGGGCAGATAGTGTATACTTTTCTTTTGGAGTCATTTTATGTAGACAGAAGCTAAAGAAAATGTATTCAATTTTCGGTGGACTTTTTCCAAATTTTGAAAAACAGAGGAGTATGTTCCTATGAGTCCATAGGAATACATTATTGGACATTCAGAAGTTCCAACACAGGGACAATGTCCAAAAACCCTTTATTATGTCGGCATCCCTTTATTCTAATGGACGAAATAAACTGAGACGTCCTCATTGCACAAGATACTTGCAAATACACGTACAGAATAAATTGACCCCAATGACAAAATGAGGAACATTGGATTATAAATTTGTAACATGCACAGAACTGTGTGTCACTACAGACGAATAGACCGCTCATTGCACAGATACTACTTCGACATCGCACAAAATCAAGTACTGTTTACTCACTTGATGGACTCATGAAGCACAATAGCGGTGAGCGTTCTCAAGGCAGCAGCTCGAATTTCCTGCAAGAACAAAACTATAATTTGGAGGAACTCGACAAATTCAATACGAGGAACAAAAAAAAGCCAAAGGAAACAAGCACTTTACAGAAAAAAAAATAACACAACACGCATGCACCATTCGCCTCACCTGCAAGAGCGTGAGAGCAGTGGGGAACCCAAACCGAGTCTTCCCCAGCCCCTGCCGCACAAAAACCGTGGAAAACAAGTTCCGAGTCATGAAACCCCGCAAGAAAGAGTCAGTTCTCACTAAAGCTTACGCAACTCACCATCAAATCCTTGTTCGGGACGCCGATCATTTCAATGAGTTCCTCCAAAAATCCGGGATAAAGTAAGTTCACGCTTGTATCCTGCGGCATCGATCTGCAAAAATATACACCAAGTGACCCAAGATCCCCAACACTGACACTATGATCAGCTACTCACTTCGAGTAGATGAGTATCGACAGCGCTTGAAGACGGGCCTGAATGAGCTGCAAACGTTTGCGATACGTGCCAAAGTTCTTTGCCAACCGGAGAGACACGAAGAGCAAGACTCGTTTCCCAGACGGAACGGCATTCTTCTCCACCAAATCATCCATTACTTCACCGAGTGGCTGTGTAAGTTCATTCGCCCTTTCTACACGTACAACTGCGGGTCCACCAGGTTCGTTGTTTCCTCTGAATTCGCAATGGACTGTCGTCACGTGTCGCGGGAATTCTTCCAAAGGCACGTCTCTGGCGCATTGCACTAGGCCGAATCCGAACTCCTTCCCGCCCCAACTCTGCAAAAAACACGGGTTAAATTGAAACATACGTCCAACGTTCTCAAGAGAAAAGAATCCATGAAAAACAACGCTAAAAATATTTTCAATCAAATCCCGCTTCTTTCAAAAATTCGCTCACGGGTATCTCAAGTTCACAAATACACGCATGAAAATCACTTCGCAATCATTCGAAATACGAAGAAATCGGTTTCGGAGAACTTCTGAAATTGACAGAAATCTGATCCCGTAAAGGAATGAGTTATTCTTAGAAAATTCAGGGAGCTTTCCTTACTTGGCGTTTTTAGGCATCCTCATGCAGTTTAACATACAGTATTACAAGGGGAAATTCAGACTTACCTCAGCCATGTGGATGAGCCACGGTAACAGCAACTGCCGCTTCTCAGGCGATAATCTTGAAATGAAATTAGAACGCTTCGAAAACATGAACAGGAGATTGAGGGTAGCGAGAACCACGTCCAAATCCGATGAACCCAGCAGAGACAACAGATGGTCCAAGGACGAGTAGAGGTGTCTAGAAAAGCTGTTTTCGACCAAGAGTGTCGAGAAATGCAAGCTTCGGAGAAGCAGTTCCTTCTTCTGCCAATCAGAACACGCCGATGAAAGAATATTTAAAAAATAACAATGCACCGATTGCATGAGATCAACTTACGCTGATATCATCTTGACAATCACAGGCTAGCACCCAAGATGTTTCATTCTTTCTCGTCGCCGCTTCTTCCAGAATAGAATCCAAGACATCAAGAACGTCAATCCAGTGATACAATTCGGACTTCCCGAAGTGCCATGAGTCAATTTTGCGAAGTTCAATGAGGAGCTCCGCGCGGGAACAGTTCTTGAGTCTTTCTATCAGATTCCTACAATCCGGTGGCTGTTCATAGACGAAACTTGTATTAACTGAAGAAACGGACACTAAATTACAACACAAGATTTGATTCGTACCGCTTCGGGAGCAGACTTCTTGACGAATTTATTTCGATCGATCTTCATCTTGCCGCCTTGACAAAAGAAGTCCGAGGGCGACAAAAGTGTTCAGATGTCCATTCCACTAAACAAAACAGATGCGTATTCTACAACATACTTTCATGTACAGTACAATGCACGCAAAATAACGGTAACTCACGTAAAATTATTCATGGTTCACCAAATACTGGACACTCCACGACACTTATCCACGCGTTGAATCGAAGCGAATGGATCTCATATAAAAATCACACGTGGTGCATGCACAGAGGGATAACCCTCGAAAGGACGTCAAGGATTTTCCCAGACTTGCTCAAGAATTTCTGCCAAGAAATAACCAATACATTATCCTATAGCTTTACAGCATAACGGCCTCGCCTAACTCCGCAACAACGAAGCAGGTAGCTTTCTGCAGACTGAAGTGAAAAAAGGGCAGGTAGCCTTTCATTACCAAGCGAACGCGTACGTTACTTTTCAGCACGTCCAAATTATTGGACAGGACACTCGAATCAGAAGCCACGCGGGCACGCATCAGAACGTGGACAAACCCTTCCCAGAAGTCATGCAGTACTGCACGATCCAACATAGCGAACAGCTGTCAAACTCGGTTAATCTTGTAATGAATCAACCATTTTTTTCCTTGCTAATTCCACCCCAAGAAATAATGTAATTCAGTTGAAGGTTTAACAAGGTTTCTATGTCCATGCTTTCATAGATACTGTCTACATGCTTGGAAGAAAATTTTGGGAAGACTGCGACATCTACCTTTGAATGTGGCATTGAGAAGTTGCGGGGATTGTACAGAAAGCATCATACAATTCATAAGCAGTGCTGATTTGTCATAATGAAGGCAACAGCCCATGGTTTCTGGAAGTGGTTTTTCTGAACAGAGTTTATTTCTTGTGCAAGAGTAATTGCCTCATTCTGGGATTCGTTCCTTACAGCCGTGACTCATGCGCAACTGTGCTAAAAGCCATGCTCAGTGAAGGCGTATATGTCCCTTGCTTAATAATTAATACAAAAACAAGTTGAATTGAATTTCTTTTCTTTAGAGTAAGTTGTACAGATCTATAAGTTTCACAACTTTTGGATTGAACCCGACAGTTACAGCCTGCTTAACAAAGTGAAAATGGTATTTGCATTTCTATATAGATACTTGGTGGATACTTACTGCTGTATGTTGAAGGTACATCATTGGAATTTCCTTCAAGAAAATTGAGTTAGATGAGTATATATACTGTAGTACTGTACATGGGTATGATGTACAACAGTAGCTGTACTTTTCTGGATAAATATAAGTATTTTTTGAAGGAGCTATATAGATACATGAAATGGGGGACCCTGTACTGTACTCTACACAACTAATATATTCCTAAATTAATTTTTTTGAATAGTTCGTATGAAATTCAAGTAATCCTGAGTTCAGGCTGATGTACTATAAGCTTTGAAGATTCAAAAAAAAAAAAAAAAACTAGACCATTATTTTTTAATTATCGAAGAATTATCAAGTTTCAGCTCGAAACTTACTAAAACATGAGCATTTCTGGCAAATGAATATCAGTCATTTCATCCCCCTTTTGTAGAATTTTTTTTTACAAATTCTTTCGTAAAGCACATTCACTATACTCTACCTGAGTCTACCGTAATTCAGTCGTGCAGCACTACATATTTTGTCGTACACGGATGTTCATTTTTGCAAATGAAATTATAAAAGCATAACATCCTACCCGCCATACCTCGTTGGTGTTTTCGAACGTGACGCAAAACCGCATCATAGTAAAAATTGATTTTTCACCTCAAAAAATCCTCAAGAACAAATCACTTGGAATATTTCTGCTAATGAGAAGAAAAAATAAACAATAACAAACACAGTTTCAAAAATCAGCACATGTATGGTCATGTTTCTGCATTGGTTCAACGTCGCATTCCTGTTTTTTTTTTCATTTCCTCCACACAAAAAAAAAAGAGGAAACAAAAGAAGCAGAAATATAAATATTTTTTGCAATGTAATCCACAAGATACATATTACAGATGCTGTATAAAAATTCACGGATTCTTCCTCGACGCGGGCCGGACGGAGCTCGTTTCAGATCGGCTACTCAAATCATAGTCTCCGCCGTCAGACGTGACAACACCGTTCGCAATGCTAGAGACTTCAATCCCGGTCGGAAGCTGAACAACGAATTTCTGAACGGGCTCCCGGCCCGGGTTCGTTCCCGTAGCACCCAGCAGTAGTCCATCAGCAGCAGACGAACCACACGCAACTGCTGATGCTCCTTCGGAAGACGACGCGGCAGGAATGTCTGGGGAAGCATTCATGTCCCTCTGGGGTTCTTCGTTGACGAGCAAGTGGGCAATGGCCGACCTTTTCGGCTCCCTTCCTCCTGCTACAACACTGCCGGAAGTGGGAAGCACTCCGTCCCTTTCGCCATCCCTGAGCATGACAACAGAAAGGCACATACGTCATTTCAATTTTCATTTCTTTGAAAAAAAAAATAATAACCCGATTTAATCATCGAACATACGACGCATCTCACACCCCAATCATCTTGGCTTTTCAACCCACCTACGTATGTTTGGTTCGTTATTCTCCAAGAAATATGGTCGAAATGACGATCACACAAAACGACATGAAAAACACCTGTAGTGTACTGGGCCTTCATCAGTCGTTTTAAATGAAAATGTAATTCAGTTTCAAATTAATATTTACGTTCTACAAAAATATATTTCTGTGTTTCTAAAATATATTTTTGTTCTGCAAAAATATAAGAGAATGTAATGGAATATTCTGAAGCAAGCGACAATCCACGTCTTCAAATTTGCAATTTCTTTCCAACAGAATAAAAATGAGTCTTGGAAAATACAGGTACGGGAAGAATAAAAAAAAATATGAGACGGTGTTTCAAACAATTTATTTTTTTCTTACGACAGTTCCGTTTTTTTTTAAATTTGTAAATCCGGTAAAGAAATTTGAAACCTTTTGGGCTTACCTTTGAATTGATGGGAGAATTACTCACCTTTGAAAAAATAAAAATGAAACAAAAAGTTGGCCATTTATTTTTCTATACGGTTTCCAGATTTTTTGTGAATTTTATCTTAGTTTCACGAGCTTCTTGCAACTATTTGCAAGCAGCAAGCAAAAAATTTCAAGGTTTGAAGGGGGGTTTTTCGTTGGCGCACCATTCAAACGCCCACCTTTTTCGTTGATATATATTTTTTTTACCTGGTCGAAAGCGGAAACCGAAGGGAATGCAGAGAAGAATCAGCATCCGCGTTCCCAGAGGCACCTGAAAACACGGTCAAGTCTTCGGTTTCCGGTTCTCCTCCAACGAAAGATACGAGATTATTCGCCTCTAGAAAGGTCGAATAACTCGGTTTCAGGAACGGCCGTTGAGCAACTCCTTGAAAAAAAAAGGAAAAAGATTAATTATCGTACAATCCTAACATTTTTTCAGAGTTTAGACATGCTATGTTGGTACTGTACCCAAATTTCGAATTCCAACTACCACAGAATCCAGTTTAGAGTTTCAACAAACTGAAATGATTCATGCAATTCGGGAGAGTGAATCTAAATGTTAAACAGGCGTGTTTACAATCAAATCACGCTCATATAAAAATTATTTACTGTGTATAGCAATTTTGCACGAGCTTTCCACATCATAAAAAAAAATTCGTGCCATTGGTACTAAAGTATTTCTTCTTCTTTTAATTCTGCGTCATTTTCGATGCGTTCAATGTTTTAGGAGAAAAAATGGGCCATAAAAATAATTTTCCCAAAACATTCATCTAAAAAAAAAGAACGCCTCATCAGGAAAAAAAATCCCTTAAATAAATTGGGTATTTTTCCATGAAGCTCCATTAGAACAAAACTAATTCAAGTCGGGTATAAAATCACAACAACAAAAAAAAAACAATGGGAGAAGCTGACGAGGACACACCTCGTAAATTCACAGCCGCCACAGGCACTTGATTCGCCACACTCAGCTTCACGTTCTGTGACGAAGTTCCAGAACTATTTTTGGTAACTGTTTTACAAGAAGTCGGACAAAGGGAAGCAGCAGCGACAACAGACGAAAACGACGAAGAAGACAAAGGGTGTTTTCCCTGCGTCGTCGTCGTCGTCGTCGTCGTCGTCGTCGTCGTCGTCGCCGCCGCCGAAAGACCGACAGCACCCTGAACCTCATCTTCCTCCTCCTCGTCGTCTTCCTCGTCCCTCTGATCGTCTTCAGAGTCCGTGACGCCAATCAGTTCTTGGGCCAGATGCTGGTCCAGGTCGTCTTCCTCTTCATCGTCATCGGGGTTCTCCGGACTCGCCCCAGAACCACAATCCATCTAAAAAGAAAAAATTATATATATTTGTAAGAATGTTTCACTTTAAGAGGAGGGTTCTCTCAAAACTTCCGGCGAATCAGCCTGAAATCGTCATGACGAGAGAGTGAAACATTAATATCCCTGCAGCTAATTAAAAAAGGAATTCAATCCTGCGCAGAAAAACACGAGAAATTAACAAATTATTTACGCGTTTTCAGCAACAATCCGCGAGATTAAAAATATTTGCATTAAATTTCATGCGACTGCATAATATTTTTGAAGAATATATTGATCCCAAAGAAGTTCCAGTGTCTTTGAAACAAAATCTTGCTGAAGAAGAGCTTGAAAAAAAAAAGAGTTCTGCTGATAAAGACCCATTTTCCAAAATTATTTGACAGAATCAAACCTCTCGCTGTTCCCGAATGAAGTGTTCTCTATCCATAAATGGCAGAACGAAATTAACAGCAATTCAATAAAAAAATTGATCAACAGATGTCACCCGCCTTCATTTAAAAAAATTAGTTGGTGGCCAGAACGCATTTTTCCTCGACTTATTCTCTCCTTTTGGAAAACATTTCGTAAATCGGTAAAACCTCTGTCATATTACCTTCAAACGAAAGCCTGTGGCTGTCAACAAAGACCTCGTCACCCCGGCTTCACTGCTGTCGACTTCATCAGCATCCCTGTGTCGTCTTCTCCAACGATTCCTCACCCGTCCCGAATCGACGAAAGACGTTGGCCCTGATGTGGGCAGCGCAGACCCACTTTGAGACGACAGCGACGTTTCCCCGGTCACAGATGTGACATTGCTGTTTGACGTGAGGCTTCTCGCGTGCAATTGTTGATGCTGCTGGAGGGACTTCATGTCTTGCTCCAGTTGCTGAATATACAGCCATTGGTCTCTGCATTTCTGGAAATACGTCGGCGGCCGGACTGCGAATCTGGACACGAAAATTTCCGGTATTTTCAGGTTTCGAAGAAAAAAAAAGTTGAATGATCACAGGCATTTCACGCATTTTTGTTCATACTCGTGCGATTATTTCAATCGAAATTAAATGTACGAATTATTTTCGATACAACACTAGAATCGAATGAAATATGGCGCAAGAATTTCAAACTTTCAAAATTAAATGCACAATTTTTCAGACGGATCATTGATCACGTTCCTATTCATTTTTAAAAACAAGGGAAACCCGTGTTGCTCATATACAAGTAAAACTATTTCCGAAGTACAATGATTAGCAAACCAAGGATTTTTGATCCTTTTTCCGCAGCTAAGCAGGTGTACACGTACTTTAAAACAAAACTGCCAAATATTTCAAGGGCTCATTTCTTCACTGAAAACAGTAAAAATTATTTCTCAACAATATCCACGCTCTCTCTGCAATTGCAGTCCAACTGCAGAAGCTTTCGTGCAACTTTTTAGAGATTTAAAAAATTCACGGAGGTTCGTCACATAGAATAAGAAAAATGTCATAATAACTGCTTGTAGACCTCGGAGGAACTTTACATTTCTTTTCCATTCCATCTGAAACAAATCGTGCATTTCTTCACGAGTTGATCTCTCAATTTAAAAAAAACAGACATTCGGACGTCGGAAGGAATGTACTGTACTATGAAGTGTACTGTACCTCAAAATGAGCGTGTCCGTCGCAGGATCCAAATAGCCCTCCCTGGCGAGCAGGTCCAGACGAAAGAAGCGATTATAACCCCAGCATTCTCCGACGTCAAAGTCAGACGCAAATTCCCGCACAATGTTCTTGGCTGGGTCTCCGCCGAGACCGCATATGGCGGCGCGCCCGGTGGCGTCCTCGTCCTCGTTGCTGGCGGTGATCGTGGCCACGACGGAGTCGCCTCGCTGCTCCAGGATCACGCCGACGCCCATTCGCTGCTGTCGCTTTTGATGCACCATTTCCACGCGGTATTCGTACCTTTGTAGAAATAAAAAGACAAAACAATTTTTTATAAAATCAATCATCAAACTCATTTTCAGAACACTTTTCTTCTTCGGAAATGTCTTATCGCATTCATTCGGGGATACGACGTACAAAGATGGAGATAATCGTCTAAAAACAGTGAATAAGCATGACTGTTCAAGATAAAATAGTTCAACGAAAAATCCAAATAAACAATTGAACGAAAAATGTTCATCAATTATTTTAGCTCATGGACACAAAAGAAAGAAATCCAACAATCCGTTGGGATTGTTTGAGGGGATTAGGCTAATAACTGAGGCATAACAAGAGACCCAGTTTTAAAAAATTCATCCAATTTATTTTGAGATTTTACATTTGCGCGGAAAATTGTTTTCATTCTTTGACACCAAATTTAGAAAAGCGTCTTGCGTTACAGTAAAAACGGTAAATCGGCACTGTTTCGGGTTAGATTAAGTCAGGTTACGTTACTTTTGTTCGAATTACATTATGGGCCCCGTTAGGAATCCGGGCGACACATGCCCTGAAATCTATGAAGCTCGGTCGTAGGTTTGATAACACATGTAAAAAAAAAGAAAAAGAATTTAACTTCAACTTTCAATGCTCCCAGCTTACTCCATTCTTTGCCCTCACGTACTGTATCTTCTCACCCAAACTGAATTATAATTTATTAGACCAAGGTTAGTGTTTGTTGGGCCAGTGACTCAAGCGACATCTGCCCATCATTCCAGAGAAGAAAAGGCTTAGAACTTTAGACATTCATATCATATAAAATACTGGAAAATTGACACGCGCCTCAAAATCGGCGCCTTCATACACGAGTATCGTATTTACTCATGAACAACAAGCACTTTTTCTCTCTCAAATTTGAGAGAAAAAAGGGTGTGTTCATCATAGACAGGTATACAGTACATTATTCAAAAGAGTTGTAGAAATTTAGGTGTGCAGTATACTGCAATTGACTTCGATGAAAATTTTTGGACCAAAATCAATAGGAAAAACTTATTTCAATGGGAAAACTGAAAATTAGTTGAAATCATTCACTTCACGTATAAATTCAAATTTCGGTGTTCTTATTTTTCAGATATTTTGGGTTCAGAGTAAAAATGGGGCGTGTCTTATTCGGGGACAGAATTTAATAAAAATTTCAAACTGTAAAAAAAAAACGCTGTGGAGTGTCCTACTCGAGTAAATATAGGTACTGCTGTGCTGCACTTCATTAAAAAAATACCCAAATTGATTACTTCGATGTCTCCCTGAGCCCAGACGTCAGCTCAAGAAACACGGACAAGTAATTCCCGCGGACGACCCCGTTGCCGTCGGGATACACCTTCAGGCGCCAAGACAGGCCATTGACAACCAGGGGCTTCGAGTACACCGGGTCCGCCTTATTTTGCCGCCGCGAAAACTCCTCAATGATGAACGCGGCAGAGTCGTACTCTGGGACAATTTCAGACACAAACAAGCCAGTCGTCGTAACGGTGCTTGTCGTTGACGCCGTCGCCAGCAGGTCTGCAGCCTTGGCATCCAGGGCACGGGCCATCACGATGTGGCCCGTCGCTTGGGCAATGAGACTCGGCTTTGGACAGAGTTGAGGATGCACCAGGCGGTCAGAGTCTTGCAAACACCTTTCCATGTGCTCTGCCTGGGGGAAAATAAAAAATAAAATAAACCGAACACAATGACTAACATTAAACTGAATTCAACAAAAGAGGATTACGGCATAAAGCTGCAGAAGCTTAGGTCAGGTCATCACGCCTCAAGCTTTATCTTCTCTGACATAAATTCCTAAATGATTTTTCGATGCAATCTAGTAATATTAGCTTGGTATTGTGTTTCTATTTCACGAGGTACGGAGTAACGAGTTTTTGGGGAACAACAGCTAGGCAGAAAACTTGGGGTATTTTAAAATGCATTTCGTAGAACGAACGAGACTGAATTTTCTTAGTACCCTTGAAAACACGAGAAAATAAAAAAATTACTTGTACAAGTCGTGTAAGATTTAGGAACTTATAATTGTGAGAAAACAGGAGACGTTATCTTTCAACGACAATAATTTGAGGACTTGTATATCTTTGAAATTTTTATCCCTACCAATCATTTCAGAAATACACACCCTATTTTTGAAACAGTTCATGAAATCTAACAAGAGATGACAGAGAAACTTTAAAACGATGATAAAAAAATAGCTGACAAAATAATAATAATAAATGTAAAAGTAATCAGAATATCTTCGTCGTATACAATCTCGAACATACTTTATAGTGACTTGAAAATTTTTGAAGGGTAAAGAAAAGTTGCCCAAATGGCGTTCGCTTGAAGGACTTGCAGTTCAAGTAAAAACTCGTCGTAATGTGACAACATTTTCGTCGAACCCAAGACTTTCCTTCACTCTAGCATTCGTTTTTTTCTTTTTTTTAAATACAGTACTGTACAGTCCACAAAAATGGATTATTCAAAATGTTTTTCTTTACACTATGCCAACCTGTTGACACAAGGCATTCTTGTGGGCCATGAGGGCCAAAAGACGGTGCTTGAGTTGCGTGTCCAAACGCTCCACCATGAGTTCAACAGCCGCCCTCATTTCCCGCACACGATCGTCTTTGCGTGCCCGAACCGCGTTCACGCTGCGTTCCAGCTCTTGAACCAGGGTCGCCACGGCGGCGGCTCGGGAACGCAGCTGCGCCGCCATTTGGCGAACAGACTCCACTTGGATGTCATACACGGAGTCCACGGGCTTGAAACTGTGGGCGCGATGCGTCGGGCTCCACAACGCACACTAATCACGAGTGATACAAGAACACAAACACCTGCTATGAGTCATGAGGCAAAAATGCATGCGTGCGTGCTTTTGCACTTTTTTCAGCGCAGAAAATAACATAACATTCGGATGCAAAACGAAAACTAAGAAAAAAAAACAGACTTCATAATCCGCAGTTTACTTTTCAGCTAACATTTTTGTCAGTTCCATTGCTTCTCTGTTACTTGAGGAACACAAGAGATGGAGTTTGTGTCCACTTGAAGAAAAACTGTGCCTACCAGTGACATCTATCCAAACTTAAACAATCCGTCACTGCAGCTGACAATTGGGAAAATAATTCCATCTTACATTTTCGGGTATTGGTACAGTTCAAGGTTTCAATAAGTGATCTGTTGGTTTCATGCATTAGCAAAATCCACAAGTGGAATAGACGAAGCTTCTCTTCTTAAATATTTGTGCCCTTTGCAGGGAGATAGTATTTTAGAAGGCTATCTCTCTCATTGATGTTTCTACTAAAAAGTTCATGTCAGGCACAGGAATGATCAGGGCACTCAAAAAATACTAGACACTCCATTTACTGAAGTACCATGCAAATCTTTTTTTTTTCCAGATGGGAAAAAAAAGATTGTGGTTCATAGGTGGGTATACCATTAGTAAGGCAGCAGCCTCCTTTCCATACCACAGCAAAGTCAGGATAATTTTTGCACACAGGGGAATTCCAGTTAATCCACAAGGAGTAAATCCTTCTCTTTTTAGAAACTGCCAATGCTAATCCTATGCTAGGAATGCAGGAAAAAATGCCAGTTGGCAAGGAATTCTTTCATGTTTTAGCTATATATTTTTTTTTTTTTGCTGGAACAGAAAATTTCCCAAACTGAGGCCTTTGTTCTTATTCATGTTTTTATTTTATTTCATTCCTCTTAGGCCACAAATTATGCAAAAATATCCTTATTTTTCCAAAGAAGGGTTGAAAACAATTTTAAAGCCTCAGTGCACCTCATACTGTAGTCCAATAAGATAGAATTTGCAACCAATTTTTACCAACAATCCAAAAAGCTAAAATGATTGAAAATCAACATTTAATTGTATAAAAATTTTCCCAATTTAAATTCTGATGCATTTCATTTAAAAATATTTGAATGTTCAGCAGTCTCTCAAAAATTGGGATACGCTGAAAGATACATACATTTTCAGCCAAATTTTGCTGCGTGCTACTGGTGCTAGCTAGAGAGTGAATACAGTACGGTAACAAATGAGTGGGGAAAAAAGAAGCAACCTGATGACAAATGCAATCCTTGCAAGTGGTGCAATAAACAGAAAGCTTTTCCTCGTGCAACTCGCATCTCTGCTGCTGCTGCTGGTCCTCCTTCTCCCGACTGCCAGTCCTCCCAGCTGGCCCACTCGCCCCGACATCCCCGCTTCTAAACAACCAAGTCGGGTGTCTGTGCTGATCCAGTGCCGAGGATGCAGTCGTTTCCGCCGACGACCTACTCTGCAGCACGTCCAATTGCTGATTAACCTCCTCCACCCACCGGCAATTCACTAGTTCGTGCAAATGCAGGGCGGCTCTGCAATGCGGGCACTGGTTCCGCTGCTCAGTCAGCCACCTTTGAATGCACACCAAGCAGCAGAGCTTGGAGCAATGCGGGCACAAATGCGCATTCACCAACTTCTCCATGCAAATGAAGCACCGGAAAACTTCCGCAATCCCCTACAATTGCAATGATGAAGCATCAAGAACAGGAATGTAATTCGGATTATTACCGGGGGTTGTAATAATCAGCAATTCATTACCTCGACTCCGCGTTCATCCTTCTTGTTAGCAGTAGCCATGGCGAGGATTTTTGAGAAATAAAACGGAACACGTATCACACAATCATTCACTACAATCACACATCAATTGAGCACCTGAAAAAAATTAATGGTCACTACATAATTCACACAACAACTTGGCTCTTTGCCAACGATATAAAAATACGTACTCAAGTACCACACGCACCTTTTTTTTTCAAAATCTATACTAAAAATAGGGGCGTGAGTCTTTATTAGCCACAATTATTTAAAAAATTCCCTGCACATAATACTGTACTTGAATCACAGGCCCCATTTTCAAAATTTTCAAAAAGTTGGAAGTACAAAAAAGTTGAAGCACAAAAGACAGTCATTGGTTTCAATTTGCTTTTCATATTCCCAAATTTAATTTGATGCAAAAATTTTGGTAAATTTATCTCAGCATTAGTTTTTGAAACACATAATTTATTGCTCAACAAAATGTGGGACAGGTGCCATGCGTAGGGATACATTTTAATCAAAGTGTTCCTCTTCAAAATCAAGGTGAATGTGTAAACAGGGGGTGTGTAGTGCTCACATGAATATGATAATACTTGAGGACTCTCTCTACAACAAAATTCAAGAGGCAGAAAAAAATGCATTGCAGAGAACCTCATGGGAAAAAAAAAAAATTATACAGAGAAAAATGTTGTAGAAAAGATCTGTGTAGAGACTACAGAGTATACACCATGACAAGTTCCTCTGACAGAATTAACCAGAAAAATGGTAAGCCTACAAAATGTTCTTGAGCAAAATGAAAATAAAGCAAATCCATACACCCTGAAAACATATTCACATAACTTTCAACAGCTTTTAAATTTAACCTGGATGTATTTCTCAAGCACATCACACATTCTTCTAGGACTTCTTTTGATGGATGCATCATCACCAGGAAGTAAGTTGTGAATCCTGTACATGAAATTGATATAACACAAAAAATAAATAAATGCCATATTCCATGGAATAAACTCTTTCGATCAGATGCTTCACCAACAAACACAAGCTGGATTGGACAATCAAGAGGAAATGATAAAGGTGACCTCAAGTGCTACTTTTGCAGAACAGGAAAGGACTGCTTCACTGGAGGAACAAGTGTGGACTGTGATTCTGATTCTGAAGTCTGCATCACTCTCTATCCAAACAGACCCATCTGGATGATGATGGGAGATGATCCCCCCAAAGAACCCACTAGGAATGGTGAGCACCACACAGATTTTGTTCTATTCATGAATGCCTTTCAAGAAATAATTTCTGCATTCTTCTTCAAGCACATCCTTCTTGAACTTCAATCCAACAATGCTCAAGTATACCTCTGATTGATATCCTTAAGAATTTTGAGTTCTCTAAATAGTCTAAAATACCACATTTCCTCTCATACATTCCTGGTCTTCAATAGAGGACTTCCTATAATAAAGGATGGAAATAATTCTGTGAATTCTCCTTTCAAGAGCTGAAGCAAGAAACACTTCCCCATTTCTGATTCTTAAAGTATTCCTGTCTCATTTTCCAAGAAAAAAAGTGCTATGAAAGGAGTTTTCACATTTTCACCCAGGGGTTTCCCTCTCTCTTGTCCCTGCAGTCTGAACTATTGAAAATAGGCCCTGGGCTCTATTGAACGCCAAGAGAGAAGTCAAACATTTTAAGTAAACACCTGGGGCATTTATTAGAGAATATATGGCATTTCTACAAACAGGGTATCACTGATGTGTGTTGGAAACTCTTGTTGGGGATGCCAAAGAGATGCCTTTGATGCCAGCCAGCAGTAGCAATCAGCAGTTGTTTTTGAAAAGTAATGCTTTTGTGATGTGAATGATTTGGATTCATTTCTTGTCCATTCAAAAACCACAAATCTCATAAAATAGTGAGTATGTGCATTATCCTTCCAAACATTTTTCCTTTATGTGTGTAAAATTATTCCCAAAAACCAAAATAGCCATATTTCCTCAAAAACTGCAAAGTATAGAAATTTCTCCAAATTATTCACCCTATATAGCAAAGAGATTTCTGGTAAATGAAGAATTTTTGCAACCCCAGAAAACTAGGCCAGTACGCAGAATCTGTTCCCAAGCAAAAATATGCTCATAAAAGGGAAGACCGTGCAGTGGCAAACCTTTGAAGTGCATGGCCATAATTCAAACAGATGTCACCAAGGACATTCAAAATAGAACATCATCAAAGAAACGTAATTCACCTAACAATATTTTCCTGGGCTCCAGAAAAATTCTGAGGGAAAAAAAATTCAAGCATTTTTTCCACACTTATAAAGGGGGAAGAAATCAGAAGGTGATTGCCCAGGAATTAGTCAGGGTGTTGAGCAACCAGTTCCCCAGCTAGTTATTGATGCAGTAGGGCACCTTCCTAATGGGGTTTCAATCATCTCCATAAAAATGTATGGTTATGTATCACAGGTCTCTCTTTACTCTCTCTTTACAGACTCTCTCTTTACATCATCATTCAAGGAACTAGAAAAAATTGTTGGAGAGAACCCTTATAACATGGGGAGAGAATCCAATGGGAAAACACAAAAATTAATTATACAAGATTGTTGGAGAGAGAGAGAGAGTTCCCCTGTACAGTTCAATGAAAAACGCTTTGAGACATATTTTCAGTTCTGTTGAAGAAATCAGGTGATCTCACATACAGTAGTCTATTTCACCACATGAAACGACTGTATTTACTTGAGAACCACGCGCCCTTGAGTAAGGCACGCACAGGGGTTTTTCAGCTGAAAATTTTGCAAAAATCTTATCCCTGAGTAAGATGCGCACCCCAATTTTTATTGAATCTAAAACCATAAAATTTCAAAAATAAAAACAAAAAATTTGACTTTAGGCGTCAATTGAACAAAAATCTGATCAATTTTCAACTTTTTCAATGCAAAAATGTTTTCTTGTTATATTTGTTCAAAATTTCTCCATTATAATTAAGTATAATGCACACATAACTTCCTCGAACTTCTCGAAAATGTTGTACCCGCTTATGGTACGCACCCCTTATTTTCTTCTGAAATCTGGGAAAAAAGGTGCGCGTGGTACTTGAGTAAATACGGTATTATTCCTTCATGATTATTGTACTTCCCAAATTTTCTTTCACGGCCATCACAATCTTTTTCCTGAACTCACAGCAGGAGAAGGTTTTATTTGAACCCGGCATTTCCTCAATGAAAACTGCATCTGAAAAAAAAAAAATTGTACAGTACTTTTCTTCGGATTTCACAGGTGAAGAAACGGTGATACTCAAGCGATGCGACATCGAGCCAGATCGATACAGAAACGACAGCCAGCATTTCACATTTGACTCGAAAGAAACCAAGTGCCAAAGGATTGATAAATCGGCTTGGGTCTGTTACTGTGACTGGAATCTGTGCAACTTTGAAAACTCGGACGCCATGTCCGATAAAATCCCCAACGAATTGACATTTCTCACGTTTATTCTCTCATCAGCTCGTTATTTTTTTCGTTTCTTGTCCAAGGAAATTCAATAAAAAATAAAATAAAGAGATTAAAAAAAAAACACGCCTCTTTTCACTGGAACCAGTTTCTCACGGATTTCACTTCCCCAACTGAAAGCGGAAACAGGGGGACAAAAAAGGTGAGGTTCACGCATTATTTTGGATCCTTCTCATGAGAATAACTGGATCCCTGTTTTCGTCAACTCCTTAAAATCGTGGGTCACCGGTTTCAAAACAAATATTTACCAACTCACCAGATTTTTCTGAAGCAAAAAAAAAAAAAAACCGCAGCGATTTCAGCAACACAATAAATATTGCCACCGAGGAAACACGGTCATCTGTTTACTGACGAAGCCCAAAAGAAAAAAACTCATTATACTCAGCACCAGACCGGGTCAATCAGAACTTGAAAACGTTTAATAGCTAAAGAATACTCGCCATTGTCGATTATTCTAGTGTAAATGATTTGATTGTTGAGACGAATCATGCGGGATGGTGCAGCGGTGTACATGCTCCCAGTGCAACGCCTACTTTTCAAATCCTCAGGAATACATTCACAAGTTCTACTTGCATTCGTACTGCTTTTCAGTCCAAATTCGCTCAATCTAGCAGGTGATATTCCTATCGAACATCAATATATGCACATTTGATCATTCATAACAAGGATCCAAAGAAGAAAATAAGTTTCCTTGCTTAAGGAATTGACCACATCAATAAAGCTACAAATAATTAGGAAGTGAAACTTGCCTAGCGGAAGAGCATGAATACTGTTTTTTAGAATGTATCAGAGCTCTGAAAATTTATCTTTTTAAATATAAAATTGTACCACATTTACTCAAGTACAATGCGCACTTTTTTTTTGAAAATATTGAGCAAAAAATGGGGAGCAGGAATTACTTCAATACACCTCTTCCATCATTTTAGTGCAAATACAGGTGGACACTGTTTACAATAAATTTCAATTAATGAATCAGAAATGGATTTGCTGCAGAGAACCTGTATAACATGGGGAGAAAACCCTATGGGAACAAATAAAAATGTGGTATGCAGAGAAATTTGTTGTAAACAAGATTGTTATAGAGAGAGTCCAACCTGTATAGTTCTCAAGTTACACAATCAATTTTTGAAAATGTCAAAATGCTAAATGGACTGTACTGCATACACATCCCAAAGCTTAATAGGAAAATGCAATTGGTTCCCATATGTCCATGTTTGATATATAAAAAATTATTATAATTAAAAACGCCTAATAAATTTGCATTGATACAGGTGAACACTCTCAACAACAATCCTGTCTACAAGAGTTTGCTCTGAACACAATTTGTTCTTATCCCATAAAGTTATCTCACCATGTCATAAGGATTTTCTACAAGAAGACTATTTTCACAGCAAATTTTTCTGGTCCTTAGACTTCCGTTGTAGAGAGAGAGAGAGAGAGAGAGAGAGAGAGAGAGAGAATCCATCCGTAATATATTTTAATGAGGAATTAATTGATTACCAAAAATTGGGATCTGCACCTTCAGCTGGGAGACATTTTTGTTCAAATTTTCATTGGCAAAATTAAGGTGCGCATCTGATTCAAGGTTGTGCGGTACTTGGCTAAATATGGTATGCACTACTGAGGTTAATTTTTACCAACTGATTGTGCAACAATTTACTCTTTTCCAAATTGTTATGGAGTTGTCTATTATACTAATCTTCCACTGATGTATTGGTGACCTTGTATAAAAATAGATACTTGCTCTGCAAGCAATGACTTGACTTTGCATTACACTTGAATCAGCCCAATTTTGATGATATATATAACATTATGTAATACTGAACAAGTCATAACTATCTTCAACAAATGCGCTGATCGTCTCAACTCAACCTTAACATCTATGGAGACCCCAACACAGAAAACCACGTCTCAAAACTTGTATTTTTTTTTTAACTCCTCACTACAGCTGGTTTATGACGTTTTTATAATGAAAGTTTATAGAGAAAAAAAGTTTTCCATCAAGCAAGAATACCGTACATTGGAGGAACAATCAAGTCCCAACAAACTCTTACTTTTCAAGCACATTCTTCCAACTAATTACACATGCAAGTGCTCGGTGATTGTGTTTCAACAGCTCCAAACGGAAACACCATCAGCGTGGAGCTGGAGATCACAGGACTGAAACAATTACCTCGGTTCACTCTCCAAAACTTTCATACTTCGGACGTTGCACGAATCCCTCCCCTCACCCTTACGAAACAGCACGAAGATTACGATATCGCCAACAGAGGTTACAACAAATACGGTACAAGTACTTCTCCACCAGACTTACACTCCCACAAGGTTTTCGAAACTCATTCGTTACTTTTACAGCAAACGGAAGCACAGAAGTCGCAACAGAGCGCTTTATCAAGCAAATATTGAGAGATGCCGCTCAAGTCAAACGGCAGTTTACCGTAGGAACAACAACTCCGAGACCTTTTCCAATAACAAGGCCCTACACAATGGTCGAGTTCAGGCCGTACATTCCACCAGGACTCCCACAAACTGGACTCAATCCACCAAACCCGGAACCTATTGGAACCCTGAGCCCAAGATACGAACAGAAGGTCCGGGAATTCAGCAGTTTTTCACGCCAAGCCCGACCAAGAAAGCCTGAAGCAACCACATCAACGACGACGAAAACAACACGATACTCTGACTCTGGGACCGAGGTAAACAACAGTCCCGCGAAATTTTGAAATCCGTTAATGTTAGTAGGTGTTTTAGGTATACACGGAGACCGAGGCACTGAATGATCTCAGATCACGCAAGCACGTAGCCACACAAAATCACGACACTTTGCTGAACACAACATCATACACTGATAATAATAACTCAACCGAAACCCCGAAAGATGAAAGAATATACCAGGTTGTCCACAGACCTCGGTATTCCTACATACCCGGATCTCGGCACAGACTTCAACACAAAAAATACACTACACGACGACACATCATCTCCTCAACAACTTCTGCAACACACAAGTCCACAACAAGCTCCATCGGATCTACAACACTGAATGTCACAGGCAGTACCACACCGCGTACCACTTCCGCTTGTCAAACAAGGATCAAGAGCACAACCACGACCAGTCCAGGCTTTGTGTGGGTGACAACACCAACCCCATCAACTAGTACAACCAGTAAAGTTTGGGTTTATTTGGATCCATGTCCATTTGTCAAGGGGCAAGTCAATTACTCTCAACCTGAGAAAATTCCGCCTGAAGGTAAGCTGTTATTGACCAAAGGATTTACGTGATCTATGCCTGATTATCACCATTTCCATTCATAACAACAATTGCAAATCCAAAAGATACAGTACAGTATTACAAATCTGGTCTTTGGCTAATCTGTATTTACAATTCGTGTCAAATAAGTCTCTAAGGGGATTATTTGCACCTCAAAGAAAAGCGAAACACTTGTTTTTCAATTACTGCTGCATTTGTCGGGTGCAGTAGTTTCATGTTCTAGCTTAAAACAGCTTTAACGTCCGCAGTGGGAGGAACGACCAGTAGGATCCTACAGGGGTCTGGGGGGGAATAATAAGGACGTCCTGTAACATGTGTCTGTGGCCTGTTTGTTTACTGTTTGTTTCTTACATGAAAAAAATGCATCCAGTACATTAAGTTGTCAGGATGGCTGAGTGGTCTAAGGTGCTGTGTTCAGGTCACAGTCTTGTTCTGCAGGCATGGGTTTGAATCCCACTTCTGCAATCGTTTTTTTTCATTTTTTTTCGTTTTTTTGTCCGCACTGCGGACGCTCTACTACTTGTTGAGGTTCCCTTGAGAAGAACTGCAGACACCTTTTTCCTAGCCCCACCCACGTAATCTCTCTCTACTCAAAGTGGTGTCCAGTACAATATTGTACTGTACATGGCATATTCTTCACAGGTTCCCATAACCCAACCTTGTCAATAGCATCAAAATCCAAAGCTATACAGGACTTCAAACTACTCCCAGTTCAGATCCCTCTCATCACACCATGGCCAGACCGTCGGAGTCAAACACAACCAATTTTCCTCACTGCAGTTCCCATCAAGAGCAAATATGAAGAAAGCATCAATTATGCCCGCTTCATAGAGCATCCACATGAGAACGACAGATTAGAGGAGCATCACGCACCTATTTCACAGATTTCTACGGATTTCAATGAACGCGCTGAAGACTGTTTGGGAGTGGGGAAATTCCATAAAATTCAAACTTGACAACTTGCAACAAATCACTGAAGCAATGATGTGGCTCACAAATCATCTGCAAATGAATGTTCCCAAACTGCCCCTATGGCAAATATTTTTCCATCCCCAGCTTGTGTTATCTGACATGCCAAGCTGAAAAGATAACATTTGCAAAAACATCCTTAACCAGTCATTATACACTTCACAAGTCTGCCATTTCAAAGAGGAAAACACTGACAGACAACATTTCAAAAGGAATGGGAATTAAAAGTTGTTTTCACGAGGGTAGTTGCAAGGTTGAAGTCAAGATCCCGCTTATTTCTTTTGCCTTGCGCTGGTTACACATTCTTGACTGCAAGATGGTTCAATAACCATCACCAAGGAACAATAGTGGTTCAATCACTTCAATGCAAGTGAAACCAGCATTTGGTTTGTGTAAGTTGCTCTTGAATTGTTCTGCTTTTAGGGAGCCTGAGACATTTTAAATCCAAGTTCCCATAATTCCAAGCATACTGCATTTCTTTCAACTTGACTACACTCCAAACCATTCAAAATACAATCTACTGCGCTATAGATTTGTCTTTCCTACAGTTGAACTTCAATAACACCAACCAACATAAGTCAAGTACTCCATGTCAATCACTTGAAATCTCAGTTATATCCCTTGGAAACAATGCTTTAAAAATTATCTTACACTTGGAAGGTTTTCCCCCTCAAATCTCATATACTCAAATTTTCTCCAGAGGCCTTTTTGGCTATTACTGCATTTAATAAAGTACCATGAGCCATCAAGTAGACACACTGCTGTTTTTTTTGTCATGCAATTTGTCAAAAAATGCATCCCTGCATGCAACATACACCCCACTTTTACATGGTAGAAAATCAAATTACAATGCTGAACAAAATAATTACTTAAATAAATACAGCATAAGAAAATGCACAATTTCAACTAAATTTGCGTAAAACAAGGTTCCTAGTTCATTCTTTGTAACTTATATCTTCTACCAAAAATGTCTTGTTTTTTTACTGCAACAGATGTATACCCACATACCCCACTTTTCTGTCTTGATTTGCATAAAAAGGTGCCTATTGTGCTGAATTAAATACTATACAGTACAGTCTTTTAATGACACAGGGAAAAAAACCAATAAAAGGGCACTTTCTGTGGTTTGAAAAGAAATGAGACAGATTTGGCAGAACAACCCTAGCCTCCAAGTCCAGTATCCTATCAACTCATTCAAGATGCAATTCAAGGCTGAGAATATCACCAATTACAATATCCTGCACTTCTTTCTTCTTTTCCCCATAAAAAATATGTGTTTCCCTAATCAGAAACACACAAAACTGAAATTTTTACTAGTCCCACAAAGTTTGACTTGAAGAGGTTTGACTGTATTACACAAATTACCCTCTTTTGAAGATATTTGGCAAACAACTTCAACTCAGACATTTGAGAGGGTTCAACACCTTTGATAATAGAATGCCTCTCTCAAGCGGATCATGCATACATTTCTTGAGCTGGGTAAATATTCTACTTTCGAAACGGGATACAAAACTAAAATAGTGTCTCACATGGCACACACCAAAAACATTTCTGTCCAGAAAAAAACCTTTGGAACAATTCTTAAAAATCAATTCCTGCATAAAGTTACTCAATTTGATGCTATACACAGGTCACATGTAACAGAGGGATGTGACCTTGAATGTTCAAAAGAGTTACAGTGCGTGGCTGTCCTTAGAAACTGTGACCAACCGTGCATAATTGCTCTGTATAGCCATACAGTACACACATTTCATTGTAAGAATATCACAAATGTTGAATGAATACAGGTTGACTCTCTTTACAGAAATTTGCTCTGAATAACAAGTTATTCTCTCATCCTTTGAATACATAAATACAGTACAGTAGTTCCAAACTAAATGATAACATGTCAGCAGAGGATGAATGAATTCTAGATTCAATTTAAAAAATATTCTAACATTGACAGAAGTCATGAATGAGTACTCATTCACCAGTGACATGAAGTATCTGAATGTTTGCAACAAACTATCTGTTTCAATTCTTCTTTTCTATGTATGATCCATCAAATAGTAACGGCCGCCGACGGCCATTGTGTCCCGCGCGACAAGGTTCGCGACTTCGATGTGTTTTTACGTTGTTCAAACTAGGCCAATCAGAGGGCCTCGGCCAGCCAAGCCCGCGCGCTTCCGGCGGATGGTGAACCAACGCGGAAACGGCGCCGAAAACCCCGACTCGCCGGACGGCGCATCGGGCTCTGGTCAGGCGATCGCCCCAGCTAACCCACAGGCACTCATGAATCCGTGGGCAAGCCTGAACCTCCCCGCAATACGAGCGTATTGTACGGTATACAACATACCGGGAGCAACCGAAGAAAACCGCAATGAATTAGTGACGACGCTCCACAATCGCGGGATAACGCCACTACACGTGGTAATGAGCACGCCACCAGACTCACTATCGGGTCCAACGGCAGCCGATATCACGGCATCACTCCTCCGACGACGAGTGGATTACCCGAAACAGTCCCCAAACGAGGACATAGAGGGATACCTACGCCGCCTAGCGATCGCTTTCCGGCATGAAGCAACGCCGAACCACACGCGGATCGACTGCCTCATAGCACATTCGCAGCCGAAAGTAGCCGAAGCGGCGCAGATCCTGTACGAGCAGGGGTACCTACAATACGACCAGGTCATCGAACGACTCAAGGTACGCTTCGGTCTCTCCCCGTTCGAACATTTTCAGAGGTTCCAAAAGATGCGCCCAACGCCAGACGAATCGTATGCCGAGTTTGGCCAGCGCTTGCGTGAGGAATACATAAGGTACCTCGCCTTCAAACCAGACGAGATTCCGAACCAAGAACGCACGATAACAGCAGGGCTGATCGGCCAACTGCTATCCATCACCACGGGCGGCATGCACGCTCTGCTCCACGCGAAAGCCACAGCGGACAGGGCACTATCGTGGGATGATTGTCTCGCGCACGCAGACGAATATCGTCGCACACACCCGGCGTCGCCAACGACGGCGCCGGCGGCTTCCCCGGCACCGGGTCAGGCGAGACCGCCAAAGATGACAGCTGCCGGAATACCGAAGTACTACTGCGACCACCACCAGAAGTACGTATTCCACACAACCGCGGATTGCTCGAAGTCCGGTTCCAGGAGTTCCACTCCATCAACAGCGCCAACACGCGCTCTGCAAAACTGCGCATACCACCCGGGACGAATGGTGGCGCACTCGACCGCGGATTGCCGCAACAATCCAGCAAACCAGGTGAACTCGCCTAACCAAACGCCATCAGTTCAAGCAACTAAATGCGTCCAATGTGGTCTTGCAGGCCATACCGCAGCAAACTGCCCCCAGCAGGGAAACGCGAAGATCGGACAGTGACGGCTGTCCTCTGTTCGATCCCCGCAGCTATAGACGACAGCCTTACCATCCTCATCGGAGTCAACGGACATCGCGTCCAGGCGCTTATAGACACAGGCGCTACACGGTCATTCATGGCCACAGACGTCGCCGCAGAGGTAGGACTTACGCCACATCCCACGCAGGCGCGGATTTCGGCGGCCGTCCTGCACGTCTCGACGAATCTGACGCATATGGTGAGTACAAATTTTTCGCTTGGCTCCGCCGTTTACCACGCGTCCTTTTTTCTGTTATCGCACGCGCGTTACCCCGTCATCATCGGGCTCGATGTTCTTCAAGATCTCCCCTTTTGCGTGACCCTCGATGGGCAGCGCATTTTTTCGGGTTTCCAGAATATCAAACCCACTAACAAGCAGCCACAGGCCCCTGCGGGCGACGGCATTCGGTTTGTGGACGGTTCCGAACCGGAACGAGCAAAAATAACACAATTACTGCTCAAACACAGGAAAAATATCTTCCAGTGGAGCGGCAAGCACGGACTGTTCCCACAGTACGTGGCGGCACTTCCAACGAACGGGCAAGACCCAGAACCCCCCCGGTGAATCCGTATCTCCCCGGATAAGACCCCGGCGCTCAATGAGATCATTGATAATTACACCCGAGCGGGTATCATCGAAACAGCGCAATCCACTATTAACTCCCCAGCCTTTTTGACGCTAAAGGACGATGACCCTAACGCACCAGCTATCAAAAGGTGGAGAATTGTGGAGGACTACAGAGAAATCAATAAAGTCCTTTTGCCAGACAATTACCCAATGCCGGTCATCCAGGATATCCTGGACGCCCTCGGGCAACAAAACGCATACTTCTGTTGCCTGGACCTCCATTCGGGATATCATCATATCCCCTTGGCACACGGCGACCGCCATAAAACGGCGTTCTCCACGCCTAGAGGCCAAATGCAATACACGGTCCTCCCGTATGGGCTTAAAACAGGGCCGGCCATATTCCAAAGAACAATGGAAACAATTTTGAGGCCGCACCTCTACACCAAATGCTTGGTGTACATCGACGACGTAATCGTCTTCGGTACCGATTTCGAACAGGTCACAAACAACCTCTCGGCAGTCCTCGAGACTCTGACAGCGGCCGGGGCGTCGATCGATATAGCTAAGTCACGATTTCTCGCCGAGTCGATTAAGTTCCTCGGCCACATCGTCGACAAAACTGGGACGCGACCAGCCAACAAACATCTGAAGGCAGTCGAAGCGTTTCCAAAGCCAGAGACCACGCGGCAAATGCAACGATTCCTGGGGCTTGCAACATATCTCCGAGCACATGTCCCGACGAATTTCGCAAATTTGGAGAAAGTCCTACGGCTGACCATTCCGGTCAAACCAGCCACAGCCCTGCATTGGTCAGACCAAGCAGAAACCGCGTTCGCGGAACTAAAAAAGGCAATTGCCCAAGCAGCCAGACTCGAGAGATTCGAACCCACATGGCAAACAGAAATCCATTGTGATGCATCGGCAACAGCCATCGGAGCAATATTGGTGCAGCTGGACGACCAGGGACAGCCACACATAATGGAATATGCAAGCCGAGTACTTACACCGGCAGAAACCCGCTATTCCAACACCCAGCGAGAACTGCTAGCAGCGGTCTGGGCGACCACGAAAAAATTCCATCACTACGTCGAACACCGACAATTCAAAATCGTGACAGATCACAAAGCCCTGCTCGGGGAATTAACGGACACAAGGCTCATCAGCCTCAAACTCAAACTAGAGTATTTTCAATATACGATGGTGCACAGACCCGGAAAATCCCTCACGGGCCCGGACGCACTCAGCCGTATCCAGCTCCACTCGATAGAGCTCAGGGAAATTCCGTCGACAGAGGAAAGACACGCTCTGGTTGAGGAATACCATCTAGAAATGGGACACCCGAATTGGAAGAAAACCTTCCAACACCTGCGACAGAGATTCACATGGCCCAACATGCGGACGGATATCTTCCGACAAATTGCCGAATGTGCCAAGTGTTTCACATATAACGCAGCAACGTCAAAAGTGGGAGCACCACTGGAGCCAACACCACCGGCCGAGAAACACGACCGGCTGGGTATTGATTTCTGGGGTCCTTTCCCGCCCTCACAACAGGGCCACCGATACGCGCTGGTAGCGGTAGATTACTTCTCAAAACGGGCAATCGCCCAACCGATTAAACGCGCAACAGCAAACGCGCTCTGCTCTTTCATCGCAGACGTATTCGCCCAACTCGGATCGTTCAAAATAATCCACTCCGATGGAGCGGCAGTTTTCTCTTCAGCAGCATTTCAACGATTCCTAAAAGCAAACCAAATTCAAGCGCACATCGCGCAGCTTTACCACCCAGAAGGGAACGGGGCCTGCGAGAGGACGATCAAGTCCCTCTCATCAATCCTAGCGAAAACGGCGACCAGCCCGACTACATGGGACCTAGTGCTACACGAGGCAACACTAGCGTATAATAGGGCTCCCCACTCGACCACGGGGCTCCCACCCATTGAGTTGTGGCACGGCCGGCCCGTCCGCACACCATGCGATATAAAATACGACGCGCCAGCCAGGGACATTAGCCCAAAGCTACAGGCAGCGAAGGACGTGGCCCAAACCAAACGGGCCCAGTATATCCAACAAGCAAACAAAAAGCGCAACCCCCCGTTCGGGGTAGGCCAGATGGTCACGCTACGACCACGCCTGCGCACAACAGAACGTCACGCGGCCCACCGACGCTTCTTGCCCAAACGGTTCGGACCGTTCAAAATAATCAAAAAACACGGAAAAGGCGCGTTTGTCATCGACACTCCCCAAGGGGCACGACTCGCGAACGCTTGGGAGCTCCAACCGTATTCCTTTCCAACAGCACCCCCCCCCCTCGTGTCCTAACAACCTAAGAACCCCTTCTAATAACCAACCTCCTTCTTCTCCTTCCATACAAATGGTTCCTCACAACCACCTAAAAAAAGTTTTTGGCAACCATTTTTGGTTGAAACCCTAAAATTTAAGAAACTCCATGATGCCTTAGCTGAATATAAAAATTGTAGATTCTGTACATTAGATAATCTTGAAAAAAGGGAAGAAAATTTTTTTATTTTAACTTACAGCCCATCCTAATTTTTGGGTTTGAGAAATGTCAATGTTTTTACTGGTGTTTTTCCTGGTGCCCACAATTCCAAAAATGTTTAAATTTTTTGAATAATAATAATGAAAATTCCATAAAAACTCTTTTTCTGATTCTTCCCCTAATGTTGCAAAACATTTTTGTAAGTTTCAGCATACCTTTATCAATTTGCAAGATTTTTTAAAAATTTGAAGCACTACATTGTAGGAAACTTCATGGCACATAAGCTGAATTGAAAAACTTTTGCTTTTGTGCATTGGATAATCTTGAGTGAGTGTTTGAGGGTGCCCATTTTGTTGGGAATTGAAAAACTGAAGTCCATTTTTTTGATAGTTACTCACTTCCTTTGAGTTTTTTTCTTCAATAGGTACAAAATTTTAATAAACTCAAGTGCGCATACACTGATGTTAAGAAATTCACACTTGGTCACATACACAAAATTCTGTACAATTTCAAAAGTGAGACTGGAATCCAAAATTATTCCTGTTCTTCACATATTTAATGTAAAATTGTGGCAAAATTATTCAATTTTTTTATGCATTTTGAAGTTTAAAAAAACCTAGATTTATTTTTTAAAAAATCGCATTATTAGTCAACTGCAAATTTTAAAAAACTGGAAGTGAAAATTCAAAGAAATGTCTGGTTTTCACTTTAGCCCATTCTAACTTTTTTGATTTTCCTGCAATTTCAAAAATTTTTACAGGGTTGCATGCACACAGATGGTTTACAATTTTAGAAATTTTTGTATTAGACAAATGCTGAAAATTGACTGAGATAAAGTTTAAAACATAAATTTTTTTTCCCAATTTTCATACAATTAAAAAAAAATATTTTGCTTTTTTCCTTTTATTTCAGTCAATTTTCAAGTTTTTTCAAAACTAAAAATGAATAAATGTGGAAAACAATATGGTGCTCCTGATAAAGTTGTAAAAAGTAAATTTCATTGAAAATTGCAATTTTGCCTAATTTTTTAATTTCGAAAAATGGGAAACGGAATTTCCACGAAATTTCGTTTTTTTCACTTTAGCTCATGATAACTTTTTTTTTATGGGTGGAATGTAAATTATTTTTTGGGGGTAAATGCGCATAGATGTTCTTTGAATTTACATATTTTTTTCAATGAGCAAAGTTCAAAAGGTGAAATTCAAATATCAACTATGTAAAAGTATTTTTTCCGGATTTGTCCCCATTTTTTCAAAAAAGTTTTGTGTTTTTGATTGAATCTTGATGAATTTTCAAGATTTTTCAAAATTTCAAAAAAGACAATTTAGTAAACATCTGTGCGCCTACAACAATGGAAAAAATTTGGAAATTTGTTGATAAATGAATTTTTGGCAAATTGTTAAAGTTTGGACCGTGGGAAACGGGACCCTCCTGCAGACCCTTCTGGGGCTCTGTGGGAGGGTTGGAGGGAGACAGGATGATATGTTGGGAGGGGTAGATAAACAGATCAACTGATGGACACCGCATGCAAGTAACTTTATTAGGTAAGATTTTTTCATTAATTACATTGAAGCTTTTTGTTGAAATTCTACTGTCTTGTTATTCCCACACTCACTACACTTGGTACAAGACAACCAACTCGGCTTAAAAGTACGTGAAGTGAACAAAGCGAAAGTGGACACTTACTACTTTACGTCCCTACTACAATGACGCGCACAAAGGAAGTTTTTTAATTGAGAACCTAGTCTGAAATCCCGACCCGCAGTAGAGATTACCATTCAAATTATTGAGCGGTGAAAATATTTGAGCAAAAACTCTACAAGCTAAACAAATTTTCTGGAGTACAGTATTCCTTCAGTATGTGACGCTTAGTGACACCTACAATACGCTTGTGAAACAAGGAAAAGGATGGTAGATGGACTACAGCAGTGTTCCCCAATCGGAGGTCTGCGGACTGGGGTCGGTCCGCAAAAGTTTTTGGCCAGTCCGCGGAAAATTTTCTCAAGCATAATAAATTATGTCAAAATAATGATGGATATTTCAGTATCTCTGTCTGCAATTTTTCCAAGGTAATTGCAGTTGAGATTTCTCATGAAAAATCGAAGTTGTCATTTCTATATGAATAACACTGCAGAAAAAATAATTTATTTTAATGTTCACACTAAGGACATTTTCTCCAAGCCCACATTTCTAAGTTTTTGAATACATTTCCACTATAACTGCTTCATATATTGGTTCTTAACTTACTTTTTTGCAAAGATGCACAGACACTTATTTGTCAACTGCCATGAAGTATTCCGGGCAAAACTTTTTTGAGTGTGCAACAATTAAAAAAAATGTTTCCTGGTTTGCAGAAATTTTTTTGAAAATTTCCTGGTCCAAAGAAGAAGTGCATGGAGATTTGCTGATTGGCAGGCCCAAAATGGTTGGGAATATTGGATTATAGTATATTCTGAACCCTGGCGCCAGCTACCAGCATTAAAAGGCCAGAAAA